TTCTGAAATTTGTTTTTGTGTTTAATAGGAACTATTATTTTTATTGATTTTCTAATATGTTTTCTAGATTTTTTTTCTCGGTCATTTCAGTTCCTGATTTTAGTAAGTTGTGTGAGAATTGAATTGACTAAGAGATGTATGTAGAATAAATCCTCCCCAGCCTTCATCTGTTCCTTCAGCAGAATCCTGTTGTGGGTTTTGCCAGAATCATTGCTGGGAGTCATTGTCAAATCATGTAATATATTTGAAATCTGAAATTTGTTTTTTTTATCCATTTAATGTTGAGTGATTATTATTTCAGTTACATTATTAGTTAAAGGCCTTTCTTCTTGTATGTAACCATATGCATAGGGTTCTATGTGAGGAGAGAATTTTAGAATAACAAGTGTAAAGTATGGAAGGAATGTTAACAGAGGTAGTGAATGATATATATTAGGAGTAAAGCAGGGTACATATTCCCCAACTGACAAAAGGATTCTGTTCTTGAAAAACCTTTTGTAAATCATTTTCTTAAATCCGATCACATTTAACCATAGACTTCCATTATAAAAGCAATGTTCCTTAACCCCTAGGCACTGGGCTTCGGTAGACAACCCCCACTACCCACGCTGGCATGTAAAGAAATACATGTACTTACCACAGGTTGTCATCACCAGGCTAGGAAGAGTAGAAAAAATACGTGAAGTGGCGTGTGTGGAGGAGTGGGGAGAGTTTAGCAGTACATGAGGTAAACATCATTGATTTGTAGTATGCAGTATGAGTACAGGGCAGTTGTTTTTATTATGTTATTACTATTTTCTTTTCCTTTTTTTTTCCGGGGAAGAGCCCACCCGGGTAAAGGTCACTGACCTACAATGGGACCTAGGGGGCAAAAAAATAAAGAGCAAAAAGAAATAAAAAATAGAAGAGAAAGAGACTATACCAATCCACACCAGGAAGATGCTGGAAAACCAGCGTTTTTAAGTAAGACATTGTAAGAGTATGGAAACACAGAAGGCAGAGTATTCCACAGCTTGGCTGTGTGAGGAAAGAAGGATGTACTATAAAGGGTTATTCTAGTGTGACCGACATCCACGCAGAAATGACGGGCACCGTGGGCAAGACGAGTGTTATGAGCCCATGGCCTTGCCGGCGGTACACAGGATGCCAAATCCACCGAACATTGCCCGTTAAAGTACCTGTAAAAAGAGAGAGAGCGAAGCAACATTGCAGCGAAGAGAAAGGGAAGAGATTATAGTCAAGACCACTACTGTACTACACTTCTGCTTGGAGATTGGGGGTAGCAATATGAGGCGAGGCATATGAAGTCAAAGGGCGATCTCTCTACACAAAAATTGAGACATCACAGAAAAGGGAGGCGTGAGCGAGCAAAAGATAAATGCTTACTTGGAAACATAGTCTAGTCAGGCCCATGTGGCAATTCAAAATTTACTGTGAAATTACAATACTGTATGTCATATGACATGAACTGAAGCTCTGTAAGCACATGTTATATGATGTGAACCAAAGTCTAGGGGTTAACCCTTAGACATTAAAACACTAAAAACAATATACCACTAAACTGAGTGGGACCAGGTGGCTACAGTTATATTAAACTTAAACCTATCTCCAGGTCTGCTCTCGACGGGATCGCATTTGGATCAGGGGAAAATAAGGATCTCATCCTCCGAATACGAGGGTTAACATCCACACTTCAGGATGCAGGCCGTCCCGTGACATTCCTATGGATACCCAGTCATGTCGGTATCTTGGGGAATGAGGCAGCAGATGGCCTTGCCAAGACTGGCTGCAACAAGGACACACCTGACTACGTTGTTCCTCGAACACTTTTACAGATTAGGACCCAAATTCGCCGCAAACAGAGAGAAGCTCGGGAAGCAGCCATACCCCTGGACTCCCCGCTCACCTGGTACGATGTCCTCCGTAAACTTCCTGACCTCTCGTACGTCTACGGGAAAGGGTCGTGGAAAGGGGACGTGATTGCTGCCCGTATCATCATTGGGTATGACTTTGCTTGGGAGATTGGTATCCCCGCATCCCCTGAGCAACGCTCTTATGCATTATGCAGAAGACCCGACAGCAGCACCCTTATCCACTACCTCCTAAGATGTCCCCACACACAACGCTTCCGTGACGCCTGCTGGACCACCACTCCACGACCCCCTGACGGAGACACGATGATCCTCCCCATACTGGCCAGATATTTTGTAAATAATATTGATTATGTGTTAAAGGAATATCCGTCCTTCCTTAGGCTTTAGTAAGCCCCTTTATAATATTTATACTGTATATACTTGTCACACTTGCCAGATGCTTCTGGTGTCATTGTACAGGGGTACCTAGTGACAGCACTAGGATCCCGCTTCCTCTATCAAGGAATAAACAATTGAAATTGAAAAAAAATTGAACCTATCTCTTTTGAAGGATGGTAGTGTGACTGGTAGATGAATGGCATAGTACAGCATCAACTATAGGTATATTTCCTAGACTGTAAATTTTCTACATGTCGACTCCTTGGATATCGACCACTTTTCGATCTGTATATTTAACAAGTCTGGCGCCTCAGCAGCAACACCCATTGTTTGTTACAACCTTTAAATGGTGATTATTGCCAGGAGTAAAAAAAAAAAACATACAGCTTTTAATATGAAGGATAAAAATAAGTACAGCTCCTCCCCGACTTATGACCTACTCGACTTACGACCACCCGGACATATGATTGTGCTGTGTACTGACAAAATTTTCGTTTGTAATTCCCTTTAAAATGGCTGGCATGCTTAAAAGTGAGAGTTTTGTGGTGCTGAGAAGAAAAAGAGACCCCCATTTTAGATTTTCTATGTATTATTTAAGCATTTTCGACTTGCGACCTGGATGCGAGTCCCTAGCCCCGTCGTAAGTCGGGGAGGAGCTGTAACTTGATTTAAAGAGGTTAAAGGAAGAGGACCTGGGAGTGATAGATGGTAACAAATTGATGTTCAAGGAACATACTGTACAGTACAGTATACACGATGAAGTGAACAAGACAAACCGCTTGCTAGACGTGATCCAGTAGACAGTCCTGCCACGCTGGGCTGGAAATCTGAAGCAACACTGCAGAAACCCACAGGTACTTAAAACTGGATACAGATATTCCCATGCATTATGAAAATGTGCTTAAGGAATTTTGAAATTATTACAAAAAATTTTGCCCTTAGTTACAGCACATTTTGAAATAGAAAAAAATCCTTATACAGTACTGTACAGTATAACAAAGAAATTCACCAAAATTTAAAAATTTATTTTGTGTGGATTCTTGGTGGTTGCTACAAGATGGTGTGCACCTACCCACCACAACAACAATGGAGCTGCTCAGTTTGAATTCATTCCTCAGCTTGTGTTACGTTTTGCTTGTGTTCAGGACTGCTACTGTGTATTCAAGATGAGTGGAAAAAGGCCATCAAGTTCAATGAAAGCAGTAGTACTAAAAGATTCCATAAAGGAATTACATTGGACATTAAACTTTGTTTTAAGGACGTAACTCTCTTGAGCGCTGCCTCATTACTGCCAAGAGAAACTAGTGCGTGCCTAGGCGGCTAATTATCCATAATGTAAGAAAATAAACAGTAATGAAAATAACTTGTCGGCGTGTTAGTCCTGTATATTAACCTGGAATACTTTTGTAACCGGTGGGATGCTTGTACAGGTACAGTGGGGTATGCTATAACGAACGGATCCTACTACGAATATTCCTATAACGAACGGTTTTACCTATAAAATTGAGAATGCTATAACGAACGCAACTCCTACAACGAACGCGGATGAATACGGGACTATTTCGCCTGGCGCATGAATATTGTTGTACCGCGACCCACAACAAGAGCGTCAGGCGCCATCTTTGTCTCATTGTGCACCAGTGTTATTGTTGAAATTTCGTCTTTTGATGTGGAAATTCGCGTTATTTGTATAACTATTTTGTTATACAAGTATACAATTGTAACAATGAGTCGTCCAAAGCGAGTGAGAAAGCTAATAACCCTTGAAACTAAGAAAGAAATTATAAAGAAACGTGAGAATGGAAGAAGCATTGCGAAACTTAGTGATGAATATGGGATGGCTAAATCGACTATATGTACGATTTTGAAGAATAAAGAGGAGTTAAAAACTGTGCAAGTGGCAAAGGGAATCTTTAGACTTAGCAAAGCAAAGTGTAATGTGATTGAAGAGATGGAAAATTTACTCTTAGTGTGGATAAAGGAGAAAGAAATGGCAGGTGGTAACATTAGTGAAGCTATAATTTGTGAGAAGGCCAGACAATTGTTTGAGGACCTTAAAGCCAAGACTCCCAGTGGAAGTGATAGTGATGTGCCAGTGTTTAGGGGTACCTGCATGCTGAATAACACTAAGGTAAGATAAAGTACCGTATTTTTTACATTTTCCACAGAATTTTTTCAGTGTTAGGTGGTTGTATTTGGGGGCCTGGAACGGATTAATCCTATAATGAACGAATGCTATAACGAACGAGGTTCTGGAACCAATTACGTTGGTTATAGCATACCCCACTGTACTAGTTAGTTCACAATACATAAAATGTGAATACTCAAAACCACAGATGATAAACCTGCAGTGGGTGAGGGATTACTGTATTGTACATAATCCTGAGCTTATAACTGAGATGTTGTCTAACAACAGTGAACTCCTCAACTGGCAGCCTGTATTATAAGAAGCTGTCAGGTGAAAGGCATAAATTTTTAATATGTGGAAGGGTCAAGTTTGATAAGTGAAACTGGTAACTGAAGATTGGTTATATAATTGTTGAATATATTGGAAGCTGCTACAGTTGTATGTGAATACTGTAATGTTTTAGGAGGTTAACCAGTTGAATAATATGAATCATTTTGGTGAATTATCCAAGAAAATACGACTAATGAACGCAATTAATTATTGGTAATGGCATTGCGTTAATATTACACTGAATGAAGATACCTAGGGAATATTTTTAACAATTGAGGAAAAATTCTTCAGATATTTCAAGTTTCTTTATACAATTTTACATTTCATACATATATTATGCTCAAAATGTATACTGTATCTACATGTAGAACATTTGATTATTACAGTTTTACTTCTTAACTTTTAATACAAAGAGTATAATTTGTAGTCAATGAAACATGAGTAACATAAAGAAAATCTGTAAATTATTTGCTAACAGATGTATAGTTTCATAATAGTATCCCCTACCAGCATGTGACTTCCTGCTGTCTGATACTGTATATGGATCACAAGCCAAATTGTCGGTTTTGAAAGTACGTGCCATACATAATTGGTGGATGACTATTTCAAATAAACTGAAATTTACTCCATACAATATAAGCCATGTTTCTATAATACAGTACCTCATGCTTGGCAGAGTTGTACCGTCACTTGAACATTGTGCCTGATCACAGATGGACGGAAGAACACTGGTCATAAATTCTATATTGCATTTTTCAACTGGAAGGGGAATAAATAAGAAAACAAAAGTATAGCAATAATTTGGGATGCAATATAAGTTTTATATGGCTAAATAACTAACAGCTCCAAATCCAATTATTTTCTTTCTTCAACACATTGCGTGTAAATCTCCTACAGTTGTAGAACTTCATGTAATCTAAACAAACAAACTTCAGTGCTTTACTTAATTAAGAGACACTTCTCTGAATTTTATTATAATATTTACTGTATCTAAAAAATTATCTGTCAGGAGGGGGTTCGATGACTTCTATAATGCAACATGCAACTCATGATGTCCTAGGAGGGTTGGTATGCATGGCATACCAATCCTACTACATTTGGTAACTGAACATCGTATTAATTACACCAAAATAAATTCAGCAAACATTGCATTACTCATGTTAAACTATATACCAAAGTAAATGCATGTCCCAATATCTATCATCTGTGGTCTCAAATTGTTTCACAGTGTAGATACCGTAGATACTTTTTGGGGATACTGTACAGTAAAGTAAAGATAAATGATTCACATTCTGCAAAGATTCATTATACCAAAGTTATGAAAAAACATCAGAATTCTGACAAGGTATAGAGAGCACTACTACAGTACAGGATGTGCAAAACTAAAAAACATACTTAACCTTGCATTATACTGCCAGAATACTTATGGCCCTATTTAACACCAATACCAGCAACATGTTTGGTACTGATGTACAGTATGCTCTTAGGTTTGTTTCTGTAATTAATCATAATGAAATTCAATAATGTTACCTTCTTTCTCCAGCACTACACACATTTATAAAGGGTGCCTAAAGAACTAAGTTTTAAAATTTTAAAACAATTGATGCTGAAAGAAATTTTACAATAAAAGCTTCACCAACGATGCTAGATGATATGTGTCTGGATGGTGATATTACGTAGCATTAAGGAAGAAAACTCTTTTATCCTATATTTGTACATAATGGACACTTATATTATTTAACTTAATATCATTATCAAACAAGAGTTTGCAATATAAAGCCAGATTATTGATACTAGCAAGTGTTCCAAATCAGATGCAATAAAAAGTAACAGGTAGCCAGTACCTATAGCAGTGGGTTATTTGGATCCTTGGGAAAGAGGCCAAGGGACTGAAGATATGCTGCTGCAGCATTTGCTTTTGCCATTTTCTTGGTTGATGCTGCTACTGATGGTTTAAATTCTTGCCCATTCACCATCACCTTCACAAATGAAATAAATTATCAAAGTTAATGACTAATTAATATGTATAAATATTCTTGAAGTACTCCTGTATAAAAAATCAGATTGTTAACTTTGCATTAATGATATTTAGAAATATTCTTGAAGTATAAAAAATCAGATTGTTAACTTTGTAAACTATGACTAAATTTAGCAATTCTTACTCCACTTCTACAAACAGTATACTGTACCTGACATGTCAGCTATTCCTATGTTTGAGGTATGGTGATAAATGGTGAATATTCTCTATATACTGTTATGCATACGTATTTTTTCATTGTTTTAAGATTTAAGTCTAAGGTAGTCAAAATATTTGTTACCACTATGAGAGGAGATTCAGGAACAATAAAGAAGCCTTTGGAGAGGGGAACAATATAAAACTCATGTGTACTGTACAGCTACAGTATATAGCAACACTGATAGATATCCCTGAAGTACAGATATGAGTAGAAGAATGAATAATGAACCATCAAGAACTGCATTTTGAATTGTAAATACAGAATTGTTAACAGAAAGATTTCCAGTTGTGTACAGTACTGCCTGGACTAGACATCGGTGAGGTTTAACATGATACTGCTCACACTACATTATTTTTTAATTATGCTGTCTGAGTGTGAGCAAGGTACTCTAGTACAAATAAAACTACAGTATTTACTTTTTGTGTAGTTTTAATTAGGGATGCACCGGAACCAGAATATTAAGTTTCGGCCAGAACTGGAACTTTAAATGTTGCTTAAAAAAAAAAAAAAAAAAATGTTTCATGACACCCAGAAATGCCAATATGATATTATTGGTCTTTGTCTTGGTTTTTAAACTAATTTCTAAAACTAAAGCCGTGAAATGAAGTTCAAGTAGGCCACTTTGTTTTATATGCTTTACCACTTTTTAATAGTGTTTTTATTTTTGTTTATTATTTTTTTTTACGGGAATTAGCCCACCAGGACACAGGTCAAACGACCCACAATGGGGCCTGGGGGTCTACACACTGCAACGGGTGTTTAATGTTGCTAGTTGATAAAATATCTGGCCATTCACCCTGTCTTGGAAAACATTCATGCTATTTGGGATGAGATAACTACAAAATTGATGAATGGAGCTCAGAAGGCAGTATGGAGGTAGAATGTTTAACTTTGGAGGTTATGACTTTGAGACACAGGTGTTGATATAGCCCACATAGTTGACCTGGAGCACAAGATTAGAATTAAGTTCAGCAAATTTGACTTTGAGGTATACTGTACATAAAGAATACAGTAGAAGACAATTTGGCATTTAATCCACTATTGAATGTACTTTACATAAATTTTAAAAGTGAAATGTCTTTATTCTTTGTATGTTTGTATCTACAGCAAGTATATACAGTATAGGGGCAAGATAGGTGGTGGGCTGGTCCTTCACCAGAGTGAGGCATGAGCATCCTCTACCTCCCATAGCTCATTCCTAACTTTTTCTATTTCTCTATTTAGTGTTCCTCTAGTGAGGAAAGGACATGGGCATCCATCCTTACAAATTTTTATCTCTTGTTCTTGAGTAATCATCAACAGACAATAAATGATTTTCAGTTTCTGTTGGATCATTGTCACCTAAAGATCCAACTGCACTGCCTACTGTGCTTGTGGGCAGTGTGCCACTGAGAGCTACAAAGAAATGTATACAGTATTCCCTTTATGTGTTTGCCCTTAGGACAATTATTTCTTTTACTTGTATTGTATATGTGTGTGTGTGTGTGTGTGTATAGACACACACACACACACACTCTAAACACATACAAATAAATAATAATGGGAAAATTCTCTCACAAATAATCTGAATCAATGTAGTATTAAAAATGTTGAGTCTACCCTCAAGTCTACTCCGTGCTTTATTATTAATAAAGCACGGACTTGAGGGTAGACTCAACATTTTTAATACTACATTTGTTTCTGAATATTTGTGAGAGAATTTTCCCATTATTATTTATCTGTATGTTTTGTGTGTGTCTACACACAAGCACATATATACAAAACAATACAGGTAAAGGAAATTACAGTCTCTAGAACGAATGGCTCTGTGTTCCGGTCGTGAAAATGCCGGCAACTGTAAAACTACCCACAGTCATTCTTGGGTATATCCAGGGTGTCATCCGCGAATAATAGAGGACCAAGAAATAAAAATCCGCGAATTATCCGGGAGTACTGCACTGTATTTTCGAGCAGTAAGTACACAACAGCTTACAGGGAGATGAAAAGGTTGCTCTGAAAGAAGAGAGTGAGTAGTTTGATTACATATGAGTCATGTAGCACAAAAACTCAGACTGACTACTTTCTTCATAGGAAATCAGATAGGAAGCTTGTAAAGGTTCTAACAGGGAATGAATGTACCTTTTAGTACAGACTGCTTGTCTGCAACATGTTGCTTAAAAGGTGCAGGAAAAGGAAGAAGGTGCGTGTTCCAAAAAGGAGCGTGTGGAAATTGAAAGAAAAGAATGTAAGAGAAGCATTTTATGTCGAGTTGAGAATGGTGGATACAGCCAACGATAGTGTGAGGGTTAGTGTAGCCAGATGCTGGGTCAAATTAATGGATGTTCTGCTGAGCAGGACTAGTAAGATGTGAGAATGGACAAAGGTCCCAGCCAGGCATGCAATTATATGGTGGTGGAACGATGAAGTGAACAGAGTGATAGAGGAGAAATGAAAATTGTACAAGGCCTGGAAGATGGGTGATGAAAAGGAGTACCTGGAGGCCAAGTGCAGAGTTAAAAGTAAGGTTTACAAGGCTAACAAGCATGAACAGTGAAGATGCAAGAGGCAATATGCTTGGAACAACCACGCAAAAAGTGAGTAGAAATAAGGATGTTATTTAGTAATGATCTAACCTTCATGAGGAAATTCTTTTTGTGGTCTGGGCCACAGTCAAAAACCATCTCAAAATCAGGTGGAGACCACTTTCGCTTTGAGCACAGTTCAACCAAGGCTGAAACTGGATGCTTTCCTGAAAAAAATAATTGATCTTATCAAATTTCACACCAAATTAGGTTACAAATATATAGCATCAATATAACTACTCCCCAGTGTTAACAAGTAAAATGCTCAACATAACTCACCAGAAAGATCCTTAGCCAGTGGTATTGGTTGTTTCTTTGGAGTGAGTTCTTCTTGAGCATGAAACCCTGCAAATGATTCATGAAAATTTGGAATATGAGGTTAACAGCTCTTACATAAGTAAACTTTTTGGTCTATATCAAAACACATGTAGTTCTTCACAATTAAATCTGTACAAAAATTATTACTTTGGAAAACACATACAAAAAAATTACCCTTTTTGTCCATCTTCACATCCAGCAGCAAAGGTTCAATTGTTCCCTCCTTGTTCTTACCCAGCCCTTCCCCTGGTGACCAGCCCATTTTCTGTAGCATCTTGAGTCCAAATTGTGGCCTCACAGGTGCGGCTTCCTTGAACTGTTCCTAGAGGGGTCATGAGGGAATAGGAGGATGGCATAGATTAGAGAGTGGAGAAAACAAAGCCAGAACTGTTTGGAGAAGCTGCATTACTGTCTGAGCAGACACCATGAAACTTTAGCTGACATACCAAGCAGAATGGTCATATCAGTAACCATACTTAATGATCATACTCAATGGGTTTAATCTCAACATAATGCCATCACAATAATATTGAGGCTCTAACACATTGACAGCTTAACAGTTCTTCAAGAGTTTTGGTTTCATAATGTAACCTAACAATTTAACAAGTTAAAAAATGATAAGTCTACCTGTTACATTAACAAAGCTTTAGCTTTTATTACTTTCTAAAATCTACTGCAGAGTGACTTGTTTAACATTTCAATAATAAAAATCTCTCAAAAATGAAAACTAGGTGCTTTTAACTTATTAATAATCATTACACTTACATTGTATTAGTGCAAAATCTAAGCTGTTTTAATTTCATGTACAAGAACAACCACTAGTGATACACTAACAATAAGAAGCATTATTAAATGTTTCTATGTAATATAATTAAAAAAATAATTCAATACCCCTAATCATAGAATTAAGAAAGAATATTTATCTCAAACTTCAATTTTTTCGTAAGAAAAATATTAGTAAAAAAATAAGAAATAAGTTCTTACGTTATTTAGTCTTTGTTGAAATGTAACTTTATTCATACTGTAAATAATAATTAAAAACAAATAATTTATGTAACGAATACAGTAACCTAAAAAAGAAATTTAGTCGCTAATTTCCAAAGCATGAAATTCTTGCCTACATGATAGCACTACTTATACCTTGTGACTCACCAAAATGTTGACTCACTCACCCGTCCCAGCAGCCGCCAGAAAACACCTTAGGCCCCACAGCTGTCTGTTGCCAGAACCCGGATGCACTAACGAGATGGAGCGGAGACTTGGGGGGAGGGGGATCTGTAACAAGCTCTCTCTTCACTGGGCCCAAGTGGGGAAGCCAGCGGGATTTTCCCTTTATGATTCATCCTGCCAAGATGCACTCTTTCGTACTCTCACATTCTCTAGATTCGTGACTACTCACGACTTATGAAGACCCCAAATATTTGACATTAACAGAAAATCCCAATCAAAGGTGTGATGAGAGCTTGTTATAGACCCCTTCCACGACAGGCTAGGGGTCAGTGTACCAACGGTTCCACTGGCCCCTATCCTGCGTGAACACTGTTGAGATAACCAAAAATTGGCTCAAGTTATTTAACTTGAGTGCCAACACTACCAGGAACCAAGGTAAATGATGAACCCAAGAGATATTCGAATAAATTAAGATTCTATACATTTACAGTCAATGAAAATTACATCTCTTCGTTTTCTGAAGACAAAGTCACCATTGTGGAGTGTGAAGTTCACATAAGTTAATATATTATACTGTACTGTACTGTTCTATGAACAGAAAAAGAACAATTTCAATTGCTCTAGGGTTCACCACCAGCCTGGTTCCTAGTAGTGTCCGTAGGCTTGGGTATCCTCTTGTGGTGTGGCAGGACATCGCAGCAGCAGAGGTACTCTCCCCAGCAGCTTCACATCGGAGCTGACAAGTTGGAACCTGAAATACAACAGCCTGGGGGCTGGAGTGGGCCGGAGGCTGAGTCAAATGCCCTAGAGAAGGTAACACTTCTTTACTAACAACTGACCGTGACCTGTTTAACCAAACCAACTGTAAAACTGAGCAACAGTGCTCACCAACATCATATCTAAGGATGACAAAAAAAAAAAAATGACAGAGAGGAAGCTGGATACTGTGAGTACTTCGTGGGCACCAAAAACAACAAGAACAACGTATACGTATAGCCTTGTAATGGCTTCATGTGGAAATTAATTTTTGTCCCCATGAGTCACCCAATCAAGCTTCCTGTACAAGAAGATTATCTAATAAAATACAAGAACAAATTAGAAAAGCCTAAAAGATATATATGTATATATATCAGACCTCAGTGCAACATCCAGCCCCCCCCAACATCCCAGTTCTTTTTTACAAGAGCAAACTTAATAGAATGCAGCATGCCTACCTTCCTGGCCCAGGCTTGATGGCCTGCTGATAGTTCTTCCTGAGACAAAACCTTCACCCCAGTTGTCCCTGTGAACTGACCTGGCTCCTGCTTACTCAGGGCCCAATTCTGCATCTGTAGAAAAGTTACATTCCTATATATTGAGGGCATATTCACAAAGCTTTTCAACCATTATTATATACTGTAAAAAATACACGTCCATTCCTAGTAATTGGGGATGGATTTAAAAAAAAAATCCATTGAGTATTATTTGCCTCAGTTAAGTAAAGCCTTTTACTGTACTGTAATCACATTCAACTGGGGATGATACATCCAGGCTGCTTCACCAGAAGGAATCTGAGAAATGTTATGCTCAGTGCTATGTATATATAGGCAACACCTACCTTCTCTTATGCACTGCCTATCCACATTTCATACAAAAGAGCCTATGTGAAACCTGTGTGTGCCAAGTCTTCATCTGATGGTGCATGTTACCAAGAGTTGATTATTTTACAGTTCTTACCTCCTTCTGCACATTGTGAAGAGTCTTTATAGCTTCACTATCATGAGGATTGTCCTGCAGCTTCCGCATGGCACTCAATCTTGTTGAAACTATCTGAGAGATGTCCACAGCCTGTCAAGGAATGATGTATTAACACTAAAATAATAAATATGCAACTTGTGAATTGATTAAGCCAACAAAGCGAATAGATATTTGATGACCAAGGTGGTTCATCACATTTGATTTTCTATATTAATTATGTTTAGTAAATGTCCAGTATTACCTATTTCTTGCTATATGAGGGTAATTTGTACAGTCACTCAAAAAACTATCTCTACTTGGGAAGGGGGGGGGGGGTCAATGACTTACAGCATGAACGCTAACACACCTGTTGTCTCAGTAGGGTTGCCAAAATCCTTCGTCCATTGTGTCATTTTTTCAACACAATTTTGTATAGATAGATAGATAGTTTCAACTGAGGAAGGTGAAGGGAAACCTTTTTGTGTTGACAACTCTACACTCCATTAGAAGCATTTAAAAATAACCCAGGACGAAACCACAGATATTATATAAAAACAATTTTTTTTTTACGGGGATTTGCCTAACCGAGCACAGGTCACTGACCCACATCAGGGCCTGGGGGGCGAAAATATTATTATTATTATTATTATTATTATTATTATTATTATTATTATTATTATTATTATTATAATAATAATAATAATAATAATAATAATAATTACAATACACTGTAATAATAATAATAATAATAATAATAATAATAATAATAATAATTAATAAAAATAAATAAAAATAATAAAAAATTAAATAATAATAATAACCAGACCATAAGTAGATACAAAAATGAAAAAACAAAATATCAAGAGTGAGAAACAATATACTACAGCTACTCGACTTACGACCACCCAGATATTCGACCGTCCTAGTCATACCAATTTTTTTTCAAATTACATATTTTCGAGTCCCGACATTAGTGATTGCGCTGTGTACTGACAAAATTTTTGTTTGGAATTCCTTTTAAAATGGCTGGCAAGCTTAAAAGTGAGAGTTTTGTGGTGCTGAGAAGAAAGAGAAACACCCATTTTAGATTTTCTATGTATTATCTTCACATTTTCGACTTACGACCTGGATTTGGGTCCCTAACCCCGTCGTAAGTCGAGGAGTGGCTGTATATAAATGTTGTGCTGTCAATAGTAAGAGAAACAATTGAGACCCTGTAAATGTGTGCAAATGAGGCAGAAAGTCAAATCAGCAACGTGGGACTTGATCACAATTTTTGTGATGCCATATGGCAGCAGGGTCTACCATAAGACAACACTTTATGCTTCCAATATCTTCCCAGGCGGTAGTACCTCCCTGTTTGATAGATGCCGACTACCTACTACTGTATTGTAGTCCTTACCGGAGGTTCTGATTGAGGAAACACTTTGTCCTCCTCTTTCTTCTCCTTAGGAGGAACAGGAACCCAGTCACTCTCTGGAATAATATAAGATCATTACACTAAGAATGTCCTCATGCATATGCTGTGGTAAAAAATTACCTTTTATTTAATATTTTTCACTCACTCTTATGTCACTATTCATTAATTGATAAGAATAATATATCTTGTACCTGTATGATGTAAACTGAACATGTGTGATCACAAACCTTGGTATACACACATACAGTATATAACCCAAAGTAAAATATTCAGTTGTTTCCTTGCACTACAAAGAATGAAAGCATTTGATCCAAGTGTAAATTCCACCCGCGGCAACCTTTAGGCACATCATACACCAAATTTCATTAAAATCTAAAAATCTAATAAAAGAAAGGTAACCACAATAGGTAATGTAAATATATATATATATATATATATATATATATATATATATATATATATATATATATATATATATATATATATATATATATATATATATATATATATATATATATATATAGTGGGATGTAGTTACAGGGATATTTCAATTTGGCGACCTGCCAAGTCCACACACACACATTCACTTCACACACATATACACCGATGGTCTTCATTATTATTATTTGATAGCAACCTGCCATCTCCATGGAGATGTAGTGTAAAACTTATATTACAGTACATACTATTTCATTTATATTAAGCTATTTTATATGTATTTGACGTAAATTTAATTAAATGTACAATACAGATATTGTTTTGTGAATGAACAGGCAACCTAGTTTGGCTTTGATGAGTGTTATATGCAGCCATGAAACCTAGCCCCCTATTTTCCCATAAGCCTTTTATTTTGCCAACCGTGGATTTGCCAACTACGTGGTTTTTCAGGAGCCTAACCCCTGCGGTTAGTGAGGGAATACTGTAGTAAAAATCCAAGTATTACTTATTTCATAAGAAGATGGCTAGCCTGGTGTCTCCACTCATATAATTTACCAATAAAATAAATTTCCCTAAATTACTATAAACCAAAATTAAAACCACATACTGTACTCCATATAAGGCTGCTACACATGACAGCATCATATAATATACAGTACAGCATTCCATATACCTGTACTGTTTGCATTTTCAACACTGAGGCAGAGCAGCACAAGAAAAGTTTCTCATATACTGTACAGTATTTGGGTTACTGACCCTCTTTACTCACCAATATTAAAAAATTTACTATGAAATTCCAAACTTTGGTCAGGCTATCAGGCATGCCAATTATCACAAATACTCCACAGAATATTAGGAAATGACAAGAGAAGTTACATACGATAAAAAGGTAGAGTCACAGAGACAGATTTAGAAACATGAAAAATTAAATGGATGCAAGGACAGACAGAAAGAAAAACATAATTAAGTAATACCCCTGCCCTGGTAGTGCGGGTATTGAAATAAAAACATAAAGCTTTGGAGAATATTACAAAGTTTGAGAATATGTGGCAAACTGTCAAGGAGACTGCAATGAAAATGTCACAAAAAAATGGAGCTATCAATGAAAGAAAAAATTTTCCCAGTCAAGCTTCTATAGCCAACATGCTAGTCAATCTACTATTTACTGATCATCAAAACTAAGTCATTGATTTATACCTTAGAGAAAATCAATAGTTACATTATAAATTTTGCCTAAATGAAAAGCAAAAACTAAATTTTATGAAAATCATCAACATGACCTAATTCCCAAGTTATGAGGTGTGTGATCAATATATCACTCTTAAATCTAAAGTGTTTACACTACAGTATTAGTGACTGAATTCCATATAACACAGCTAGAAAGAAAAAAAATGGAAACAAATTCCAATTTAAATCTTTTATTGTATACAACATATTTTTAACAACATTCCATTACACTTTTAATCTTTGTTAATATTTTCGGGTACTCTATAACCCGTACACTCTCCTAAAATCCTTATATCTGAGAAGCTGTTGAAAAAATAACTTGGGAATTGCATTCTTCATTGTCCCTTAAAAGCATACCTGTTTGATGCTTTCCGTCACTGCTAGTCAATTCCCCTGTGGAGAAAAGATAATTCCAGTTTATATATATATATACTGTATATATATATATATATATATATATATATATATATATATATATATATATATATATATATATATATATATATATATATATATATATATATATATATATATATATATATATAAAATCAACGACCTCTCCAGCCAGGACTCGAGCCCTCGACCTAAAGTGTGTGACCAGGAAACGTTACCGACCATGCCACAAGGACACTAAAAGCAATCTTAGACTATGTTATATTTCACACAAAGCCTGTTCATCGAGCTGATGGTGCCATGAACCTCCCATTGGGGACTGCCCGTGCCACATATGTGGTGGGAGTAGCATTTTACCGAATCCAGCTGGCTGGTGAGGTCGTTGATTATATGTTCAAAGTCCACGTGTTATATAGACTAAAAAAAAAAAAAATATATATATATATATATATATATGCCAAAATTATTATTTTTTGTCATACACTACAGTTCTGTACAATAGACTATTATACTTTACCTAAGATGTACTGTATTCCTTATAATACAAACTGAAACTTTAAATAAACATACAAACTTTTTGTTTACCAAAAATGAGATTTTCAGCCAAAAAAATAAGTAAACTGTTGTGCCAACAATTAGTATAACTAAAATATCAGAGTAAACAAATAATGGTGTATGTTCAAGTATTGTACTAGGGGAAATACAGTATATTTAGGGGTGTGCTGGAATCAGTTTGCCCGAACAAATATTTGGCAGTCAATAGAAATTTATTTTGAAATGGTGCAGAAAAAGACCTATTTTTTTTTTTGCTATTAATTACTATGCAGGGGGTCCCTGACTTACGAACGCCTCCCGATACGAACGGGGTATTTTATTTACCTGATGACTTTTTTTTACTTTCATTTACTGTATTTTGTCATTCTATTTCTTCTTTTGTCTTATATTAAGTGATTTTAGATGTATATAAGGACTTAGGCTATGATATAATGGGATTTTAAACATTTTCTGTAAGTACGTTATGCACATAGCATGTGTTCCGACTTACGTACAAATCTGACTTAAGAACGTCCTCAGGAATGGAACCATTTCGTAACCTGGGGACCCCCTGTATGTTACACAAATTAGGGCAAGTTTATTACTGATGTAACACAGAATTACTTGGGCACATGTAGCTAACACAGTTTTATTTTAGTGCCACAAGAATCTTACATTTTAAGTAAAACCACTAATATATTGCATTTTACTTCCCACAAGTAGTTTCTGTAGGAAGCTTCCGTAACATATTCCAGAACAATTCACTCATGAACCCTACTTTGATCACTGCCAACATCTTCCCCACTCACCTGACTGCTACTGGTTAACTAATTTCTGGACAGTATACAGTATCTATAATGTGTCATTACCATCGAATAACAATTTGAGATCCAATGTGTTGCAGTTGCCCCTGGTGTTAACCTTAGCTATGGTGCTCTGCCACTAACCCTCCAATTTCCACATACTTGCAACAGGTTTAAGGTGGAAGCCCATAGATTCTTTAAACTTTACGATAATTATTTATTCTAATTATTTTTGCACTTTTTGTATGTAGAGTTGTGTGTAACCAAGTAAAAAAATAAAATGTAGAAAATTACATACACTGTACCTCGGTACATGGAAGTTCAGCATATAGGTATACGATTTCACTCATACGAGGACCCTATTCCTACCAGGAATTCAATTAATGCGAACAAAATTCAGTTGTATGTGAGTAAGCACATTGTCACCAAGTCTCGTGTTTCATCGGCTACTCTTGGGTGGTGTGCGTAGCTTCCCGCCATATGCGCTTAGTCTCGCATTAGCCCGCGTTCTGTGTGGACTGCCGCTCTATCACTCCTGTGGATTCTTTCATGATTTGGTGTTTTTTTGCACCCAGTAACTATATTTCTCAAGTACAGTACTGTAATATGATTCCAAGCGTCCTGCATTATCGTCTCCTAATCCCTGTCCACCTATGAAGAGGAAGAGAACAGCCCTAACACTGGAATTAAGTTAGAAATTTTGAATCGTTGTGATGAAGCATCAGCACTTGGCTGTTACTACAACCTGGGTGAGTCCACGATTCCAAATATTAAGAAGAATGCAAACAAGATGTCACTCCACTTCCATCACCCACAATGTAAAACCTTTACCACCGCCTCCGTCATATCGTCTACCGAAGCTGATGTACTATCTGCTTTTATTGTTAAGTACACTGCTCTATCTCTTATTTTAAAAATAAAATTATCTTATTTGTTTTATGGTTTGTTTGTCTTGAAATTGTGTTGAAAATGGGTCTAGAACATTTTCGTTTTGGGTTATGGAATGTATCCTATGTTTTTCCATTTACATACGTATTTGATATACAGTGTGCTATTTCGGTTTATGCGAGGGTTTTCAGGAACACATCCCTCGCACATATCAAGGACTTACCCGAAATTACAAGTAAAAATACTTTATGATAATTACTGTACTGTAGTAGTATTTTTTTTATATTTTTTTTCTACACTTTCTGTATGTAAGATTGAGTGTGTATGTAACTAAAGGAAAATTTGAAAAAATTACATATACTGTATCTACTAGAAATTATGATTTAAGAAATAACCATAACATAACACACAGCTCACAGGTGGGGGTATGGTTGGAAATATCCCAGCTTGGCCCGAGAATTACTTGTTGCTCATTTTAAATACGACTTTTGGGAGAGTATCCATAAAGTCAGAAGTCTGTTACCCAGGGAGTGTCTGTACTAACGTAGTCCGGTATAGCACTAATATGCAATTACAGTATTGGACAAAAGTGTAGATGGGAATATGTGTATTCACAAAAGAATTCTTTTATTTGAAAATAAATTATCTAACTTACATGAACACCAGTTTTCCATCATATTTTGAAACGATAATCATAATACACTGTACTATTTCTTTTTCACCTCAAAATAATTCACAAGTGAACCAAAAAAAAAAAATAATAATTTTAAGTGTTTGGTTTAAAAAGATCAAACATGCATTGTACGAGTAAATTTGTATTTTCAGAACTCATGTAAATAGGAGGACAAAGGTATTTTTATTGGGCCATTAAGGTAATAAAATGGCAAAGGTTTTCTATCCCTGCCTTATTTATTTCTATTAAAGGTAACTAGGTCAGCATAACCTTGCCATCCTACTGATATCCTGTAATGTACTGAATATATTTTTCTCCTTGTTAATTTCATCTAAGTCTACCTTTCTAAAGTTACTTTATACTGCTCATTCATTCACTATTTCTCCTAACAAAGTGCATTAAATTTCTGCAACTGAAATGCAAATGGCAAAGAGCATTAGTTAGATTTTCCCCTTTATAGCTCAGTAATGTTAATTCCAATAAGCCAATTAAATATAATTATAAGAGTTATGTAACAATCCCCCCCCCCCTCCTCAAAAAAAGAAAAAGAAAGTATTCAGAGTAAATGTGACTTGGGATAAGACTGATTTATTTTTAATAGTAAGAAGGTTATCTGCCCATAAACTTCACAATACATGATGAGAGAAAATGAGTATACTATACACATACTCTTCTTGTGTAAGTTTACAATCTCTGAATATCCCAGAATATGCTACACTGTACCAATTACACTAGCAAAATATTTAATGGGAAAATACCTTTTGTCCGATGTTGGGATCCACTGGACACTGGGAACTGCTCGCGAAGCTTTGCCTGACCAGCTAATCTCTCTGCATTTGTCTTTGTTGGGAGCATAGGAGCATTCTGCAAGAGATGTAATAACTAAAATGAAAGACAATTAAAGTTATACAGTACTGTATGAAGATGTTCCAAAAAGCATTTCTTGCATATGAGCTACTTAGTAATACAGATGGTAAACAAATTTTTTTTTACAAATGAAAGGAATTTCTTATTATATGACAGTTGTAATTTTAACAAATACTGAGCTAATACTAATGGTCAACGTCCACCAGATACTCACCCGCCTCAATATTTTTTTTCAACAAATAAAAAGTGCAGGGAGAGAACAGTCAAGTATTGTTGTCAAATCTATTTTCCAAAGCATCCTCTTCATTGAGTGAAGCTATTTGAAGAAGGATGATTTGAACTGTTTGAGGTTATATGACAGAAAAAACACTTGGGGCCTATATTTATAGTATGTCCTTAACCACTTGTGTACGGGGTCCCCTCTGTGCTGAATAATATCATCTGGCGTTAGGCAAATAAAGTATTAAAAGTGGGAGCCCCGTAGAGAAGGGATTAACAGAATTCAAAATGATTTTTGCAAAACATTGGACTAGGTTATTATTCTCCCTTTCTAAAATGTACCTTATTGTCAACTAGTTTATCCCAACTACACTACAGCATTGTCAGTAAAAGTTTGCAAGATTTAAAAAATAAAAAAAATTTCTAATTAAATCCTGTGATTCAGACCATGTTCCTCACATCAATGTTTGAAAATAATATCCCTAATAGTGATTGAATTTAATCTTCTTGATCTTTTTCCCCCAATTTTCTTGCTCGTTCATTTGTCATTCCTTCTTTAACTGGACAACTTCTGTTGCACTCAAGACATTTTATTGACATCCTAAATTCAGGTTTTTCTAACTTGCCAACATGGACAAATGTCAGATGTGCTAGGACTGGTGGCTCTGCATTGTTGTGAGGGCAGTACTGTATATGGTCAGTCTTCCTATGCTCTTAAGTAAATATACTTCTATGTTGAATTTGAATTATGAAATTTACAGAAATCATTTATCCTTCTTAACTCTACCTGCCTTCATATCCTTAAAAAAAATATGAGAAAGAATCTTTCTTAGTTATATTTTTAATATTATGGAACATAACATTACAAAATAAGTGTTGTTAGTACTTTGTGATAAACATACCCGAATATTCATTAGTATTGGCTTGGTGTCTCGCACACTGAAGGGGTGACGAGTATTGCTGAAAGGTTTGTCAGTAGTGTCATTTTCTTCCCCAGAACTTAAAGATGGATCACTCAGATCAACATCACTGTAGTTACCACTGGCCACCAACTGTTTGCAGAAATCTAATCATAAAATATAAAGCATATTAGAAGACCATATCAAGTATTGTAATTACAAAATTTCAATCAATTGACTGACAGATTTTATCTAGTAAAATTTGTCCCACATTCAGTATCTACTTTGGCTTTATTATGTACAGTATCTCAAAAAAAAATAAATACATAAATAAAAAATCTGTCCATACTCTGTGTGAAACATTATGAGACCAAGGATGGTAGATAATAGGACATGCATTAACTTTGGTTTATTGTTTAACATAAGTAATGCAATGCGTATTTATTTTGGCGTAATTAATATAATGTTCAGTTCCCAAATGTAGGAGGATCTGTATGCCACAGAGCCAAGCATACCAACCCTCACGGGACATCACAAGTTATATGTAGCATTTCGGAAGTCATCGGACCCATCCTGGCAGATACTTTTTTGAGATACAGTACAGTATATACAGTATATGCTGTAGGGATATAAAGACCAATACAAAGTAAAGTATGTCACTCTAACAAAGGATAGTCAAGGAAACCATCAAAGGTGTTATTTCCATTGGGGTTCTATTGTGAGGACAGGATGATTAAGAGGGGGTTGGGCTGACCCATTACAAAAGACTACAAAATGGGCAAATTAATTAATCTAACTAAATTACAGTACCGTGTAACTGAGATCAGTGGGTTCTTTTTACAGTACAATAGTATATCAATAACACAAAATAGCATATTGCTTTGTTTCATTATCGTATAACTGTTCAATTATATTACTGGAATTTATGTGCTTACGTAAATAATTTCAATTTCTTATCGATGAACATAGCAATAAAAAATATTCTAGGTTAAAATGTATTCCAATTTTCACAAAAGCTATTTCCTCAACGTCACAAGACCTTTCCTACTATATTGTACAGTGGGTAGAGCAAAGAGCAAACACAAACTCTCTTTATGTTTGCCATTACTCATTCACTCTTACTGCTATGACAAATGTACTCCCTATAATATGCCCTTCACAACATTACCCCAAGATGAATATCTGGTTTATCACTGTCACTTCAGACAAAATTATTAATCAGCAGCATGTCCATCACCATAAACCACTCAATGTCAGGTTTTCCCATTATTGACAAAAATCAGTGCTTCCTGAGCATCCTTCAACCCAAGTTCTTGTGTATCCTCCACTCCGTCATTCTCTCTCCTCGGTGTTCTTCTCTCTATCCCACCAGCCACCTCTAAATTATACACTTTTTACAAATAATTCATTTCCCATTTTCTTAACAAATTCTGGTCATCTTTCTGTCTGACACTTTCACATCTCTGTTACTTCTTTATTCACTTCTTCTTCTTGTACCCAAAGTCCAAGAATTACATTTACACAGTAACCCTTACTTATCCCCATCTTCATCACCTTTGGCATATATGTGGTAAAATAAAAGGGAAAAAAAGTAGTAAGCTGACCTGTGAGCTCATCTACACTCTTGCCACCAGCCTTAATTTTGACCAGCTGTTCCTGCTCCACACTCGGGGGCAGACAACCATTCTGCATCAGGTACACTGCGTTACGGCGAGCTATCTCTAGTAGACGCTTTCTTGTCACCTGAAATTTGGATTAAGTATTGGCACACAATGAAGTTCAGATTCAAACATTTTCTGTCACTGAAGTTTTCTTTATTAACCATTTGGATATGTAGGTATATCTTGAACAGCTGAAAACTATGGCCTCTGGTATTGTGGTATCAATGAAGGGCATCTCTCTTTATGATGCATCCCTTGTATGACATATTATAAAAAAAATTATTTGAAAAGGCCATATTAATGTAGACCACTTATGTATGCGCATATACACAGGGCTATCCCTCCCCCCCCCAAAAAAAGAGAAGAAGATATAATAAAATAAAACACTAGCAGCTAATACCACAGCCTCACCTTGTCCCTGAGGTCTGCTGTAGGATCCCGCCGTCTTCTTGAGCGAGATTTGGACCTTGAGCGTGACCTGGAGTAACTAGAAAATCAAGTCTTTAATACAAATCCAAAGGTCATAAAATAATGAATACCAGTAACACCATTACAGACTTCAGAGCATGATCTCATACTATAACCTGAAGGTCTGGTCATAGGTAAATTTGCATAAATATTTTGAAAAGCTATTCTTTAACACCAAGGTTAGGAAAATGTGGACACTTAAGTGTCCACAAATACTTACTTAATAAATCACATTAAAGTAATTAAATATTGCAACATTAAAAGATATTACAAAGAACATACTGTAATGCAAAATTAACCCTTAGGCCCCGGGTGATGTTCCAGAACGTCCGACTAGCGCGCCCCGGGTGACATTCCAGAACGTCCGCCCACAATTTTTATTTTTTATTTATTTATTTATTTATTTATTTATATTAATTTTGGAAATGTTGATTTTTTTCTCGAGTTAACCCCGCGTAGGGGGTACTGCCAGCAGCACCCTAACCCGGGGCTTAAGGGTTAAAAAAAAATTAAAATAAAATACATATTCTGTATGTCTTTTAAATCTGGCCCCCAAGCAAGTGGCGAGTCATATATTACAGTGCTGATAAATCATGAGAGCAGCAACATATGAATGGCCAAGGTGAAGGGGTTAAATGATTAAAACTACAAAACTATTTGGCATTTCTCACATCATTGATACAAACTTGGATTCAGGTTTTGGTGTTGTAGATCTAAAGATAACTGATGGATGAGATAATGATTAAATCTCTTTGGGTAAGACTTAACAATTACTCTTTCCCCCTTGGCTGAAGCAGAAATGAATAATTAAAGGTTTGACAATGAAAGGAGCAATGTAAACCTTCCATGATGCCTCACCTTTTGCGATGTGATCTTGCTGAACGTTCCCTTGAGTGAGAACGAGAGTGTCTCCTGTGTCGCCGGTCATGATCCCGCTCCTTAGTATGAGTGCTGAAAAAAAAAGTGTTCTTACCAATTTTTACAAAATATTACAAAGATTAAATATTAAGATATGAACTAAAAATCTCCATACTTTACCTAAATATCATTGTACAAACCAAGAATCTATGTCAACCTTTAACACTTTAATCACCTACACACTGTGCTCACCCCAAAAAATTGTGTGAAAGGAAAGTGAAACAACCTAATGTGGGTTCTGAGTTGAAAGTCTGAATGATGGTACAATGCATGGGAGATCATGTGAAGTTGTTGAGACATTGAGCCATAAACTAAATAACTAAGTAGAAAAGAGAATCAACAAGACTGATTACTGGGAAGAATGACCCATAAAAAAATTTTAGGATGGCTTGCCATTCTTGCTCAGGTTATGAAGGTGTGCATGGTGGAAAAGACTTTGGGATAAAAACTACTGAAGGCAAAAGAATACTTGAGTTTCGAGAGGCACTGAATATACGTGTGTGCAACACGTTGTTTAAGAAGAGGATGAGAAGAATGATCACATACAAATCAGGTGACACAAAATCCCAGACTGACTATATGCAGGCAGTTCTCACTATATTAACTCCTACTATTAGTATTTGCATATACAATATGAGGCTTAGAAAATGGGTGGTGATCAGGAAAAGCACCTGGAGGCCAAGTACATGGTGATAAGAGAGGTTTGCAAAGCTAAGAAGCATGAACAAGAAGCATTTACAGATAGTTTGAAAAGTGAGGATAACAGAAGTGAGGTATAGTACTATACAGTAAATTGTGGATAGAGACAAAGATGTAGTTCATGAGCAGTGTTGGAAACAACTAAGGAAATGTGTTTATTGTTAGTGAAGAAATTAAGGATGCTTGGAGTAGACTGTATACAATACAGGGGGTCCCCGGGTTACAAACAGGTTCTGTTCCAGAGGACGTTCTTAAGTCGGATTTGTACGTAAGTCGGAACACATGCTATGTGCATACCGTATTTACAGAACAATGTATAAAATCCCACTTCAGTTTGTCAGCCTAAGTCCTTACATACATCTAAAATCACTTAATTTAAGACAAAAGAAGAAACAATAATAAAATACAGTAAATGAAAGTAAAATATGAAGTCATCAGGTAAATTAACTACTGTAAATTTCAAGTTTAACCCTGTTTGTATCAGTGGGCTTTTGTAAGTCTGATGTTCGTAAGTTGGGAAACCCCTGTACTACAATCACATGCTGAGTCAGCAGTGTGTAAAAGTTTATATACATTTTAGATATCTGATTTTTTGGGGGCCAGATAATTTTTTTTCCCATGTTATTGCTCTAGAATATCACTCACTTGAAATTGAAAATATGACAGTAACGTCACCTATGGAAAGTAAGCTTATTGATTGCTACTACTATATTTTATAAATATATTAAAAAGATTCAGCATTTTCATAATAGTTCTTTGTTTGTACTCAGATTTGGAAGGTTGTCACATGTTTTAGATCAAACAAGGCAATGATAGACCCAACAATGGATTTTTAAGAATTTTAATAGTCTTGGGTGCAATATGCTTCATTTGTACTCTAGCATAAGTATTTTGTTTGTCATCCATGCTTTTGTGTGTTAAATAGCAATTATCAGAATATGACATTAAGCCATTATCAAGGTAACATGAACCAATTATTTAAACTGATGGAACACAGACAGATTTAGACAGAGGTGGCTCTACATATACGCATTTACTGTTCTATATTTGTTGTGGAGCATAAAAACTTTGTCAAACATAAATAGGGCATTCTAAACAGCCAATGAACTCTAGCACTAAAAGGAAAAGTTATCACAAAAACTCGATCTTCCTTCGCACCTTGAATGCCGTCTAGATTTATGCTTTTCCCTTGATCGTGATCTGGTTTTGTCTCTTTCCCGGCTTCTGCTTCTATCACGCCCTCTCTTCTTCTCATCCTTGTTCTTTTCCTTGTCTTTCTTGGACTTCCTCTTCTCTTTAGGCTTACTTTTACCTTTTCTTGACTTTTTTTTACTGTGTGACTTTGCAGATGGCTTACTTTCTACTTCCTCATCTTCACTGGCTATTTCACCCTCCTCCATTCCTGAAACACACAATAATAGTTAAATTTTGATGTCAACTGTATTAGCCATCCATCCAGTTTTAAGCAAAACACAGAATGCATATGTCCAATAGGAACATTATTGAAACCTAATTCTGACAGATATGATATGCAGACTACAGGTCAATTTTAACAACAATGTAATAGCTAGTTTCTAACCTGTGGTACACTCAACCTGAACTTGTTGTACAAGTAAACAATTTCAAGATATATTCTGCTTACTGAAGTTGAATGGTGCTACCTAAATCATGGTTATAACAACACCTTTAAATTACTTGTTATAAAGAAGTCTATGAGGTCATCAGCTGAACAAGGAAATGTGACTTACTCTTGCAATTCCTGTGCTTACCATTCATTGTGTCGTCCTCCTTCTCTCCATTTTTCATATCTTGAGTGACCAGTATCTCAACGTTCTTTTTTTCCACACTGTCTGTTTCTTTGTTGTTTCCTGTTGCTTCCTTTTTCTCTTCCACCTCTTTCTTTGCCTGATCTATGCCTTCAGTCTCCACTTTTAAATCACACTCCGCAGCTAACACTAAGTTTTCATCATTATCCTCCACAGCTTCTTCTATCTCTCCCTCTTCTTCCTGTTCTATTATGTTCTCTACATCAGAATCAATGTCCACTTCTGCATTATCTGGGCTGTTTCCCTGATGGTCAGCCATTTCTTTAGCCCTCCTTTCAGCCTCCTCCTGAGCCTGCAGGAAGACCAGGCTGTCCTTTAGACTCTTGATGATGATTGTCTTTGTTTTTCCTTTTTCTGATCCTATGAGTAAAGTAAACATATGAAATTAGTTAATAGGTTCTAATTAATGCGTGTTATGCACTGAAGTTGCATATACTGTACTGTACAACACACTACAGAACAGCTAATATGACCCAAAAGATGAGAGTGGTTTATAGATCCCTGAGTAGTATGTGTGCTAATTTATGCTTATCTTTGGCCTTCTGGGTTGACAATAGCACAAACAAAGCATTGCAAGGTGAGCTGATACTGTAGTATGTAGATGATATTCCAAAAGTGTAATGATCACACTGGTAAATGATGTACAAATCCACATTGGAGAAATAAAAGATGAAATCTTGGAGCTGGTATACTAGGACCCTCTTCAGCCAACTAACAGAATAAAAGCAAAGGAAAAAGACATAGAACAAAGGAATCGGGACAAATGACCTGTTTCCTGAGTTGAGGTAGATTGAGGATTAGGGATAATCTTCTAGACAGTATTCAGAATCATGTTTTGCAAAAAGTAAAATGGCCACGAGGCAACTATTTTTCATGCTATTAAGAAATGAAGTCACAACACTATGATTTCTCTTCAGAAATCATCTAAGAAAAATTAATTTGTAAGATTCTTGAGGATTGGGTCCATCTCTAAAAAATTGGGAAGCTGCAACCCATTCATCAAAAGCATGAAAACCAACATACAGTAACCCCCAAAACAGACCATACCTTCTTCCTGTTTATTTTTAGTATTGTCCTTTGTCTTGAGGTTGTCCTGTTCTTTAGAGGGTGAATCACCAGAAGGGGCTGGAACTGGGATAGTTTTCAGGTCCAGTCCAGTACCATTTACCCCTTTTACCTCCTCATTCTTCTGTAAGTCATCCAAATGTAGCAGTGGCTGAGGAAGTGGGATGGAACTAGGATCTGGAACAGTTGGGGCTGGGATTGGAAGGGGTATGCTTTCCAGAGCAATAACACCCCCAGTACTGTTACGTGACTTGGATTCTGACCCAGGAGTTGGTATACTACTAAGGTCAATATTTGGAGCATTTTGACTTTTCAGTGCTGCAATCTTGCTGCATTTTTCTCTTGCTTTTTCAAACAAATCAAATGGTTCCTTAGAATATGACGATCTTCTCTGGGACCTTGACCCTGACCTTCGTGATCTTGACCTTGATCTTCTGTTATTTGACCTTGACCTTCGGGATCTTGACCGAGAACTTCTTTGTGATTTAGACACTGATCTTCTATGGGATCTTGATCTTGATTTTCTTCTGGATCTGGATCTTGACTTTCTTTGCGATCCTGATATCGACCTTCGTAATCTTGACATAGATCTACGTCTTGATGAGGGCTTCGGAGATGAAGACCTTGAAAATGACTTGGAGGATCTTTGCCTTTTTGATGGTTTTGGTGTTAATGACCTTGAATGTGACCGAGAGGGTCTTTTACGTTTTTCTGTTATTGAGGGTGACCTTGTTCCTGACTTCTGTTGCCAAGACTTTGTCTTGGAATGTGATCTTGAACATCTTGTCTGTTTAGAAAGTGAAACTGATCTTGACTTAGAATGTCTTTGTCTGACTCTACTGACAGATCGTGACCTTGAGTGATGGTTATTCACAGAGTGTGACTGTGATGGGGAGGAAGACTTGGAGGTTCCAGTCTGATCAGTCTTAAGGTATTTCACCTGTGACTCATCTTTACTGTCTGAATCTGATCTTGACTTCCTTCTCTTTCTGTTGTCAGGTTCCACACTTTTGGAGGAAGGCTCAGTCAACTTGGGGCTTTGAGATTTGAGCATATTCTTCTGTTTTTCTTTGCCATCTGGTGATTGAGCCTTTTTTATTTCTTCCTGTACCAATATTTTCTCAATTAAAGCCTGGTTTCGGACCTTAATATCCTGTAAAATATTTGTAGAGACTTGATTCTCTTCAGGAGCTTCACTAATCTCTTTTTTCTTCCTTTTTTTGTGTTTGTGTCTACCCACATCTTCTTTTTTTCGTCGCCTTTTCTTCTTTTTCTTTTTATCCTTCTTCTTCTTTGGTGTTTTTCGCTTGTCTGTTTTTTCAACTTGGATCTTATCTTCAACTATTTTTGCAGTTTCTTTTGTCTCCTCTTCACTCTCACTAGACTTTGAGTCACTTCCCTCATCTTCACTATTGTCCGAATCTCCAACATTTATGCAAACTTCACCATCTCCGACATCATCATCTTCTGGTTCATGTACTTTTGGTGACAAAGGGACATTTAGGGAGTTGAAGAGCTCATTTATAATTTCATCAGAAGTTTTGTTGTTCTCTGCGTCTCCCATCTGAAATAGTAAATATTCAATTTTATCAAAGTTATCTTCATAAATTAAAGTTTACCTAAATTTATTAAAATAGAAAGCTGAACATTTGATTTCCCTTTTTGGTTTCCAGTGACCCCTCTTAAAATTATATTCAATTTTATTATATGCACAGTACGGTACTTAAATTTAAATAGGATAAAATTATAAATAGCACATTTTCCCTTACTGCCGACTTTGAACAACCAATATTGTTGGTAATTGGGGAGGTCTTATTGGTTAAAATACTCTAAAAATATAAATTTGTGCCAAAAACGTAATATTTTTGTTTTCTTTCTCCCTATATAAATAGAAATATGAAATTCCATGTTAGACCTAAAATGAATCTTTACCTCTATTTTTGTTTGTAGTTTCCATGCACAACAGAAATATGGTTAGGTATGTTTATAGCTACACAACGATCGACTCACGGTGAAATAAATATCAAATGCTGCCAGTCACGGTCAAATATAGTTCTTGCGTTGTTTTCCGGTAATGGACGATTTGCCAATCAGAGCGCACTCTTGGTAAAATAGCGTTAATAGGAACTTAGCCGGTCACAGGAAAATATCCACTGCCAAAATTTAATCTATCGGTATTCATTCACATTATGGCTCCCTCGTGATGTAACCACCAAAAAACGCACTAAAACAAAAAGAGAATCACTTTTTCTCTGCCACCAGTTAAATAAGGTAAGAGTTTGTATGTTAGTACAGTACAGTATTACACCTCTTTGCATGTTAGTAAAGGTTAGGTCAGGTTTTCAAAGATTTGTTTGGTGTCCTTTTTTTTGTGATTAACTCCACATTTTCTCTAATCTTTAATTCCCTGCCCACTTTGTTGCAATAATGGTTGTCCTTAAATATACATCAGCGACAGAAATAAGTCATAATCTTTCAAATCATCATGAAAAACATAAGGAAAACATATTTTGATTCTTAAATTCTTATTGTGGCATGAAACAAATCTTTACCTTTTCATCATCACGAAGGTATTTAGCATGAAAAATTTCTTCATTTAAAGGTTTTAAAATTAAACATTATGGGTTTTTGCGGATTAATTATTATACATCTTTATGTCCACAAGGGGTTCAGGGTTTGGAGAGTTGTAGTGGGTTTCAGATTTGACCTTATTGCACTGTCCAGCAAAACAACTGATTCAAAGCAGAAATAATTGTGAAGTAACAGTAAACCAAAGATCTAAAGAGAATCTTATTACCAGGTAGATAATATCTGCACAGTTAGCACCTGACAGAGGCCTGTGTGAATGTCCCCTCCTGTAGAAACACGTCCTCAATATTGCCGGCTAGTCACAAGTGTCTTGCGTTAAAAACTACTTACAAGATAACTACCGACTCATTGTGAATTCGTCTACAAATAATGGAACGCAAACTACCTGAAACACCGAAGGGAAACACAAAATAACAGAAACTCCATTGGCATCTTACCTTACACCCCTCGGTTTTGTTGACAACCAGAATGCTGGGGCCTGGGGTAATCCTTTGAGCGAATAGTATATGTTTCACAAAATTATTATAAAGTGTTTTCATATTAATAGCCACTAAATTTATCATATTATTATATATTTACATTTATGTCGAAATCAATCCAAAATATTGCATAGATGCATTATGTAATAACAAGTAATTGACTTTAGCGCGTGATTTAAACATGTCTCATGGTCTCACCCACCCATGTGAGATTGCAATTTTATAAATTTAATTCTGTGTTTTGGTATTTATTATTAACTCTTGGTGCAGGTTTTTTGAGCTGCTCAAATGGTCTTGAGTGGAGTTTAGCAAATGTTCTTTAACAATATAGGAAAATTCTCCTTCAACTGTAAATAAATCTAAAGTACCGGTTCGTCGCAGCCTGGATAAATGTATATACAGGCATGGAAACCCCACCTTCAGAAAAATTGTAACACAGAGAGACCAATGACTGATTGAAAGTACTTAGTTTAGAGTGGGACTATAAACGTGTGAGACCTTGGCCAGTAATTGAATAGTGTATGATTGCTACACACTCCAAGGGAATATTACAAGTTTCCCCAAAATGAAGGGGGGAAAGGGAGATGCTTTACCTCTGAAGAAGATAAGATTTTCTATTAATATTAAAAGGACATTAATATGTAGCGATCATTTTAAAAAGAGTGAGTTTGGGAGAAGCATCTCAGGGGGCACTACTCAGTTGAGTGTCCTTACTTGGAGCTGGCGGACGCTCGCCCCACAAGGGGTCACAGCTCAAGATTGAAGAAGCCGCAAGTCCAGAAAACTGTGAGGGCAAACTTTTTCGGAGTGAGAGTTGTGAACTCTTGGAACAATCTACCAGAAAGTGTTGTGACGGCACCGAGTGTGAGCTCTTTCAAGAGAAGACTTGACCAACACTGGAGCGGGTTCAGGTACATTCAGGAGCCGGTGCATGCCCAGTACTTGCCAACAGTGTGTGACAGAGACGTGACCGATCGCCCGGGCGGCTAATGAGCCGATCAATTGGTGAAGAGGATAAAAGTAAAAGAAATACCCGGTCAAACAATTCCAAAACTTCTAATAAGAATTAAAGAAGGTTCAATCCCAACACTACAATTACTTGAAGCACAAGGTGAGACGATTAAGATATGACATAACTATTGAATTTTTAAGTATTATTACTAATGTTTTGCAAAAAAAATTATATTCCACTGTGCTGTTCCAACAGTTGAATTATATTATATGATACAAGAGGAATTGTGTAATGTGAGTAGGTGTGCTCACTTTAAACTTGAGTATAAAAGCGTACAATTTATTGATGCTTTCAATTTAAATGCACAGCCTATTCAGTTACGTACTGCATTGCATTGACTGAAGCAATGGATGCACCTGGGACGTACCAACGGTAAGGAGGCGTATCATATGTCCCAACGCGATGAAGAAACTGCACTATTGGAGACTGAATGTGAGAAGGACCCAGGTGTGTATGCTGACAATGAGCTGAAGTTCTCGGGCCATTACGAGAAGGTAAATCAGGCAAATAAATTATTAGATCTTATAAGAAGGTTGTTCAGATATTTAGAGGGTCCGTCCCTCGTAACGATCTTCAAGAGTGAAGTGCTTTCCCATCTGGAGTACTGTCACCCCGTCTGGTCCTCGAGATATGCTAGGGACTGTCAGTTGGTTGAAAATGTTCAAAGGAGGGCCACGGCCACCAGACTGGTACCCGCACTTCGGCACCTCAACTACCCTGAGAGATTGGAGCGCCTGAACTTGCCTAGCTTAAACACCTAATTGAGGTGTATAAGCATCTCAAGGGGCACTACCCAGTCGAGTGTCCTTACTTGGAGCTGGCGGACGCTCACCCCACAAGGGGTCACAGCTCAAGATTGAAGAAGTCGCAGGTCCAGAAAACTGTGAGGGCAATCTTTTTCGGAGAGAGAGTTGTGAACTCTTGGAACAATCTACCAGAAAGTGTTGTGACGGCACCGAGTGTGAGCTCTTTCAAGACCAGACTTGACCAACACTGGAGCATGTTCAGGTACATTCAGGAGCCGGTGCATGCCCAGTACTTGCCAACAGTGTGTAACAGAGACGTGACCGACCACCCAAGCGGCTAACGAGACGATCAGTGGTGAAGAGGATAAAAGTAAAAAGTAAAGTATTTCACAATGTACTTTTACTTTTATCCTCTTCACCACTGATCGTCTCGTTAGCCGCTTGGGCGATCGGTCACGTCTCTGTTACGCCCTGGAAACATTGGTAACGCAGCCACTTTCAGCAAAGTACTGTATAATATATGAAAAAAGTACTGTACTTGAAGTGAATAGAGCAAGCAAACAAGTTTAATAATAATAATAATAATAATAATAATAATAATAATAATAATAATAATAATAATAATAATGGTTATATACAGTACAATCAATGTTGCAAATGCATTCCAGTAGCAAATCTTTTATTTTGAACTTCAAACTTTTAAATTGTAAACATAATAATTATTTAACACTATCATGCAAATTATATAAAACAGATATAAGTAATGGAATACTGTATATACATATAATAAGGTACACTATAGCTGCAAATATGAAATTTCTATACAGGATCCCACCCAATAAGACACACATAATTATAAAACCACCATTTTAACAGAAAAGATGTTCAGTATCTGTAGATTTGTTTCACTGAAAGCCACAAAAACAAACTGTACAAATTCAAATCCTTTACCTTTACCTTGTGTTAAAACTACTTAACTTTATTTCTAGCAACTTCTGGAAAAAATAGCATCATCAGTTTGTTTTGTACTTTCACCCAAGATTAAAACTGTCACAAAAAACTTGCTTCACATCTCCAAAGAAAATGTTATGTTAGGTTGAGTTTAGTGTGGGATAAAAATACAAGGCTTCTATATATTTTTTCATTTATCTTTGTTTGTTTAATTGGATTACCTGAAGATTAGACACCAGCTTATTTCACCCAATTACATTATTAAACACCCTAACGCGATCTGTGGGGTTAGGTTAGGTTAGTTTAGGTAAGGTTAGGTTACGTTAGGTTAGGTTAGTTTAGGTAAGGTTAGGTTACGTTAGGTTAGGTTAGTTTAGGTAAGGTTAGGTTACGTTAGGTTAGGTTAGTTTAGGTAAGGTTAGGTTAGCTTGTCTAATCATCAGGTGAAATAAGGTGGGATTCCTAATCTTCAGGTGAAATAATCTTGGCTGTCTACTCTTCAGGTGAAATAAACCATGACGGAACCCTATACTGTAATTGGTTTGGTTAGGTTAAGGCTATGTCAGGTAAGGTTTTGATTAAGGCTATGTTAGGTTAGTTTTATATTCTGTTAATGTTATAGCTGGTTAAATGTCAAGTTAATGTACGTTAGTCTCGACTATCTGTATGATGAAGTCCAATCAGTTGTTTAACTTGTTTTGTTCTAGTCGTTGCCGCTGCCTTTAAATGTGCAATCAAGTAATATATTTAAAGTGCTTCACCCCCAGTGCAAAGGTGCCAATGCTTCCTATAGTCTTTGTTAAGGGAATGTTCATTGGTTATGTTTTGTCAAACTGTGTTAAAGGGTCGCCCAGCCCTGTACACGGCACCGTGGCCCTAAAATAGAGCTTGGTACACTTCTGGTTTCTCCTCTTTAAGAAGTCTTACTTCGGCGACGTCAACGTCAATGCAACCCCATCGTGCATATTTCACATGGCCACGCGGAAAGTCAAGGGGAATCATCTCGGCAAATGGATCGATTTCCATGGACATGTTGTCATCCCGTTTTGAGGCTATGTCATCAAAGAAGAGTTGTGAGAAATCTGAAACATAGTTCTCCCAGAACACAAACGTATCAGAACAGCTTTTACATTTCTAAAAGAAATTTTCCATGAGACGATGCAGAATTAGGTACAATCTCTGAAGCCTGCTGGAGGAATTCTAAGCTGCAGCTCTGTCTATATATATTGTTAATAACTAAGGTCTAATGGTTATTGTCATAGCTAACGGATTTAAAAGGTTATTTTTATTTTATTCTTTGACTGGGAAAATTTCCCGTCACCAAGGTTCAGTTCTTGCCGCACAATTATTGTGTTTATTCAGTAATTATCAGACCTCGCATAGGGTTTGGGTCAGTTCTAGAATTATTACAGGAATCAAGGTAAATGAAGAAAATAATAGAGATCAAAAGTTTACAAACCTAGATAATTTATTTCCTCAAATTTTCTCAAGATTTATATAGTAATAATTCACTCACAGTCATTCCTAGTCACACTACAAAATACACAGTAATGAAAATGGTGTTCCTACTGGGGACCTTACACAGTTAATTCACTGTAAACCGTCACTGTAATGTTCAGGGTTCAATCACCGATTTTCAATATACACAGTCACTTTGATTTTCAATGTACATGGCTGTAATTTTCATTGGTCGCAGACTCGCTGTTACACTATCCACGGCCAGCCCTGGAGGAGGAAATGGTCGGCACGCCTGCATCCAGAGACATGAGAAAGCAACAGAGAAAAATACACCGAGAACTTTCCACTCTGGTCGCCCTGAAAAGCTGGACAGCAGTGTGCTTAGCCTTAACTTCACTTTATCCTCTTCGCCACCTGTTAACCGCTTGGGCGGTCAGCCACGGCTCTGTTACGCACTGTTGGCAAGTACTTGTTCCAGAATGTGTTTGAACCTGAAATGAACTCACACTTGGTGCCATCACAACACACTGACAGACTATTGCAAGAGTTCACAACTCCCACTCCCCAAAAATGATTGCCCTGGCAATTTTCTGAACTTGTGGATTCTTTAATCTAGTAGGGCGGGCATCCTCTTGTTGAAGGTGTGAGCACTCGAGGTGCTTATGAATTTCTATTAAATTACCCCTTGCCCATCTATGGTATAAAGCAAGCTATGCAACTGCGGGCACTCGAGTCTCTCTGGGTACCTGAGGTGCCGGAGTGTAGGCACCAGTTTGAGGGCCCTCTTTTGGACGTCCTCAGTCTATTGACAGTCTCTAGCATATCTCGGAGACCAGATAGGATGACAGTACTTCAAACAGGGAAGCACTTCATTTTTCACAATGCCCACTATCTTAACGTTAATTGTGCCATTTCACACACGGTATACTTTAACCTATTTTAAAAAAGCAGACACTTGGGCGTATTAAGGAAACACAGACCAGATAACTTTGTTAAAGTCCTTCGTGACGAAATGTTAGGAATAAAGTTATCTCTCTGGGTCTGTTTCCATTTGTCCCGAGGAATCATATCCATAATGTTATCTTTTAACAGATCATACAGCTTAATGAAACATAGACAGTATACGTTGGTCAAAACAGAAAATTGGTGAAGACAAAATACAATGACAATTTGAGCATAGCAATCCGTAAATATACAACATGCCTACATATTCAGGTAAAGGGTATACTTCTGTTGACGACTACTGATATGAAGATGATGCCTAACATTTAATCTATATTAGAAACATATTTCAACGAAAGCAAAACAAATAAATTTAAAACCACAACCCTAGGATGAGCATTTCGCTGCACGTTAAGCTCATAGCTCAATGTATTATTCCAGGCAGCTCAACAGAATGCTCCTAGCTGACACTACGTCCTCTGCTAGATGTCCTAACCGTATGGAATTTCTCAGGATGGGGCTTTTATCTATGAAAGGCGTTCATGTCACAGTAGTTATAATCGCTTGTGGCGATGTTCTCAACAGTATCATAGGTGCAGGACTCTGCTAATCTTTGCCCCATGGGTGCTAGTCGTATATTGACATAATCTTCCTCGTTGGGGTAGGTGGTGTCAGTAGTGTTTGAAGATTGCTTTCGGGAGGCCAGGGAATGAGAAGCATCACTAGAACATTGACGGGAAGCTGAAGAATGCAAAGAAGACTCTGGATTATGGGATATGTTGCCTTGGAAAAATTTTTCATGCTTCAGGATTTCCACCTCCACGGGTTTCACTTCCTTGGCAGTCACGTAATCAAGTTCGTCGGCATGTGCTGGGGGTGAGGTGAAGTTTTGGCGACGTGGCGGCTGAGGCGGTATTATAGACTGGTGCTTCTCCCTGTGCAGGGCCCAAGGATCACCACCTTGCTGTTCCTGAGGACCATTACTTTTTGTGGACGACTGCAGAATCCGAGGGCCATTACCCTCTTGCCTTTCCGGTAGACCGTTTTTCGCAGGGAACATCTGATTTTGCAGCCATGTCTGAAATATAAAATTGATAGTTGAGCGAATTCACTTATATGATCATACCAAGGAGGACCTCCTTCCATCATGCACACATGCACACACACACCCACAATTATCGTGAGAATATGTTAAGGTACGTTGACGTGTCCTAGGTAAGTGAGTTGACATTTACTTGCCTGGTATTTTTTTTAATTGTTTTGACAAATTTTGGTGGAAATGTGGTTTTCCAGGTTTTTTATGGGAAAAGTCACGTAAACATTAAAAAAAAAATCCAAATTTATTGCGTGCACTCACTCACAGATCACTTGTGTCCCTCTAAATGCCCTTGACCCTCACCCTTCTCTATCCAGTGACGTTTGAAGAACCCGGTCAATTTCCCTCGTTTCACATTCATATTGACGTTCTCACTTTAATTTTTTAGCACAACTTTGCTTACACAGCAATCAGTGTGAACCTTTATACAGATTAGACAGATAAGGAAATAAGGATGAGTGACTTACCGGCGCCGAGCTAGACACCATAAAGCGCACCAGCAACACAATGACGACGATGCTCAGCACTAGCAGCACTCCCACCACCGACAAAACAGCAGATAACACCACCACTATCAACGACACTGGCGCTGTTAATAACAAAGCAACTCAGGTAATTACAGAAAAAGAAACCATCCCAGTATATGTGATATGTTCAGGGTTATATCAGGGGTTAAAATTGTATGAGACTTAATTAGTGTGTCAGTGTGGTCAAACAACATTAGTCTGATTTAGTCATGTCAACTGTGAAAATCTAAGGTGACCTCTGGTATAAGGTTTAGATTCTTGATTCACAGCTCACACAACGCACGTAAATTTTGGCTGTACAGTATAGACACACTATTAATGCCTTCTGTGCTTAGCTATTTAGGGTTAAAACACAAGTAAAGGCTAAGATTATAATTTATGTACCACAAAAGTATAGTCGACACAAACTGTTAATACGAAATACAAAAAGCCACTAGCAGTAAGACTATGCAGTAGTGTAGGGAAAACCTGTGTGTGTGAGGGAGGGGGGTAGGAGACGCATGGGTCACTTACTTGATGTGTGTTTGGGGTCGGTGGGCAAGGGGTGGGCCACGTATATACTGCCCGTCATGTTTTCCTTCACCTCCATCCTGATGTTGGAGCCATAGTTTATCCTTACCGGGCTCTTTAGTGTGAAGCCATTACCGATGATCTTGAGACAGAAGTGGATAGGTTAGCTGGAGTGAGGAGACGGGTGGGTTTGGACAGGGTGGGCTATGAGACAGCTAACGAGCCGATCAGTGATGAAGAGGATAAAAGTAAGTAAAAGTAAAAGTAAAATACCTTAGGCAATAGAATGTCTTATAGGCTTTGGTGTTTGGGGTAAGGTCAGGATGGATGAGGGTGGGATGGTTAATTTAGGTTAAATTTTACTTTGTTAGATTGAAAAATGTTACGTTAGATTGGGGGGCAGACTTATGCATCGTTGAATTAAAACTACCTTTTTATGAATGTTTTATGTAAATAAACAATTATACGCTTTTGATTTCATGATGGATGCGCTTTGATTCGCAACAAATATACTAATGGCAAAGAAAATGCACTGTATGGAGCCCGTTCCGTTTGATACCCATTCCTGTGAATGCTTGTGATATAACAACATTGTCCTCACGTGTGGGAGACCTCGCACAGTAATGCTGTTGTAATACAAGCATTCGCGTGATTTTCATGAGAATTTGCAAAACAGTGTGTATACATTTTCTGAGACAGAGTGTAATGTATATATACGTGTCACAAAATGCGTCACCTTATATTGGTCATTGGTAGTGAGCTTTAAGTTCAGGTGAAGATGAACGCCAGGCAGCAGACCGAGATCACCACACCCGTCTGTGGACATCTTGAGAAGAGGTGTACCCTCTTCGTTCATACACAGGCTCATATCATTCTGGTTGATGTTCAGCAGCAAGGGCGCCGCTTCCGTCGCCAGGATTGTGAAATTCTCATCTTTTTCTAGCCGGAACTCGACCGGATCGTCGTTGACTGTTAGGTTCCATATGGATTGACCTGACACAAGCGACAAGTTAACAACAAAAATAATAATATAGTAATAAAACTGTAATAATAAAAGTTAGCATGTTAAAATCCATGGAAATACTGTACTGATGTGCTATTCGACGTGAGCGATCACCCAAGTGGGCGGTCGGTCACGTCTCTGTTACACACTGTTAGCAAGTACTGGGCATGCACCGGCTCCTGAATGTATCTGAACCTGCTCCAGAGATGGAGAACTCTCTATAAATAAATCAAGGTTCATTTTTACGAAGGGAAAATATTAAAGTTAAGTCAAGAATCGGATTCACAAAAATTCGTACGATGAATATTGCTTGTAACTGAAGATGTTTAATCAAGGAATTGCTTAAATGGTTTACTTAAACTGAGACTCTAGGTATGTTCACTGGCCAACTGTTACTATATACTGACCAAAAGATTCCCTAAATTTTATCTCTACGTGGTACTGAGTAAACGCGTCTATATAAAGTAGTCTTTATTGTATATAGTTACTTTGGAGGATTTTTATTTTTCCTTTAGCTTAATCAACCAGTTATGACCATTCTTACCTCTTCAGTTATAAGGACTATTCATTGTACGAACCTTTGGAATCAGCGTCCAGGCTATTAAAAGTAATGCCAACAGGAGAGATAGATAGTAACACACCTTGTGGACAGTCGGTCATAAATTGTACGTTTGCCATGACAAGGTAGAGAGGTTGGCGGGGGTGGGGTATGTCTGGCCCACTCGCCACTAGTTGCCCCGCCAAAAACAGCTCGAGCTTGGGGAACACCTGTAGCTTCGCCTGCGTCCATTTTTCCTGTCCACTGAAGGCTTTCTCCTTTGGCAACCCCAGCGTAAAATTTTTCCCATTTCTTGTCACTGTCACCCATAGATTCTTGTCCAAGGGCTCAGCCAACATCAGGTTCAGGGATGACCCCAGGACGGTCTGTTCCATACCACGGTGAACCGTACAACCTTCAAGAGACCAAGGTTATGAATCAAAGGTCAGAGGTGGTCAAGGGAAGATTATAGTAGGGCAACACTCACTCGGGGGTCAAGGTCAGTGGTGGCTGGGGTTTAAAGTTCATTTACCTGTGTGTGTGTGTGTGTGTGTGTGTGTGTGTGTGTGTGTGTGTGTGTGTATGTGTGTGTGTGTGTGTGTGTGTGTGATTTTAGTAGAGATAATTTAGTTTTTAACAGAATATAACGTATAGTTACTAGGATTTACTCTTCAGCATGGCTTAGAATCAGCAACACAGTATAGTATACGTTTAAGACTTTCAAATCTGGCCGACATGAACTGTTGCAGTCGTGGCGGGTCACACGGTGTAACGCGTGACAGGTGCGAGAAAGTAATTTTCTTTAGTATAGTACAGGTGCTCGTGGTGTTCGTGGACAATCACTCAGATAAACCTTCCATGAAATTGTGTAAGAAGCAGCAAACATAGGCTTTAGCGGAGGTATTTCTTCAACCGTGCAACAAAAATTTTATTTACCACACAAACCGAGGAAAATCAGGGGTTCATAACACTCGTGCATGGCCTTATATTGGGACGAGAGAAGTAATCCTGGCATCAATCAGTAGCGTACAGTAGCTGTATTACACACACACACTGGTATTTTCCCCAAGACACATCCATTATTTGGACTGATTAAGTATCCTGGCTTAGACTCTATTAATTCAGTAATACAGATTCTCCAACAAGTGAGATATGCCGTCTGTGGATATTCAAGAATATATAATTATCTAATTCCTTCTACCAGATCATGAGCGGCAGAAACACTTGAGTTGGTGTTTTATGTATGTTCATGTTTACAATTTATTCCAACGTGTCTTTTATCTAGCGCACTAGTAGCCGCACCCCATATTGCATAGACCAGTGCAAAGTGTACAGGATCGCCCTCTTTGTCCGCTCCACACTTGTTGAGCAGCCGTAGTTAAGAGGCAGCAAAGAATAAGTGTTTCTCTTCTCCCAAAAAGTGACGACTATTCTCAGATATGATATAGGCTAAGTGGTTTTCCTATACGACCAAAGGATCACACAGTTAGACAGTATTGTTATTTCCTTCAGGCATGCAACAAGCTGTGCAGTGTACCATGGAATATAAACACTTTGACAAAATTTTTTGTACCTTAATAAGAACATAAGAACATAAGAATGGAGGAAACTGCAGCCTATTGGCCCATACTGGGCAGTCCCGTTTACACAGAACCCCTATTGCTCATATAAGCATCCAACCTATGTTTGAAGCTATTCAGCATATTCGAGTTAATGATGATATTTGGTAACTTGTTCCATTCATCCACTACTCTGTTTCCAAACCAGTGTTTACCTATTTCACGCCTAAATCTAAATTTGTCTAATTTAAAACCATTGTTATGAGTTCGCTCCTGGTTGGATAGTTTGAGTACCTTTGTAATGTCCCCTTTGTTTAGCCCTGACTTCCACTTATACACCTCTATCAGGTCGCCCCTCGCTCTACGTCTCTCGAGGGAGTGCAAATTAAGATGCTTTAACCTGTCTCTATGCTCAAGGTACCTAATGCCCGGGATTAATCTTGTCATTCTCCTCTGAATTCTTTCCAATGATTCTATATCCATTCTGTAATACTGTGACCAGAACTGAACTGCATAATCAAGGTGTGGTCTCACAAGAGCAAGATACAGTTTTAGGATGACCTCGCTAGTCTTGTAACTAACACTCCTTTGTATGAACCCAAGTACTTTATTAGCCTTGTTACGAGCAAAAACACATTGTTTACTTGGCTTAAGGTTCCTACTTATCATTACTCCTAAATCTCTCTCGCAGTCGGATTTCTCTATGGCATCGTTGTTCATCTGGTATCTGGTTTCCCTGTTTACATCTCCTATGCTGAGTACTTTACATTTGTCCACGTCGAATTTCATCTGCCACTTTTCAGACCATTCGAAAAATTTGCTTAGATCTTCCTGTAGATTTGCTGAGTCCTCGTCAGATTTAATAACACGTCCTATTTTAGTGTCATCAGCAAATTTACTTATGTTGCTGTCTATGCCGATATCTATGTCGTTTATGTATATAATAAATAATAATGGTCCAAGTACTGAGCCTTGGGGAACTCCACTTGTGACGTTGCTCCAATGGGACTTAGTGCCGTTAATGCTCACTCGCTTTTTCCTGTCCTGTAACCACGCTCTAATCCATTTAAGGATGTTACCTTTGATACCATGAGCTTCTACCTTTCTAATTAGTCTTTCGTGGGGGACTCTGTCGAGGGCTTTGCTAAAGTCGAGATATACCACATCATAATTGTGCCCCTCGTCCACCGATTCGAAAGCTGATGAAAAGAGTGTTAATAGATTAGTTAGACAAGAACGTCCGCTTGTGAAGCCATGCTGGGAATCATTGATCAATCGGTGCTTCTCCAGGTGATTTCGAATAGAGTTTGAAATGATTGCTTCCAGTAATTTGCCTACTATTGATGTTAGACTGATTGGGCGGTAGTTAGAGGATAGTGATCTATCCCCCTTCTTGAAAATCGGTATTACATTCGCTATCCTCCAGGATTCTGGTACTACACCTGTTTTTAAGGACATGTTAAACAACTTTGCTAAGGGCATACTAAGCTCTTCCTTACATTCCTTTAATACTCTGGCAAATATCTCATCGGGACTAGGTGACTTATTAGGCTTTAGTTTGTCTATTTGCTTACTAACATCGTTACTAGTCACTACTATCTCGCTTAATTTGTTTTCTTCACTATCTCTGAATAGAGTCGGTGCCTCGGGTATCATGTTTAAATTTTCGGTGGTGAAAACTGTTGAAAAATATTTATTCAAATTATTGCTCATTTCTCCGTCGTTATCAGTGAGCTCGCCGGTATCTGACCGTATTGGTCCAATCTTTTCTTGTGTTTTAGTTTGATACATTTGGTAGAATCCTTTGGGGTTTGTCTTCGCCTCCCTTGCTATCCTAACCTCATTATTCCTCTTGGCTTTCCTTATCTCGGTTTTAACCCTACTTGCCAATATCTTATAATAATCCTGGAGGTAAATTTCGCCACACTTTATCCTTCTACCTATAGCCTTCCTATGGCCAATGATGTTCTTTAAATAATTATTTATCCATTTTGGGTCATTGTTGTCTGATCTGAGTTTTTTGTATGGTATGTTCTGCCTTTGTGCATTAAGTAACTCATTATTCAAATTGCCGTGGAACTCGGCAGTCTCAGATGTCGTTATCAGGTCGGAGTCATCTGTCAGGTTCACAGCCAAGCGCGACACCCCCTCTCTCAGCTGCCTCTTTAAACTGTCAAAGTTTGCCCTTCTGAAATCTGGTACTTTAGTGGAATTTTCCTTACGTCTGCCCTGAAAATCTAACTGGAATCGAATTTCTTTGTGATCGCTGTTTGCAAGTTCGTTGCCTACCTCGACATTGCTAATGAGGTTTTCTCTGTTCGACAGAACTAAATCGAGTATATTATTACCCCGTGTGGGTTCGGTTATATGTTGACTTAGGAAACAGTCCTGGATCGTCTCGAGAAAATCCTCTGATTCTGAGTTACCCGTAAGGTCAGTCCAATCTATTTGGCCAAGGTTAAAGTCGCCTACTATACAGACTTTGTTGTGTATGGAAGCCCTGCGCATTTCATCCCAGATAAGTCGCTCATTGACTCTATCAAGATTGGGAGGTCTATATATTACTCCTGTGATTAATTTTTCCCTACCGTCGCTTAATTCTATCCAAATTGTTTCTGTATTCCGCTCAGTTTTTATTTCCTTATTTATTTCACACTTCAGATTATCCCTAACATAGATTGCTACTCCGCCTCCTTTCCTGGTTTGCCTATCGGTATGGAACAATTTGTAACCCGCAATTTGGTATTCGACCGGCAACTCACGTGAGTCTAGGTTGATCCATGTTTCAGTGAATGCTATTATATCGATTTTTTCGGTACATACCAAGGCCCTAATATCATCCATTTTGTTTCTCATACTTCTACTGTTCGCATAGTAGACATTTAAGTTAGTCGTGTTCTGAGTCCTCCCTTTACCGCGTTTAGTTTTAAACTCCCTGTTTAATTTAGTTTTGTCATCATTCCTAACACTATTTCCCTGTAATCTTTTACTTTGTTTACCCGCTCCCACTGCAGTTTCCCCCACCCCCGTGCCCATATGTTCCCCTAGCAGTTTAAAGACTTCGATATCCTTTGAACTGCCCCCTCTAGAGACCCAGCCAGGGTTGCCACCCCATCCCGAGACAGGTGCACCCCATCCCTAGCATAAAGGTCCCTTCTGCCGTAGAAGTTGTCCCAGTTGTCAATGAATGGGACAGATATTGACTTGCAATATCTGTCAAGACGGTCGTTGACACCAACCGCCCTTGACAACCATTCACTGCCAACTCTCCTTCTAGGCAGGACACGGCATATGATAGGGATCCCTCCCTTAGACCTAATACGATCTATAGCTGCCTTGAACTTATCAAGAAGCTCCTCGCTCCTACACCGTCCAATATCATTGCCTCCTGCACTGAGGCAGATAATGGGTTTTTTCCCATTACCAGACAAGATATTGTCCATCCTGTCAATTATATCCCCCACCCCAGCTCCTGGCAAATACACCCTCATCCTATTTTTGTTTTTACCACAAAAGGCCCTGTCCATGTACCTTACCTGTGAGTCACCAACAATTAAAGTTTTTATACCTTCCTTGTCATCCCTGTCCCTGACTGTACTAACGTCCAATTCGTCTATCAAGGGACTGAACGAGTTGGTACACTTAGCTGTTGTTGTCGTTGTTGTCGTATACTTGTTGTACTTCTTCACCACCAGCTTCGTCTTCCCACTACTCACAACCTTCCACTCGCTTGAGTTTTCGTCAGACACTGGCTTTCCCTGTCCAGCCTCCCCTTTTAACCTCGCCAGCTCTTCCTTTAATTTCAGGTTCTCCAATGTGGCCCTCTCAATTTCTTCCTTGGCCCTCGCCAATTCTTCCATGGACCACTCCAGTTTGGTCAACAAACTCACATACCCAAGACCGCACATAGCACTGGCCATATCTGATAATTATCCCTCGGGAGCTAACCCTGCCGTGACCTTTCCCCTAGTGAGGTCACAATCTTATCATCTAACTTATATTAACCATTTACGGATTTAAGGATCGACTGCTGTCCTTGGTAACGAGAGATAACTATCTTACCATCCTGAAAATCCAAGGCGCTGATAAAGCTGGCAAAGGCGACCGTCAGCAACACTGTGACGCTGCTGCTCATGTTGCTTCTTGAGGCACTCGATCTTTGTAGGTTTACACCACGGTTGGCCCTGTGTACAGTAGGACCACTTCTCTGAAGCTGATATTGTGAATGATTTTTGGTGGTTTTGGATAATAAATGAACAGTCCAAGCCACAGAGTCTGTGGTGCAAGGCTAGGCTGAGGACTCCAACTATGAGCAACAGTGAGGAAGAGACGCGCGATGAGTGCTTACGCTACCTCGCCTGGCCGCTCACTAACTGGTCCTTTTATCTCTACAACTTAAAACTGACGTCACCAGTGTCATACCCTGACTGATTTATTAATCCATATTACTTTCTATTCCATTCGTAATAAAACAAAGGACCCAGAATAAAAATCCTCAAAGACGAGTGCCTTTACTCTTCGTTTTCCTACAGAAGAATAGTGAATCTAATTGTAGCAACCCTTTAACAACCACCGCGTTGTCCTTACTTGCGTGCGCCAGTTGAATCTTTTCACACCATAACTTACTGCGGAGAAAATTTTACGTACCAGTCTTTGGGAATTCGGTAGCCCCCACAAAAGTTCTCGCAAATTCAGGCTTAAACTTGTCTGAGTGGTAAAAGTTCCAAAACAACATTCTTCCCAACGTCGGACGTGTATTACCAAAAAGTCGTAAATTCACTTGTCGATTAGTCAACAAAGAGTTAAAGTAGAATATTAAAGTCATACCTGGGGTTCAAAATAGACATGATATTGTTATTGGAACCTGTATGTGTAAAGAGAACGTTTGCAGTATTGACATTAAGCCGTATACACACACACACACACACACACACACACATACAACTATGATTCCAAAAATAACATTATGGTAGCGTCACACTGGATAACACCCTTCTCACGTGTGTCCTGACCAATCAGGATTCGAACCCTTGACATATTAGTGAGAGATACGTGTACTAAGGAGTTTTTCATGGATACTCAGACCAAGAGGAGAAATGCTGTGTTGAGTGAGATGAGGGAGGTTAGGTGTTGAGATGAGGGAAATTAGGTTTTGAAATGAGGGAGGTTAAGTGTTGAGTAAGACGAGAGCGTGGTGGTGTTTCAGAGGATATCCGGAGTCTATATGTCCTTACGATAAGCAGTTATCTTCATAAAATGTAACAATCAGTACGTACAGTATGTGTATGTGTATATGTGTACGTATTTGTGCTCATTATGTATATATGTAATTTTCTGCCTCTCTGGATAGATGCACGTGAATGAATGCCTGTGTGTGTGTGTGTGTGTGTGTGTGTAGAAGAGAAAGAACGTTTCGGTTAGGTTGCATATCCGGCCTAGAAAAAGTTCCAACGGAGGGTGTTGTCTTAAAATATTTACTGTAGGTACCGAGTTGTCCTTCAGTTTGGTTAGACATGTGTCCAGTGTCGACCTTGTGAGCCAAAGATGGAGAGGCATTAGTTGCACTGGTAAAATATAAGCGTTACCGAGTTCATGTTCCTGTTAACAAAAACACATTATGTTATTTCTGCGCTTCAACAACTGAGGTTCTGAAGTGCGTAAAAAAGGTACGTATAGGTTAATCTCGCTAGATGGCATTAATGATGGGCGAGCGTGTTAGGTGATGATGTTGTGGGTTCCATCAAGAAATTAATCACTTTTTTTAAGCCAGTTCTTCTCCTATTACTTTACTTTAAGCCAAGAATCTATTTTCACGTTTTATATTTTATATGTGACTTTCGGTCTGTAAAACGTTATTTTTGGTATGTGGTGTGAAGACTATCTCTGGACTGCTCTAACTTGATATATATTTAATATTGCATAATTCATTTTCTGTCTGAAAGCATGACGTTGTGTTTACAGAAAGCTCGACAACTGGGCGCCCATGACACATAAGACAAGTACAGTATTCGAACAAACAGGAAACCGACGCCTTTATCATTATTCATGGGATTCTGCTGCAATCAAAATGACATTTAACTGACATTAGATTGCTAACATGACTAAAAAACAAACGAGCCAGAGTCCTTGAATAACTAATCAGGAATCCAACTCTACAAACTGTCTTTTATTTACACTGGAAGGTGTTTTTTTATACTCAGCGGGGACATTAAAACACCTGCCGACCGAAGCGTAAGGCAAAGTAGCGGTGTGAAGCAAGGTTAAGTGAGTTATTGATTCTAATGGTGGAAGATGTTCTAAGGATGTTCCTATATCAGTAAGAGTGATTAAGTGTAGCTGAGATAATGCTCACAACTTCAGGGTGACTGACAACCACCCACAGTGACCTAAGTTTGAAACGACTACACCCACAAAACCTGCAACTAATAACTCCTGTAGGGGTATCGAGATATTAATGTTGTCTAGCACTCAGGATGGAAGGAAACTCTAATGTGGTTTTCTTGTATAATATATAAGTTATATGAAGACAGTCTGGTGCTGGAGATGCCGTGTGGTGGGGAGCTGCTCAGTAGAAGACATTCGGTGAGTAGCGTGTTGAAGGAGGTAGATGTGCAGGAGCTTCGTTAGAGAAGATGTTGCCTGTTGCTGGCCTCCTGGTTGAATAAATGTTAACAGCTAGGAGCTTGCTGGAGGAGGTGTTGCTTGTTCAGGAAAATGGGCAGAATGAATCTCAATGGAGAGACAGAGCTTATATACCCAGCAGCCGCTATGAGTCATGTTGGGAAAACCCGAGAAGTCGCCGGTGAATAGTTTCGTTGCTAAGATACGGTAACATCTGGGGACAGCTCTCGCTTGGTTGCTAGGCAACGGCACGTTGGAATGTGATAGCAGGTGGTGGCGGTGCTACGCAGTTTGTAGGGGAGACGTCCACTACACTCCCATCAACATCTAACTTAACTTAATTATCAATAACTATTTATCTCAACAACCACCCAAACCATCAATAACTATCTATCCCATGAACAACTATCCCATTAACAATTACCCACACTATCAACAACTATCCAGAATATAAACAACTATCCAAAAGTTAGCAACGAATAACCTGATTGATCCTGCGTGTCTTTGTTTGCAGTTCAGTACACAAACTCTTTACCAAAACGTATCAACAATCTTAGAACGTTACACCCTTTGTTTGACGCACCCAAACATATCCCGACGTAAGGACTCAAGAACGATTGTGTGCGGAGGGTAACTTTCTTACTTAGTACCCGCCCAAGTGCTGCTTTGTGTGTTTGTATACGTGTGTGTTTACTCTAAAGACCTGTCAAACACTACCACAGACCTTCCAAGTAATACCACAGACTTATTGTGGATATGATCGTCTTCTAAATCATTTTATTGCTTTAAGTTTTGGTGAACATAGGGAACATCAGTTACTCCCGCACGCCGGCTGGTGTTCGTATGGGGACACACTTTTTTACCTTTACCTTACTTTTTTATCCTCTTCGCCACTGATCGGCTCGTTAGCCGCTTGGGCGGTCGGATACGTCTCAGTTATGCACTCTTGGCAAGTACTGGGCATGTACTGGCTCCATTGTATCTGTACCTGCGCCAATGTTGGTCAAGTCTGGTCTTGAAAGAGATTACACTGGGTGCCGTCACAACACTCTCTGGGAGATTGTTCCAAAAGTTTACAATTCTCATTCCGAAAAAAGTTACCCATCACAATTTTCTGGACTAGTGGCTTTTTCAACCTTGAGCTGTGATGCCTAGTGGGGTGGGCGTCAGCCAGCTCCAGGTGTGGACACTCGACTGAGTAGTGCCCTGTGAGATGTTTATAAAGTTCGATTAAATCACCCCTTGCCCACCTATAGTATAAGCTAGGCAGTTGCAGACGTTCAAATCTCTCTTCGAAACTGAGGTGCCGTAGTGCAGGCACCAGTCTGATGGCCCTCCTCTGGACATTTTCAATCAACTGACAGTCTCTAGCATATCTCGGGGACCAGACTTGGCGTCATCCGTAAACATTTGTATGGAGGAGTGTGCAGCTTCCAGCATGTCACTTATGAAACAAACAAACAACAACGGGTCCAGTACATTGTCCTGTGGTACCCCACTTGTCACGGGTACACATAATGATTTCGTGCTAATAATCACCACACTGCTTGCGGTCATGAAGAAAGTCTCCTATCCAATCTAGGAACCTTCCCGAATTCTGTTCTATTCCAGGTTAATTTTCAGCCTTACATGGGGTACACTGTCCAAAGCCTTGGCCAAATCCAGTTATATTTTGTCGATATTGCCACCCTGTTCAAGAATTTGACTCCAAACATCCAGCACCTTGAGTAATTGTATCAAATAGGAGCGTCCCGGCATAAAACCATCACGTTGACTTGAGACTGATAAGACATATTCTAAAATCGCAAATTCCAGATCAAACTCATTAATTCCCGTCACTTGGCTCAATATTCAAGTTTTTGCCAAGGCTTTCGACAGTGTACCCCCACGAAAGGCTGAAAATCAAACTGGAAGGGTACGGAATTCGGGGAAATGTCCTAGCGTGGATAGAAGACTTTCTACATGACTGCAAGCAGTGTGTGGTGATTAATGGCACGAAATCATCGTCCGTACCTGTCACAAGCGGGGTACCACAGGGCAGTGTATTGGGCCCGCTGTTGTTTGTTTGTTTCATAAATGACATGCTTGACATTGTACACTCCTCCATACAAATGTATGCCTATGACGCCAAGTTATTTCGGTAAATCAAGAACCATGGGACTGTGAAGAGCTGCAGAAGGATCTCTGTGAACTCCAAGAATGGTCGAAGAAATGGCTGCTGAAATTCAATCTCACGAAGTGTAAGATGATGTACCTGGGGTATACCAACGGTAAGGAGGCGTATCATATGTCCCAACGGGATGAAGAAACTGCACTATTTGAGACTGAATGTGGGATGGACCCAGGTGTGTATGTCGACAATGAGCTGAAGTTCTCGGGCCATTGCGAGAAGAAGGTAAATCAGACAAATAAATTATTGGGTCTTATGAGAAGGTCGTTCAGATCTTCAAGATCTTCAAGAGTGAAGTGCTTCCCTATCTGGAGTACTGTCACCTCATCTGGTCCCCGAGATATGCTAGGACCTGTCAGTTGGTTGAAAGGAAGGCCACCAGACTGGTGCCTGCACTTCGGCACCTCAACTACCCTGGGAGATTGCCTAGCTTATACTACAGACGGGCAAGGGGCAACCTAATTAAGGTGTATAAGCATCTCAAGGGGCACTACTCAGTTGAGTGTCCTTACTTGGAGCTGGCGGACGCTCGCCCCACAAGGGGTCACAGCTCAAGATTGAAGAAGCCGCAGGTCCAGAAAACTGTGAGGGCAAACTTTTTCGGAGTGAGAGTTGTGAACTCTTGGAACAATCTGCCAGAGAGTGTTGTGACGGCACCGAGTGTGAGCTCTTTTAAGACCAGACTTGACCAACACTGGAGCAGGTTCAGATACATTCAGAGCCGGTGCATGCCGAGTACTTGCCAAGCGTAACAGGGACGTGACCGATCGCCCAAGCGGCTAACGAGCCGATCAGTGTTGAAGAAGATAAAACTAAAAGTAACTGTAAACTTGTTTGATGATTTTTGCTGAATCTTTATTCATGCATGTGAAAACTTTTCGAAAGCCTTAGAAAAATCTTGCACAACACATCCACTAACCATAATCCACACCATATTGAGTATCATACAGAACGAACATAAGGAAATACGTTATACAGAGGGTGGTAGACCTATGGAATCGTCTTCCAACCCAAGCCATGGAATCACGAACAGTACTGAACTTAAAAATAGCCCTTGGCAAAATTATCAAAAACAATGGAGGGATCCTACACAGACCACTGGCCTCCTTCCCTCGGCATGACCACCTCTAGTGGGTAGCCATTAGGTAAACAAGGTAAATACGGTAAAATAAGTTTTTTCCTTTGACTAATAAAATATATAAAAAGACTAAAACGGAATAAATATCAAAACGGAACATCCCTACATATTCTACATATTGGGCTGTATTGAACCAAAGTACAACTAATTGCTAATTATTAGCAACAAGAAATAAAGAAACGAAACAAAATAAGATCTATCTGTAAGGAGTAAATGATAAATGGGAGAAACAGAGTGTTTTAAAAGAGTCAAGTTAACATTGATAAACCAACATATGACTTTCGAGCAGTGGGTTTCCCAGCCAACAGCCTCAGGACTCAAGAGTCAGGAGAGTTTTACGATCTAGCGGTGTTTGGAATAACTACTTCCGGGGTCCACCGGGATAAGACATCCTGTAGATATCTTCAAAGTATTAATTTAAATTTAGCTTACACTTACAGCTTTAAGCTTTACGATGTTCTAGAGACCAAAGGGGTATCTTGTTATAATTTCCTACAGTTTAAGGAAACACCAATCACGTAAACTAACTTTCTCGAGAGTATCCAGATAGGCCCTATATATGTTGCGTCATTTTGAAGGCGTCTGCAGAGTTCTAACTTTCACATTATTTGATTGTTGACGGACTAATGTAATTATTAAACTATTATGCTCTTAAAGATCTCAGCTGATGAACAGATTTTTGGGCCTGCGACTTTTTCAACCTTGAGCTGCGACCCCTTGTGGGGCGAGCGTCGGTTTGGTATGTATATAAACTATGCAATAATACAGGCATACAGTTCACCATATGTAGACAATGCAGGTATACAGTGTACATACACCGTGGTTTTATACAGTTTCCAATGTACGGGCACTGATATCAGCATTAAACAAAAGTTTGCAATTAGCACTAATGGACATGTCATTTTCATAACAAAAGAATAGCAATGGTCCTTGAATAATCCCTTGTGGGACTCCACGTGGGATTGGCATGGATGTTGACTCGACATTGCTTGCAACGACAAGTAAAGAAACCCATTGCCAAAAAGCTTAAATTTTGGCATATTATATTGTAGTGGATTTCTCCAATTCTCCCCTACAAACGCTGTTTGTCGCTGAGTAGCCGACCCCACGAATTCCCCAGTGTATGCCTCGTGGTCTAGGTCAACCAGCGCCGCCATACATCACGGAGGTCAACTACTAAGCCACGCCTACCTCCGCTATTTAAGACCTGACCTCGTGGTGACCTGTCTCCTTTCTACCTACACCAACCAGCCAGCAACACTTCCTCCTCCGCCTGCCTGGCGGTCCTCGCTCCCGCCGGCGAGCATGGCGACCCACAAGCTGTCCTCCTCTGAGCACCCTCACCAACCAGCTCTCTCTACATCACGCTTGTAACCAAGCTGCATTGTACATCCAATACAACATGTATACAGAGAGCACATCGTGAGTTTCCTTTCTCCATCCCATCCTGAGTGTGAACCAAACATCCCGTACAAAATAATATAATTATACATATATCTTTCCAGCTTAACATGCTTTAGGAACCGTTTTCTATGCGTAAAAATTATTTTGGTCTACCCAGTGCTATCTCTCTGAGTAATACCCTCAATCACTAACAGGTGGCGCAGTAGTGTGGGGTTATGAGATATTGGTTCACACTCAGGATGGGATGGGAAAGGAAACTCACAATGTGCTCTCTGTATACATATTCTATTGGATGTACAATGCAGCTTGTTGCTGGGTAGGTAGCATGGTTACGAGCGTTGAGTAGAGAGCTGGTTGGTGAGGGTGCCCAGAGGAGGGCATGTGGCTTGAGGGACGCCAAGGTCGCCGGCAGGAGCGGGAGCCGCCAGGCTGGAGCAGAGGAGGAGGTGTTGCTTGCTGGTGGCCATAGGTAGAAAGAGGGTGGTCACAGACTCACAGCGGTGTGAGGTCTTATAAGGCAGGGTAGGCGTGGGTTGATAGTTGACCCCAGTTCCGTCAGGCGGCGCTGGAGGCGTAGGCTGGGGAATTCGAAAAGGGTCGGCTACACAGCGACAAACGGCGTTTGTAGGGGAGGCATCCACTACAGTACTACAATTTCGGGACTTTATGAAAATAATGAGAGTGTGTGTCTTATGAGCTTTCTTATTAGATATTCCTTGATCCTGTGCACGCAAAGCTCTTTGCGGAATCCACGCTTGCCGTCATGCGATTAAGGATGCATCTCCCTAATTTGTCCAGTACATAATAATAATAATAATAATAATTGTTGTTATTAAATAAAATACTCGTACAGGTTTAGACAATACAGATAAATCCAAACAGGTATACTCTAATCCTTAAGAACAGTATACTTTTTTTTACTTTTTACTTTTATCTTCTTCACCATTAATCGGCTCGTTAGCCACTTGGGCGATCGGTCACGTCACTGAGACTGTTACGCACTTTTGACAAGCGCTGGGCATACACTGGCTCCTAAATGTATCTGAACCTATCTATTAAGGATAGCCGACAAAAAAAATGCGGCTTTAGTAAGCCCCTTTATAATATTTATACTGTATATACTTGTGACACTTGCCAGATGCTTCTGGTGTCATTGTACAGGAGTACCTAGTGACAGCACTAGGACCCCGCTTCCTCTATCAAGGAATAAACAATTGAAATTGAAAATTGCTCTCTGATGCTTACATATAAGTATGGTTACTAATGCAATAGAAGCATATATCTAGTATCTACGGGAGCAAAATTATATATATATATATATATATATATATATATATATATATATATATTAAGCTTTACATTGCGCGAGTAAAATATCTCAAAACGAGTTAACCGATTTTGGTGAAATATGGCACATGGCTTGGATGTTGATCATTTGTGAATTTGTTTAATTTTTCGAGAAAACACAGATAAATGGAAAATAATTGTTTGAGGACAAATTTATGGGGATGATTGACAAGTATTTGACCTTTTTTGACTCATTGTTTTCTTACTAGTCTGTTCCACCACATTCAATTGGGATTGGGGGAATGTCAAGATATGAATTTAGGTATTAATAATGTAAATATAGTTTCTCCATATTACATTTAGTATATTATTTGTGTTATATGTTAACATGCAAAGAGGATAAAGCAAGTGATAATTTACTTTGGGATAAAGTACAGTATACGAGTCCTGTGACGTCACTTTTGTTATGACGACAGGCGACCGAGGGAAACGAGGCAGGAGAGCCAATCAACCCCTGCAGTAGTTATAGGTGTTTATCTTGTCATGACCATTGTACAAGGTGTTTTTAATGGACAGCTCTGCATGCTTTCTAAGGTGTACATCTTTTTATAGAAAGGCTGTGAAGCCGCCTGGACAACAGTATTCATGATGTTGCCAGAGGGTTTAAATCAGGTACCTGTAAATTGACTGCATCATCCAGTTGTAGCATTAGTAAATATGAAAAATTTTGTGACGAGAGGTACCGGTATGGCCAGCATAAGGACAGAACCAGACAATGTGATGTAGTCGTGGCCAGCATTAGGCTAGGATACAGACACATCTGGCAGGATAGTAACGCTGTACCCATACCGGAACACTCAGCATGTAAACTTTGTGATAAACCTTTAAAGCATACACTTGAACTGTCAAAGACTTCAGGCCACCTGGCTCATTGTATCATGAACTTTGTAATTACTACATAATTGGGGGTGCTTGGGGACATTCTTGCTCTTTATCCCAAATTTGCTAGCCCACACTGATTAGTCTTCAATTAGAATATGACGTCCAATGTATATGAACCACTGTCTTGCATGGCAGTGAACAGTGACATCACCCACATGACTCTGACCTATATATACTGCTAATGAATATGATGCATTTCTTTGTGTACGAACCTCTGTCCTGCACGGTCCGACTAATTACCAAAATGTACCCAAATATAGCCGCAATGAAGTCAAATAATGGTCCTACATGAATAAATCGGACTGCTAATCACTTCTTGACTAGTATTTGGTGTCAGAAAGTCACAAAAAATTGGTAAACTTAATTTAATCTGAGTTGTGTTAGGTTAGGTTAGATTAGATTAGATTAAGTTAGGTACATGCACTTGATCTATTAACTCAGATTAAATTAAGTTTACCAATTTTTTCTGACTTCGTGACACCAAATACTAGTCGAGGTTAGGTTAGGTTAGGTTCATGCACTTGATCTATTAACTCAGATTAAATTAAGTTTACCAATTTTTTGTGACTTTGTGACACCAAATACTAGTCGAGAAGTGATTGGCAGTCCGATTTATTCATCTAGGACCATTATTTGACTTCATTGCGACTACATTCGGGTAATTCCTCGCTCCGTCGGTACATGCACGCGATCTATTAACTCAGATTAAAGTAAGTTTTCCAATTTTTTGTGACTTTCCGACACCAAATACTAGTCGAGAAGTGATTGGCAGTCCGATTTATTCATCTAGGACCGTTATTTGACTTCATTCTGGCTATATTTGGCTACATTTGGGTAATTAGTCGGACCCGTCCTGCATGGCAGTGAACAGTGACATTACCCACATGAATCTGACCTATATATATATCTGTCAATGAATATGATGTATTTCTTTGTGTATGAACCGTATTTACCTAATGTCCACCCACTAGAGCTGGCCATGCTGAGGGAAGGAGTCCAGTGGCCTGTGTAGGAGGGGGCTGGTCTAGGCTGGTGAGTTAGCGACGCAATTACAGTCCATTGCCTCCACGCATACGTTCACTTCCCACACATACTGTACACACCAATGGTCTTAATTTTTTCTTATTTTATAGTTTTATACTATATTATATTGGTTATTTTTTTCTAAGCCACATTGTTTATCCAGTAATGTGGAATAAGTGTTAAAGAAGTCTGTTTTTTTGGTAAATCTGCATTTTCATGAAGTTTAAATTTCAAAACAATTTAATTTATAATTTTCTCAAATGAGCACAGACAAGTGATAAACATGGTAATTTGGAACGCTCATGAAAATACAGACTTCTGAGACAAAAATTTGTGAGGTCGGTCTGTATTAATCAACTTTATTAAAGGTCATTTTATTAGTATTAATACTGTATTACTTGGTAACATTGCAAATGAGAAATGATACCAACACCATACCTCAAAGACCTTTTAATACTGTTAACCTAACCAAACCAAACCTAACCTAACCACACTATTTAATGGACTGTGAGTATGGTACAGTATTACTATTTCTTCAATTCCATGTATCTCTTATTATGTTTTGTCAACTTTTTTTGTAATTTGTTATCATTTTTGGTGTTTAGTAACTTTTGTGGAGCATTATGGTCCATGAACTTCAGTTCGTTGTCAACATACACACCCTGGGTCCTTTTCACATTAGGTCTCTGTTTATACTGTTTCTTTGTCCCGTTGGGATGTGTGATATCTGGAAATGGAGAATACAGTGGTCCCTCGGTTAAAGAACGGTTTGATTAACGAAATTTCGGTTAACGAATTACCTCCCATAAGGATCTTCAATTCGGTTAACAAACAAAACTTCGATTAACGAAATCCTTACAAACAACACGTTTTGTTGTGAGCATCAGCTGATCAGCTGATGGGCTAGTCTGCCAATTCAGTAATCTGTTCTATGTTTACATTCGTTTCCAGTGGAGTAAATATCAAGAAAATTGTGCTCTTTATTATTTTTGCATTTTTTATATTAAAATTATTAGTCATTTTAAAATTTAGTTAACACATCGATAATATATGCAATACAGGGAACTAGTGTTTTGTGCGCCCATCAGCCGCTTGACTCGGCCACCAGGCGTCAGCTTGGCTCTGTTGACAGTGGAGTGAACATCTATTTTGTTGGTGTCTTGAATATTTTTGCATTTTTACATTGAAATTATTGGTCATTCTGAAATTTAGTTAACATATTGATAATATATAGCACAGTGCAGTGTTGATTTAAATAAAATAATATTGAATTACTCCATTCTTCTCCTCAAACCCCTCTTCTAATTCCCATCATCATTATCAACCAGGAACCTTCTACATACACACCTCAAAGTAAGTGTACATACTTTACTGCATTTTTTTTTTTTTTACTTTGTATGTACTTTTTGGTGAGCTGGAACCAATTACCTAATATCCCATTGAAACAATGGATTCGGTTAACAAAATTTTCGGTTAATGAACTACTGTACCCTCTGGAATGAATTGTGTTCGTTAACCAAGGGACCACTGTACATTGGAATTGATGTCAGGTGGGGAAAGGGACCACAGGAGCTTGAAATTATGGTGATGGACAGAAAGAAGGTCACATCTAATTAAATACAGTTCACTACTGTACAGTATTTAGAATGAGACTTTTGCCATATTATATTGTTACTGTATTTCATTTAATAATTGTCTCTTCTCATTATGTATATATTTTTTTAGCGCCTTTGCTGAAAATTTATTACCGGGTAATCATAATTTTTTTCATTTGCACTCAGGTTGGGGAAACAGTATCTACATGAGAAGTGGTGTGATATCATGGCCAGTGGAAACAGTAGTGGCTTAGGGGCTTCTCTTTTCCGTGGAGCATTACATGGCAACACAAGTAACACAAATAACCTGAGCGGTAACAGCAGCACAAGCAACCAGCAGCATCACCACCACCATCATACAGCAGGCCATCACTCACAGCAGGGTGGAGTGGTCAGTCTCATCCTCACACACTATGTTGTAATCCCATCAAATCAGTACTGTACAGTATTAAACAGATACACTCAGAGGTTATGAATAAAAGAGTTTTGTTGAAATATATTTCCTTAAGTAGGAATTGATATCAGAAGCTTCATGTTCAAACAACTCCTATTGAAAGTTTGCTGGCATCATAACCATAATAGCAGTTAATAACTTTTATTAATTATCACTGCATTGTATGTTTTTTTGTTTTTTTTTGGTAACAATATCTTAACACTTGTATAAAGGTTTCACTGTGGCTCATTTTGCAGTTATGATGTTGGAACCATTAATAATTAAATCCGGTACATATCGGCTGAAGGTGTTTCACCAAGTTTTTATTTATTTTGTCCAACACTGTTTAATCTCCAAATAATCACTAACATCACTAAATGCCAAATGCATAAACATTTACTGTTGTAGTAAACTAACTTAAATGTTATTGTAAAAAGGCAAATAGTAAGAATTGAGTATCAGATAAGCAGAACAGGAATTGTTTTTTTGAGATGGTGAATATTCTTTAATATAGTATTGCAGTGCCAAAACAAGAACTATAAAAGTAAGAAAGTGTAATTTATTGTATGAGAGTCATACCAGCTTAATTTTTCTATCGACCATCAGACCGGGAGTCCTCACATTCACCACCCCCAACAGCCACAACCTCCTCCACCTCAACCAACTTTAGGACCAGTGACATTCAGCACAGAAGAGACTTCACGGAACAGAGGCACACCTGGGGTAAGAATAATTCTAAGAGTAGAGTTAGTAGTATAATATACTACTGACTACTCTTAGAATTATTGTACGTATTATATTATATATTACTGTGTATATATACTGTATATATATATATGTATAATCCTCAGAATTTTAAAAGACCTTGACAACCAAGCATATTCTGGTGGATTTTCAAACACTGTAATTGGCAATATATCATGACAGATGGTTGTAGTTTATAGGTAATGTTCCTGGGTTACTTTGTGCACTTCCTGAGGAGCAGGACACTACAGTATATGAAAAAAAAGCAAAAGTAATGGAATTGTCATTCAGTGTATATCAAGAAAAACAAATGAACATAACATGATGTTCTTCCCAATTTATTTTAATCAGGTATGGTAATCACCTGTATATCCAGGACCTTCACTAGTACTGGTTATTTTTCACACCAGCAATCCTTTTTTGGAAGTGTTAAGGCCCCATGGTACAGGTTATAAATACGGTAATTCATATTACGTGCAAAAGTTTATTTATTAATGTGTGGGATTAAAGGCAGACTCAGGTTTAAAACTGCTTTATTCACAAATTTATATATTTTTTCCTGTGCTTTGTTATACAAATGAAAACCTTGTAGTTACTCCCCAAAAATTCAAATTTTTTCTTATTGATGGAACATGCTGAGGTGCTGACACAGGCAACAATAGCGAATACTGTACAATATTTTGATTTTGGATGTGTTTTGCATTTTGCTTGCAGCTCTAGAGTTTTCATATTTTTTAGAATAATTTTGTGCAGGTACTTCTGTGCTGTACTGTACAGTGCAGTTGCTCCCCGACTTACGACGGAGTTAGGGACTCAAATCCAGGTCGTAAGTCGAAAATGCTTAAATAATACATAGAAAATCTAAAATGGGCGTCTCTTTTTCTTCTCAGCACCACAAAACTCTCATTTTTAAGCTTGCCAGCCATTTTCAAGTAAATTAAAAAAATTTTTTTGTCAGTTTACAGCATAATCACTGAAGTTGGGACTAGAAAATATGTAATTTGACAAAATTTTGGTACGACTGAGGCGGTCGTATGTCCGGGTGGTCGTAAGTCAAGGAGTAGCTGTATATTGTTTTGATATGAATTTTAAGTTTTGCAGTCAGTCTTTCATTTTCCACTGTATGTTTCACACTGTACAATACTGCTTATACAGTGAGTTCTGCTATAACGCATGTTTTGATAACGCGAATTTGCTCTAACGTGATTTATGAATTAGGAACGATATTTGTATAACGCGAACGCTTGTTTGCTATAACGCGATTTTTGCTTACTATTTCTCCAATTTTGTGGTACAGTGGGGTATGCTATAACGAATCTAATTGGTTCTAGAACCTTGTTCGTTATAGCATTCGTTCGTTATAGGATTAATCCGTTCCAGGCCCCCAAATACAACCACTTAACACTGAAAAATATAATATAAAATTGTAAAAAAGTCCATAAATATGCATCTAAACCCCTGAAATAAAGAATATCATTAATATTTGTAATAAAAAAACATTTAATTAGAAAAAAAAAATTAAATAATGTTCGTTGTAGGAGTTTCGTTCGTTATAGCATTCTCAATCAATTTCATAGCATACCCCACTGTATTAACTGTGAATATAGTAAAGAAGAATATCAACAAGAAGCGTTCTGGTGATAGAATTCCCGGTGATGGTCGTAAAAGAAAGGATATAACACTTGAAGAGAAGCTCGATTTTATTAACCTCAAAATCACCCTTCTCTCCCATCAAGTAAAGTGTTACATTTACTGTATGATTTTATTATTAGATATGAATGTAACATTTATTTAGACTGTGCTATCCTTTGTGTTAGGCTAACTACTAAATTTTTTCGATTTCGAGTAATCTGCACCTAACCCTATTTTCCCCATAAGCCCTGTTATTTCTATTACGCGATTTTCTATAACACGATATTTTACAAGAACACAATTATCGCGTTATAGCAGAACTACCTGTACCTGTATTTTGTTGGTTGTATTTGTTTACAAATGTCTGCCTCCCCTTTGTTGCTTTAAAGGAAGTTAGATAATGCTCAGCTGAATTCTGTTAATTTTTGTTGCTTTTTGGATTTGTAAAAAGAAGTAGCTATGCCCTCAAGTTAAAAATGGTTGGGAAAAGATGTGTGAATAATGTTGATGCAAATGGGAAACTGAAAAAAGCTCATAAAGCAATAATGTTAAGAGACCAAATTCGATGATCTGTGGTTAATGTCATTGTTTTTCATAAAAAATTTCCTTAAATATACCTCAGTGGGGAAATTTACTACAAGTTTTTCAAGAACACAATCCATATGTAAATCTGAGACTGCTTGTGTTTAGAATAAAGTAAATTCTCCTACAAAGCAATACAGCTGCATTCTTGAGCACCATTCCTTTTCTCCCAGTGGTCCTTAATGGTGTTGTTTTGTCTTTACTTGCTTAATAGGCCATAATTATACACTAGAGAAGCATTAAATACAAAACAAAACTATAGAGCTCGTAGCAGCATTGTGGTAGCGACAACAAGCACATAGAATTGACACCTTGCTCCACGTGACCCCATCTAAGCTAGAGCTCGTCTCACTTATGGGGGCTTCCAACTTGCAGAAATCTGACTTTTACTACTCTCAATATCCATCTGCCCTCTTAGCTCTGCACAGGCTATATACTCAGTGACCCTTGACCCTTGCATATTTATTGCAATCAGCTGGCCGGAGGTTAGGAAGCATGTGGAGAGATATACTGTACTGTAATCCCCAAACCTATGACTTTTGGGTACACTGAAGGTGTACATGCTTATATAATTAATGGCTTTGGAAAGTAGTATTTTTGATACAGTACTACTGTATACAGTACAGTATATGTATACAGTTTATTACTAATCTCCCATTCTCTATGAAAAAAATTATATTCATTGATATTTGACAAATATTGATGTAGAGGAAATCTACAAGTACAATACCCTGTACTGTAGTTTGTCAGACACCACGTACTGTACTCTACCTGTATGTGTTTCAAGTACAGTAGTCTAGCCTTCATTCATGATTAGGTCTGAGCCATGATTTTTCAGAGAGAAAGGTAACAAATGTCTAGGCAGGTTCCATTTTTCATTGTTTATTTTTTTATTTTACTATTTCAGTATGATGACATTACAAAGTGCGTGATCAATTGAGATTAAACTGGTGTGTATTGCATTAGAGTTTAATATTACTGTTCCAAATGAAAAATGAACTGAACAAGTTTCACTTTTTTCTTAATTGATTTTAAGGACTTACAGTATATTTTACTACTGACTTGAGTGAAAGCAAGGATGCTAAAACATAGTACTCCTAAAAGTCGGTGATAATTAAGAGCAGTAGAGTACACTGTACAAGTTTTTCAAGATAACGATATTTATGTTGTGTAAGATTGTTCCTTTCTGCATAAGAATTAGTTTTAAATGATGCATTAATTTAATACTGCACAGAACATATCATAAGTACTTTTTGTTTTGTGTTTCAGAGTCCTGACCACATGTCCACTGTAATGGCCAAACTTTGGTTTGATCATAATGTAGAATCATCCCTGTCATCTCTCAAGAAAGAAGAGCACGATAAACGTACAAGAGACCTTCGCAAGCAGCTGGACTATATAACAGAAACCAACTGGAAGTATTCTCCTGTTGAAAAATACATAGGCCAACAGTGATACGCAGAATTCAATGACAGTAGTATAATGAATGATGAACCAGTGTGACTTATAATCCAAAGTGAATTTTTTTTATTATATATTACTACAATTACAGTACAGTATAAATCTTTATATAAAACTCAGGAAATTGATAATGATCAAGTATATTTGCATATAGCACAATGTATGACATGTAGTTTAGTACCTGCCACTGTGTGTTACTGTATACTTGCTGACTAACAACATCTTAGCATTTGTCAAAGAGACACATTTGTATGTAATTACCTTTAAATTTAAATAATTTGAATTAAATGTCTAAAGTGTTATGTTCATGGAAAATTTTGTCACAACAATCAATATTTTAGAAAAAAGACATGACTGGAAGTTGAAAATGCTTCTGTGGAAAATAAAATAAAATAGTGACATCAATAGATGATGTATTAGATTTCTTAAGAGCTGTGTGTGCTTTTTTTTTTAAATCTTCCTTAAATATAGTGCAATATGATTACAATGGTACAGAAAGCTGTGGGTTATTTTATTAGGGGGACTGATGATAACAGTTCCAAATTTGGTGAGCCAGACAGACCGAGGCTTGAAGATTTCATACCCGTTTCACTCTCCAAAGTTGAGACATGTAATTTTTATGGTGTGATAACATCAGTGAATGGGTCATGTATTATTATCAGTGATCATATATGCTGTGATGCTTCAGAATTTCAATTTAAGAGAAAACTCAGTCTTAATGATAAGGTGAGAGGTGAAGCACGGAGGGCAAGTGAATATGAGGCTTGGCAAGTTGTGAAAATTCAGTTGGTACAGGAAGAGTGGGATGCTGATGGTGAAGACAAATTAGATTATCAGAAAAGTGATGAAAAGGTAAACAAATTGGGTGATGCTTTTGTCAAGACATTTCCGAGCAGCTCATTTAAGAATGGAGCAATACCATGCAGAGATCTGGAGGCAGGAATACCCGGTATTTTGAAACAGGATCTGCTTTCTTCCCTTATGAAGACTAGTCAACCAAAAGAGCCACAAGAACCATCAAGTAGTAGTGAAGACATGACAGACAAATTAGAAGTGCAGCAGACTCTCATAGGCAGGGTGACAAGCATAGTAGCTGACACCGTCACGTTAAATGAAGACATTAGTTTTAATCTTTCTGCTGCAGATTGCACCTGGGAGATATTACAAGGTAGGTATTGAGAAAGTGTCTTTTTATTTAATGAAAAGAAAGTAGTATAAGTTTTCAGTTACTTAACCATGTCTCAATAAACTTAACAAATGAATTTTCCTATTGGTATTGAGAGTTGCAAAAAGAAGATAATGATTCTAGTAAATTTTAAAAACAAATACAGTACAGGAAGATCCTGATTTATGAGGATTTGATTCTTGAAAATACCCAGTACAAGAAATTCTATTTTTCCTCGTGCTTTGATTTGTGAGTGAAACCCTGAATTTACGCTTACTTATTTCACTAACTTATTCTATTATTCTCTAACACATTTAAATTACTCCTTAAGCTCATGTGAAGTCAAGTGACTTGTCACTCACATCACCACACAGTCAGTGAGCCAATTGCCTGATTACCCAATTTTTCCTCATATACTGTACTGTACAGTACTCTCATGTAACATGCGTGTATGAAAGATTAAATAAAGGAAAATATTTTGTATTCTTAAATTTTATATGCTGATTATGTACGATATAGGTTTAGAGTTGTAAGAGAAAGTGTGGAATTTGGAAGTGTGGATATTGCTGGCAACACACAAGGAATGGTGAGTGGAGTGAACTGAGACATTGTGGTAGGATTTGGCTGGTAGCTGGCATATAAACATATTGAACCTTTTTGTGTAAGTACTTACATTTTTCTCCAGCGACTTTACGGCTCCATTTTTAAACATTTGAAGCCACCCCTTGGTGAAATCACAGTTTTGTGGAATTTTTATTTCTTTATAGACTCCTTGTTACAGTTTTTGTAGAATTTCCATTTACTTATTTTTATATTTATTTTTTTATTTTTTGTAAAACACTTTGTTTCCTTTGCCTGTATTTGTCATGCTGGAGTGCTCTCATGGGAAGATGAAGTCAGACATTATGTGCTAATATATTTTAAATATTTCTAGATTAATAGCAATTGATGATATGCAAAGGGTAGTCCAATGGTTTTGCAAATTAGAAGTAAAGCTACATGGCAAGATTCTAATTTTTTTATAACAAAAGCTGAATTCTTTGGTATCTGCTTGTTAATTTTATTAATGTGATACAATTTTTAGTTTAGATTGAGAATTTAAATTATAACATCAAAGAAAATTAATATTTTTTGGCAAATTTGAGCATTGGAATGTCAAATTTCCTAGTAAAAGAAGTTTCCATAGCAAAGGAAATTCATTGATGCATGGTTGGCACAAGACCATTGAGTATGTCTCATGGTGGGATAACCTTTAGGTGCCACTGATAAGGCAATTGTAGCCAAGTGTAGTTGGCATTTCAATTATTGAAGTGCAGTAACCTTCATCCATGAACATTTGGGGATGTCTAAGGTTTCTGCAAGATGTGTTCCCCAACACCTCAGTACTCTGGATTGACACCAGTTGTTGTCCTTAATTGATGAACTCCTTGAACTGTATGAAGCCAATACAGTCAACATTCCTTTCTGTCTGATGATGGGAGGTGAGGCCTGGATTCATTACATATCTATGATTTGCAAATCCAAGATGGAATACATGCATTGGAAGCACCTAAATATTATGAACCCTAAGAAGTTGAATATTCAACCTTCTGCTGGTAAAGATCATGGCCTCATTTTTCTGGGATGTCAAGGGGATTCGGCTACAAAACAGCAATCATTGGTGACTAATAAGCTATTGTAATATGAAAACTGTGCAATGTCACTTGGGAGAAACAGTGGGGAATGCTGACTAAATTCATCAGTCCAGAAATCCCATGTGGAGGAGTCTATTCATGGCTTTGTTTCTGGCCCCAAGTAACTGCTATATATTTTGATGCCTGAAGTCTCATTTCTTTGGGTGTTGCTTTTAGGATGCGACAGAAGCATAGTTTGTTGAGCTGTGGGAAGACATATATAAGATTGGCATAGAGAGTTTGAAGGATAGTGGAGAAATTGCATTGAAGTCAAGGGAGACCATATTGAAGTATAAAATATGAGTTTTGGTACTGCCATTTTACTATTAACCCAGTTTGCACAACTTTCTTTCTACACTGCCTACCATTACTTCCTCATATTATATGAATATGTATAGTATTTCATAATATTCAATGCTAGATTATTGTGTATACAGTACTGTATTAAATTTAAAATATAAATAATTTTTGAATATATTTTTTAAAAATTTGTTTAAATCTTTTTTATAATATCTACAGGGGACTGGATTATCTGTGAGGTTGACTGCGTATCCTCGATTCAAACTGGTAGTGGAACAGATCTAAAGGGCTTCATCCAAATGTCATCTTGTAAACCATTGAGAAAGAAGAGAGTGAGGGGAGAGGTTACCCATTTATACTCTACGTATTTTGTCGTAAACCAAGAGGTAAGAGCTTGACCATGAAATGGAAAGTAATAAAGATGAATCTATTCAAAGAAATTTTAAGTTTGGAAAATGGTATAGAAGTGCTGCTTGTGTAAATTATCCTAATGTACAGTATTTCAAAAGAACTAGAAAGTGGAGGAAGTATACATTTTCTTTCAAGCCTCTCTCTTGTTGTGATACAAGGTGGCCAGACAAATGATGTTTGCCAGTATTTTACATTCAACATATAGATTGCCCCACTTCCTTGTCAGGAAACTTGTTCCAATGAAGGGTTGTTCTACCATTGGTAAGAACACCCAATATGTAATGTACTCATTTAATGTTGAGTTCACAGTATTCAACTCCTGTTGCTTAACTCTTGGCTATGGTATGCTGTATGTTAATATTTCCAGTGCTATTATTTTCCCATATCCATGCTCTTGTAATTGTCAGATAATTTGTTCCTAGATTTGTATATTTCATTTACTCTCAAACACTGTCCACCATTTTAATTTTTCATGACACAAGTGTCTCAAAGATCAGAATTAGATGCTTGGTGTTGTAAACTTCTTTATACAGTCTTATGAACTCTTTTTGTATAATCAGTTATATATCTTAATATATTTTAGTGTTTGAGACCTTACACTTACTGGTAATTTTTTTCTTGCTAAGATCTACTGTACTCGAGGAGTAGCCAAGACAGCCATAGTGAGAGTAGGTGATACAGTGACAGTAGAAGTGATTGAGAGTCATCAACATGAGTTTTGCTGGCGAGCTATTGCCCTGACATTTGGTTTCCTGTCTGCTACCACCCAGGTTGGTCTGTAAAATTAAGTGTACACAATTTTTTTTCAGTCTTCTTCAACTTATACATCATAATATTTTCTTTTGGCTGGTGTACTACTTTTGTATTTTTCAGAATTTTGGATCAGGAAATCTTTTGATAAAAGTGGAAATATGGATCAGAGAAATTATTTTACTTATTATAGACAGTTTTCTTGATGGAGAACTGAAAACTTTTATCAATGAAAGTGAAGAGCTTAGCAGAGTGAGGCTATTAGTACAGGTATAGTTGCTGAGGAAAGGTGAAAGTTGATTTAAGAGAGAAATGTTATCATGAGAATTATCCTTGGATGAATGGCTTTGTACTGTACTGAGATATATTAGAATTTAGATGTCCTGTATTAGGAAGACTCTGCATTCTCATGTTCTCACTGGAACACGTATTCCAGCTCTGAAAACTTTACTGACATTAAATTAGGATCCATTTCTCAATGTTAAGTAAACCATCTTTACTATTCAGGAGGGATATTTTGGAGTTTCTACCATACAACTTGTCACCACCCATCTATGTATAAGCATAAATTATGTTTTGCAGGAGCTGAGAACTACCACAATAACAAGGCTCTTACTGGATTTGCCTAAATGTGGTGTCTCTGTGAGGGGGAGCAAGACCAAGAATATTCTGGAAAATAAGCAGAATATTGTCATTTCTGAGTCACTTCGGTGAGGATACATTTACAGTACCTGTGGGCTGTGGTTGTAGTGAATAATGCTTAGACCTGATTGTATACAGTACAGAACATATGAATTTACTCAATATGAACAGATGTTTGAGAGATTTACTGGGAGGCAGGGAATAGAAAGTAATGACGAGTAAAAGGCTCTACAGTACAACTCAGAGGTTTCAGAATGCATGGGATCAAACCCTTTCCATATCTCCAATTTTTCCTCATTTGCTATTAAAAAAAATGACGACAGTTTCAGTGTCTGGTTGAGGAAGGAACCCTTGACCATTAAGTGAAAGATCCACTTATTTTTAATGCTGGTAAATTCCTGAATGTTTTATAATATTGTATTATCTTTAGTCCACATACCTGTGTCTGTCTGTTAAATGTTTTGCATCTGTTCAGCACAAATACAGTAATTTTACCTGAGATTGTCTTTCCTATTTTGTGTAAATTAAAATTTATTTCAAATTTTTTCTATATTTCAAAGAACAGATTAAATTCATTCTGAGAGTGATGATTCTTACTGTTATATATTTGTGATCTTGACTTGACCATGTCTCCCATCACTTGTTGCTGAAATGTTTTTAACTACTCATTTATATATTTATATATGTATATATATATATATATATATATATATATATATATATATATATATATATATATATATATATATATATATATATATATATATATATATATATATATATATATATATATATGGTAGAGAAAGAGAGCCTTAGAGATGTGAAGGAATAGATAATCAAGGAACTGGATGAATGCTGCAATTGTAAACTGTCTTTTGATTTTCATTTATAAAATTAAAAACCTCTGCTCTTAATATTTTCAGAGCTTAGTAGAAACTATTTCCACTTAAAATTGTGATGTGAAAAATTCTCTTCTCACCAGGTTCCCAACTGTAGCACTGGGATCCCAGTCCTACATTAGTGCTTTCATCAAGAACACTGGATCAGAGGCCAGAATTTTAAAGCAAGTTTATTTTGTCTCTGCCTCACAGGAGTGCCAGTTTAATGTGAACTGCTGTTCAAGTGGTGGAATAATAGATGGCACTCCTGTAACCATAGATCCTGATATGGGTGTCAGTGTTAGATTTGAATGCACTGGCAAATTGCTTGGGCTGGTGAAGCAGTTGTGCATCTTTGATTTTGGACATTTCCAGATAGGAAGATATGTCTCTGCTACCATTGAAGATAAAAGCATGACATGTTTGGCGCCAGTCACTCCTTATACACCACATCAATGGACCAGAAATCCCTCTCATTTACAGTTAAAGGATAGGGAGATTATCAAAGGTGAAAAACCCTTCAAATCTCCAGCTTTCTTACCAACATCCTTACCAATGGCTTGCATTCCCCAGCATCTGTGGCAAACCCTTGAGAGTGGTAGGGATATACTCAGTGTGGCCCCATCACTTTCAGAACCTCTTACACCAGAAAACCATAAGGAAAAGCTTTCTGTTTTCTTGCACTTAGAAGAAATAGAATTGACACTACAAATGAGACAAGTAAGTGTGTGTACAATAAAGGGTAATTGTTGAGATCAATATTATGACATGCAAATATCCAAGCACTTTAATCATTGTACCATACATGAGACAGTCATTGCAGATTTGCCTATACAGGTACTGTACTGTTTTGTGTCCCAATATACTCCCAGAATGTTTACACTGGACCCTGATGAAGAGTGACTCAATAAAGAATATTTTTCAAAAGATTGAGACTTAAATTACTCCTGTCCCTCTCAAAAAAAAAAGAGAATGACAAGTGCACAAATTCACAAAACTGGACTGTGATGTGGTGGGTGGCGGCAGCTCTTGCACTCGCTCTTATTCACAAACTGACCACATGATAGGCATATTTACTGTGAGGAGAATACAATGCTCAAGCATCTGAATAAATCATTTCTTACATTTTATTTTCTGTGCGGTATTCTTTTACATACTCAACAGTTGTACTCTTTAGTAAAATTAGCCATAATATAGGGTGAAAAACTTTCGCATAATAAGTTAAGTTCGATAAAGAACAAATTGAAAATGATCGTAGTATTCAGGAACCTGACATCATTCTTTATTGAGGGTTCAGTGTACATTTATTTTCAGTATAATTACAATTCAGATTGGCATGGTACAGTACTGTACTTCCTTTCACATAGCTTAACTTTTTAATCTCAAATTTATTTTCTCTACCATTTCACTCCTTTATTTTTCTGAAGTGTCTCAGTATTCCTAATTGGTAATTATTGTTGAAATGCAAACTTACTTGGTCATAAATTTCTTTGTATTCAGTTTGATATAATGAGGACTAGTTTCTCTCAACATGGGGCGTATCTAAGCCTAACTGTGCCTGGACTGATGGAGAAGCGTCCTTCTCTCATGATTGGTGATACAGTCATTGCATCAAACCCTTTTGACTCTAATGATGTTGAATATGAGGGCAACATCCATGAAGTTCTTCACACACAGGTAAGACCTTATATTTACACCAAATCTCTGAAATTTTACAAAGTTTATCTGATGTTTCATTATTCATAGAATATATTGGGAGTAGTACAGAATTTGGCCCCAGATTATTGAAGTGGGAAAAAGGAACTTCTTTATATGAGTATTGTTGAAGATGAAGGGTTGTTAAATGAGAGAGTTAGTGACATGGTGAATATCTTTCCACTTTGTTTAAGCTGCAAAATTAGAGAACTTTGAGAATGGAAATAAAATTTCTGTGGTATAGTGAAATAAGATTAGTGTTCTCTGCATTTGAGTTTACATAGTTTTAGTTATTAATGGATTATTGATATGTACAGTACAGTGGTCCCTCGGTTAACGAACGGTTCGATTAACGAAATTTCGGTTAACGAATTACCTCCCATAAGGATCTTCAATTCGGTTAACGACAAAAAACTTCGATTAACGAAATCCTTACGACAAACACGTTTTGTTGTGAGCATCAGCTGATCAGCTGAAGGATAGTCTGCCAATTCAGTAATCTGTTCTATGTTTACATTCGTTTCCAGGAGTAAATATCAAGAAAATTGTGCTCTTTAATATTTTTGCATTTTTTATATTAAAATTATTAGTCATTTTAAAATTTAGTTAACATATTGATAATATATGCAGTACAGGGAACTAGTTTTTTGTGCACCCATCAGCCGCTTGACTCACCCACCAGGCATCAGTTTGGCTTTGTTTACAGTGGAGTGAACATCAATTTTGTTGGTGTCTTGAATATTTTTGCATTTTTACATTAAAATTATTGGTCATTCTGAAATTTAGCTAACATATTGATAATATATAGCACAGTGGAGTGTTGATTTAAATAAAATAATCTTGAATTACACCTAGTCTTACATACACACCTCAAAGTAAGTAAGTTACTTTACTGCATTTATTTTTTACTTTGTATGTACTTTTCTGTGAGCTGAAACCAATTACCCAATATCCCATTGAAACAGTGGATTCGGTTAAAAAAAATTTCGGTTAACAAACGACTCTGTGGAACGAATTGTGTTTGTTAATCGAGGGACCACTGTATTAGAAAGTACGTTGAGTCAGGGCCTGGGAGGGGAGGTGTAAATGGCACTAAAGCACCAGGTCCCAGCAGGTCGGCAGGGAGCTCAGTGCAGCCTATAGGCTATACAAAAAATAAATAAAATAAAATTAAATTCTAAATACTACTCTGAGATTCTATTGTATATATTTTTTCTACATTTTATACATTTTGTTGTCTTGCTTCTGATTATTTGTGAGAGGATTTCCCCATTATTATTTATGTGTGTGTGTGTGTGTGTGTTACACAAACAATACCTCACTTGTTAGGAATCGAACCCTGGGCCTCTGCGTGTGGGCAGGGATCACTACCACCGTGCATATTGATTCTGAATCTATGTTCCATGATTGGATTGCGGGGTAATTAGTGGTTGTAATGACGCTCAGAAATTTTAATTACATTATTTCAATGATAAATAATCGCCAACTATGGGTTTCCGAGATGCGGTTTTGGTGTTATTCTGGAAATACATAGTTAAGCCCTGTGTGACCACCGCCTGTGATCCCACTTGGAATTACCCAACCTTAACTAATTCCTTTACCCAACCTTAACTAATTCCTAAGTGACCTACTGCCACATAGCAGCTAATCCATCAAAGAGAACGTGCCGAACTTGGTCCATAAACTCACAGAAGTTAAAATGTTTATATTGTTGACTATATATGCTTATTTCACTGCTACAATTTCGTATTTACTTACTCTTAGGTGATAAAACAGTAACGAATTGTGTGTGAAGAGTATTCTTTTAATAAATATTGCTTTACTCACCATAAACAAGCTGCATTTACCTGAACCGTGGGCCACATTAAATAGAATTTCTCAATTACTCCATGGGCTGCACAAGCAAGTGGCCTGGGCAGTGGGTTGCCCATACCTGCCTTAAAGAATTGGTAAAAACGGCAAAAGAATGTTTTGAGTGGAGGACTGTTGTCGTCAACCTTCAGGTATGAGGACGGTACTCCAGTTGATTGATACAGTGTGTGTGTGGTCGAGAGAGAGAAAGATGTTGGATTGAATGTTGTGTACTGTTGTGTTAAAATCAGGCAATTAAAGTTATTTAATTTCTATACATTATGTATTTTTTTTTTCTTTTCAGATACTCCTTAAGTTCCACCCAACATTCCATAATGAACACTGTGGGAAAGATTACAGAGTGCGTTTCAACTTCAATCGCACTCCATTACGCCGTTGCCATTTTGCCCTGGACTTTGCAATGAAGCAGCTTGGACCAGACATCCTCTTTCCTTCAAAAGTGAAGATACAGCTTCCCCAGGTGTGCTATGTGGACCCTGAGGTACCCACTCTGGCCTGCAAGGGGAGAAAGGCACCAGACAGAGTGATGGATTTAAACTTCAGTCCTGGAACTGATAGCACAGTGGCCTTGCCCATGAAGCAGATACCAGAATCCATGAATAGGACTAATAAAAGTATTGTTAGGCATGAATCCCTTACAAGGGTTTTTTATAGTGATATGAAAAGTAATAAAAATGAAAAAACAAAATATGAAGTGAAGGAGAATCTTGAATGTGTATCCCATGAGCAGGTAAACTGTGATGGTGGAGTCTTTGGTGATGCTTTTGAGGCAAATAGACAGAAGTGTAGTGATCAAGAAAAAAATTGCTTGAAAGAAAACCCTCAGACTATGGTGAAATATCAGCTAAAAGAACTGGATCATTTCCAAATTAAGGAGAATAATGGTGCCCATAAAATATCTACGAAAATGAGGAACCTGGGCATGGACAATGGTAGAAATAAAATGATGGCAAAATGCCACAACCAAGAACTTTGTCTGACACCTCCAAGAATCCCTGTGGTGACAAGGTTGTTCGGAGTTCCTTCCTCAGGGTCAAGCTCGAATTCATCCATGTGCTGCAGTGATGATGAGTCCAGAGGTAGTGTTGTTCAAGATGATAATGTTTCTAAGTTTAGAAGAGTAGAGAGAAGGAAATTAGGTGCTAACAAAATTCCTGACACTTGTGACATGAAAAATTGGACTAAACGAGAGTTAAAGAATGAAGGTAGTATAAAAAACAGCGAACCAAAATTTTGTATATCATCTGCAGATGCTCCATTAGTCACTGCTTTTCCTCCAGCAAAAGAGATCACAGAGATCAACAAAGGAGAACATTCCCATAACTCTGGACATGCTCCCTTAAGAAAGCAGCTGCATGGAAAAGAAAGACAAAACATACCTGTAAAGATTGAAGTACAGACAGTAAGAAGCACAAATTCAGAACTCTCCAAATCAAGTGGAACTAATGTAAGGCTCACTGAGACTGGAGACAAGAAGAAAATATTGTTTCTACCAAGGTCTCTGGAATTGAGCTTTTACCAAAATGCCAAGAATAACAAGGGAAGAGGAGATGACAATCTACTTTGTATATCAACAAAAGAAGAATCTGTCAGGACTCAAGAAGAGCAGAAATCTGATATAGACAATAACACTTCTGACATTGTAGATTGTAGTGGCTGCAGTGATAATATTAACTTACACCAACAGCCACTGAAAAGTCACCGTATTGAAAAGAAATTGGTAGAATGTAAAAATTTTTATCGAAATACTCCTAATAATCACCATTTTTCAAACTCAAGAAAAGAACCCCAAAATAATAAGGATTTTACAGTCAATCATAAATCAGATGAGGGAAGGAATGCCTACATTGTACCTGTTTTACCAGTCCACCCATTGAGGAAGAAAGGTAAGGAGACTCATTACTTTGTTGTTCAGCAAATATGCATCAGGTCAAAGGTGCATGACTTTTAAAGAATAGGTACCTTGTACTAAGATACAAATTTATATCATGTGAATTAATGAAACATTACTAGGACAAAGTAGATCTTAATTTTTTATGGAAGTTTTATTACAGTTGTGATATATAACTAGGACACTTTCCTGTGGCATATCTTATTAAACATTAGATTCTACCATATGTGTATACTTGCAGGTTTAGAAAACTTGGCACACTTGCCTGTCTTAAAGTGGTTCAATGAAAACTTAAACCTGGAGCAGAAATTGGCTGTTCGTAGGGTCCTGGATGGAACCACTCGTCCTTTACCCTATGTCATCTTTGGGCCACCGGGTACTGGCAAGACGGTAACACTGGTAGAGACAACACTGCAGATCTTGACAATGATACAGTATAGCAGGTAATAACAAGTAAAAGTTAATGTTGTAGACGATGTTCACAACTTGAAAGAAATAACTATATATTGTACACTCTAGGGGTTCAGTTGGGAGGATCAAGACCTTGTTGTTTTAGAGCCATTTATGTTGGAAAATTATTAACATAATTTGTATTGTAAATTATTGGGTGTAGATAATGCAAAAGTTGCTACCAAGTTGAAGTGATTGACTTTTGATAAAAAAAAATAATAATTTCAGCATCACTTGTAATTTAGTAATCATTTCCAACAACATTTTAGAATAAGCAGACAGTCATGAACTCGAGAAAATACTCCAACATTACAAATAAAAATTTGTTGCATCTTAAGTGGTGATAACACTGCTTGTATTTTGTCATGGGTTCTGCAGATGTCTAGTAATGATGGTATTTTTTTGTAAAAATGTTTAACCCTTCACTGTTGAAATAATTCAATTTAGTAATGGATCAATCCTCTATTTTATTAAGAAATTTTTATTCATATTCATGTTTATAGATTCTAAAACATTCTTCTTAGATCATTCATTTCTGGTAAAACTGATTATGAAAAATATGTCTACCGTGTATATTGATTGACATAAATGCAGTATAGATTGTGGGGATTTGACTTGCCAAGTAGAATAAAGACTGCTCAATCATTTATAAGGAAAGGTTGGTAATGAAACTCTTCTCTTGAACCCTTTAAGACAGAGAGCCCAAAATACAGTACAGCTTCTCCTCGACTTTCAACCTACTCGACTTACGACCACCCGGACATACGATCGCCTCAGTTGTACCAAAATTTTGTCAAATTACGTATTTTCGAGTCCCAATGTCAATTATTGCATTGTGTACTGACAATTTTTTTTTTGTAATTCACTTTAAAATGGCTGGCAAGCTTAAAAGTGAGAGTTTTGTGGTGCTGAGCAGAAAAGGGACACCCATTTTAGATTTTCTATGTACATATTATTTAAGCATTTTCGACTTTTACGACCATTTCGACTTACGGCCTGGATTTGGGTCCCTAACCCCGTCGTAAGTAGGGGAGGAGCTGTACTCCTCATGCAATCAGGACCAAGTTGGAAATGTATAATGTTCTGCAAACTTGACACTTCATTTGATATGTAAAAAAAAAATATATATACGTATATACTTTTTTGAAACGCATTTTATTATTAATTAGTATTAAGGCCAGGTGGAGATTTTTTCGTATGCTTAGGTGTATGGAAGTTGGAGACTGTATATTGTGTGAAGTTATTGCTGTTGTTACAATTCATCCTTTAATTCCAGGATTTTGATAATAACCCCATCCAATAGTGCATCTGACCTGGTGGTGGAGAGACTTTTGACTTTTGGGGAGCTGAAAAAGGTGGATTTGGTTCGATTAAATGCTTACCAGGTGAGATGCAGTAAAAATCTGGTTTTGATATCTTTATACTTTGAGAATTCAGCAATGCTAAAGATGGCTCGATTATATTTCAGAGACTTGAAGACTCTGTCCCCGAAATTATCCGTCCATACTGCTGCAATGGAGATGAACTTTCTATACGTGTTCATCAGCGAATCATTGTGACTACAGCAACTAGCTCTGGTGTGCTCTACACCATTGGTCTCCACAATGGCCACTTTAGTCATGTGCTTGTGGATGAAGCTGGTCAATTAACTGAACCAGAGTGTTTGGTGGCATTAGGGTAAGCTCAGGTGTCTTTCACTCTCTTTAAAAAGCCAATTAAGGTGAATACATGTACTATATATATTGAGTTTTAATATGATGTAAAGTGGCCCATGGTACATATTCAAAACTTTTCTGACTTTAATGTTAGGTGCTAATGATGCGGGTATTGTTATCAAAGGTCGATTATGTGTATCCAAAAGCCAGTAGTATTCATTGTGTATGTGTATGAAATATAACATTTTGTATACAGTACTTGGCGTGGTTTGATTGGAGTGTGTTGAAGCTTACTCCAGACACCACTTTTACAGTGGAGCCACAATAAGTTGTGAAATTCAAATTCATATTCCTAAATTTTTGGGTTTCGCTAATACTACTGTACCTGTTTTTAAATTATGCAGTCAAATATTCATAATTTGCAGCTGAGCATTGGCTGCCACAGTATTTATTTACATAAGAAACCATAAAAGTTGTGGAAGTGTCATTTCAATCCTCTAATCTGACTGAGAAATAAAGAAAATATAATATTTAACTATAAAATAAGAAAAATGAAGTGTGGGAAGTGGCTGGCTGGCGGGTGGCTGGAACGGAAAATTCCTCTCCATCCCCTCTGCTCTCAGAGCACTACATCAACCCTGTGACCCCTTTATAACGACAGTTTGCAAATTCACCATAATTCCTATATTATTCAGGTTCATTTGGTGCCGGGATAATAAATCATTCGTGTAAAATAATAGATTTTTCTGAGAAAAAAAAATCCCACTTAACCCCTAGTACTCCGTTTGCATAGGTGAAAGGCTGACCAGCCAGCAAGCCCCGACACCTGCCTGTCTCCAAGTTAGTGTAGTGGTGCCATCCAGACTAATTTTTTCCATTTAAATTAATTAAACTATAATTTCTGATTTGATACTTCACGATGTCTTTAACTTGCAAATTATCACGACTCCATTGTATATGAATCCATTATACTGTACACAAAAAATTATCAGAACACTGTGTTCTAGTAAGTGATGGCAGGATTTGTACAATATGGCAAATGAGTTATTGTATTTTCAGGTTGGTGAACAGAGAGTCTGGTCAGCTTGTTCTTGCTGGTGATCCTCAACAACTTGGTCCAGTGGTACAGAGCAGCTTAGCCAAGAAATATGGTTTTCAGCGTTCACTTTTGCAGCGGCTGTGTAACTCTGTCCTATACCAGGTACATTTCTATATCTTACATCAATCTGTCAACATAATTGAACAATTATATGCATACTCTAGATTTATTGCTCACTCAAAACTACATGACAGTATCTCCCTCAATTTACAATAGGACTTCTTAACCAGATAAACACGAGCCTCAAGTTCATCTGGTCATCCCACTATTTTACCAACAAGTATCACAAAATAAATACATAAAAAAGTCATAGGCTTCACCGGGTTTCACGTTGAACACACACACATGACCTTCACACAGTACACAAAAATGTAAGTGCCAGAGCCACATATAAGCTCCCTTGAAGAACTCACAAATGCCACCTTTGGACAACAAAAAGAACAGCTAACAATGTTATGCAAACAATTCATCTACATCACAGTCAGTTGGGCTCACCCAGGCTGGGCAACAGCAACATTTGTCTTCAACAACCAAATGCCCCAAAAGACCCAAAATAAAGCTCTCAGAATAAGAAAAGTTTTCATCCAAGTCATAACTATTGGTCAGTTACTTCCTAAATCACTAATTGTTCCCATACAAAGCTATGTCAACATTAGGGGTACATATTTCATCACCTACCTGAATCATTTCTGTGACTTAATGTTGAAAAGCACAACATTACTCCCACACACTGAAAAATATCCCACTTTTCCCTCTAACACAGCCATTCACAAACATATACACAACAATTTAATAACATCCTCCATCCAAAGCTTCCAGTGAAATAGTATCCTGAACAAACTGCCACTTGGTGTCAAAGATACAGAAACTACTCTTCCAGAAAATTTAGATCACTTTCTCAGATTAATTTATAGTCAACCAAAATATTTTGTGTCAATATCTGATTATGACAACATAATCCTGAATATTTAAGCTTCAGTTTGTTACAAGAATGATTGTTCTATAACTATTAGTTCAAGAATTATAGTGAGTTACATTTTCCAAAACTTTTACGACTATTTTTTTTGTGCTTATGGAGATTGTGCTTATGTATTATGACAGTTACTTATCTTAATCAAAATGAATTCTGGATTATAAAAAAAATCTAGTGTAAACTGGTGTTTAATGAAATTTCAGCCTCAGGAGGTAGAAAACTCCTCATCATGGGTGTACCAGCCTTTCCTGGTGACACAGTTAGTGAAGAACTACCGCTCACACCCAGACATCCTGACTGTTCCATCCAGTCTCTTTTATCACAACAGCCTTCAAGCATGTGTGGATACCAAGGTGAGACTTGACATTATCCTTAATTGCCAATCTTTATAGTTTCCATCATTTTTACTCCATTTTCATATATTTAAGATGGAAAGAACTCATTAAATATATAAAAATGAAAGAGTGTCAGTAGCTCAATATTAAAAAAAATACAATTATCTTTTTGATCATGATGTAATGGTGATGGCTTACAGCTACAGGGCTTGCTAGTTTGCATGACATCTATATATTTTATGCTTCTGATTATAACAGCAGATGATATCAAAGCACCTAATCTTTCCAACCCTATTTAGATGCACCATGCTCTCTGTAGCAACTTTATTCCTTGTTGGTTAAATGCTTTGAGCAGATGCTGTTTGGTGTAGCTTCAATTGGTCCCATTTGACATAATAATGTACAGTATTAACACTCGTGCACCATGTCGTGAATATGAGTCAGTCATAATTTCATTCAATTGGCACTCATTTAAGAGAAAAAATTCATAAAAAATTGAGTAATCCTATTTGACAGGTGAGATATTGGTTACACATTGTTGTAAACTTCTTTTCTGGTGGTAATTTATCTCCAGTTAACAAAACTGCCAGTTATTGAGATGGTAAATTGTATTGAGGTGCAGAGGATCCTCAGTGTATACAGAGGTTGAGTTCCAGAAAAGTTTACATAGATTCAAATTGCATATAACAAACTACTTTATATTCTAATAATAAAACTAATGTAATTCAATGTATAGATATACTATACTGTATGTATATATATTATAACTAGTATACATACACACAAAAATGTACTTGGATGCATTCATTTGTATTTTTCCTAGACTCTTAGATATGTACTAGCTTAGACATCATTCAGTTTACTTGTTTCTATGTATATCCACTAATGAATTTGGCTTTCATATTGTAGATAAAGGATAAATTACTGTCATGGGACGAGCTGCCTTGCCACACGTGTCCACTTCTGTTCCATGGTGTAGTTGGGGAGAACTTACAGGAAGGAGACTCCCCATCTTGGTTTAATGCAGCAGAAGCATTCCAGGTTAGTTCTAAAGTTACCACTGTGGAGAGTTTTGTATTTATACCCAGTACAGTAAATACTTGTATGATATCTATGATGCTGCTGTAAACGGTACTGGTAATAAAATAGTCATAATACAGTGATACATTATTGAACATCAAGCGATACTTCTAACTTTACGCTCTTAAATCTTCAAATATTTTATTTCAGATTTATTTGTTAATATAATTTCTTATGTTATGGTTAGATTTTTTGGTTTAATGGTCATTTGTCAAATTACCTGATAGATTACCTACCAAAACATCCCTGACAAAGCAGGAACACTGATTTATAGACATAACTCAGCATTTCTGCAAACTTGTTTGTAATAGAATTTGCTGTTAAATGACATTATGGGCTTACCCAATATAAGTGTGGAAAAGGACAGTGATGATAATGATGGTGATTGAAAATCAGTGAATTGTCAGCTTATGAATTAACATTATCTAAAAAGACGTACAGTACTGTACCTTCTGCTCTCCTGATGTAGGAAGTATAGTAGACATTGAATTAAAAGGCATAAATTGGCATATTGTATATTATGTAAACCTTAGGAGAACTTTTTCCCAACAAAGATATCCAGCTTTATAGAATTCAGTCCAAGTTCTTTCATATTTTAAAGATATTGTCCACAGAGAACCTGTAAGGAACTCTATTTTTTCATATATTCCCTCTCACAGTTGACAGAGAACTAAACTTTTACATCCAGGTGTCAGAATGTACTGTAATGTATGTGAGCACAGTGAGTGTATGGTAAGTTTCTCTTTCAGGTTGTGCGGTATACAAAGAGTCTCATTTTGTTTGGTGTGAAGTCTCAGGACATTGGAATAATTACTCCATACAGGAAACAGGTTAGCTGCAGAGATATCAATTTATCTGTTTTTACCAGAAATCCAATTTGAAGGGAATAATTTTTGATGGCCCACATGAATCATCTAGATCAAGTTATGAAAATATACTGTACAGTACAGGTATAAGTAAATATTTCTACTTTCATTACAATAATAATTACAGTATAGCAAAATGCAAGTGGTCAACTCATGTTACTAATCAGTGTTTTTTTTTTTCATAAAAGGTAGAAAAGATCAGAAAGTTAATAACAACTTTTGGAATAGCAGAGAATGTTAAGGTTGGGTCTGTGGAAGAGTTTCAAGGCCAAGAGAGAAGTGTTATCATCATCTCTACTGTCAGATCATCTTCTGACTTGATGGAGGTAAGATGTAGCATCTAACAAGGTAGTATTTTATTGTACCTATGGATTGAGTCAGAACTTATTATGTTTTTCTCATATGTTGTTTACCGGTGAGTAGGATTTTATTTCCTTAAGACATGGTGGCAAGAGGATTATAGTGATCATTGTGTGCTGTAGTGTTAATGCTAATAGTAGGAGTGGAAGAACACTTTTAAAGAACTACAGACCTATTTGCTTTATTATCAATTGTGTTATCATAAAGAATCATCACAGATTTTAACAATGCCACAGTTCTTTTAATACATGTACTGTACTATATCTTGGAGTTTACTTTGACTCAAAACTGAATTTTAAAGAGCATTTAAATTCAGTAGTTAAGAGTTGCAACTTTAATATTTGAAATTTTATATGCTGTTTAACAGTTTTTGGATAGACAGTGTCTTATGACAATATTACATTCACGTGTTTTGTTTCAGGTTAGCTATTGTAACTTATTATGGGTCTGCCTACCTAATTATTGACTGAAGAAAGTTCAAACTGTGTTGATACAGGGTTACTAGGCTTATTTTTGCTCTCCCACTAACCCTTTCTTGATCAAATTACATTGGCTTCCAATTAAAGCTATGATAAGAGTTCAAACTCTGTCTAATGATTTTTAAGACACTATTGTTTGGTGAGCCTAAGTATTTGTCCAACCTACTACTGAAATGGTTTTGCATAATAGCGATGACCCTTCATGCCTTGAGGAACCGAGAGCATTATGGGAATGTTATTTTGCTGCCCGATCCTTTTCCTATACAGTACAACACCCAGGTTGTACAATGGGTTGCCTGCATCCATGAAGCAGTTGACTTCTGTGGAGGCCTTTAAGAAACAACTTAAGACTTTTTTTTTTTTTAAGTTTATGATCATGAACAGGGTACAGTGATGGAGAAATACAGGGTTTAGAAAGTATTAAAACATAAGGGTACTGTATATAAATGATAGAAGTCAAACTGTTACATTTTGTGATCTTTTATTGTCGTACAGTTTTTCTTTTTATTCTCAAGTCTTTGACTTTGTAGTGTTTTGATTGTTAGTGAATTCTTTAAAGAATTGGCACTTTTGAAAAACAAAAGACCAGCTATTATTATTATTATTACCTGTATTATCTTAATCACATCGTAATGTTAAACTGTAAGGCCCGAATTCAAAACGGTGATTTGAGGCTGGGATTTGAGTTCGGCTCGGGCCTGCTAATCTAAATTCCTAAATCCGAGATTTCCTGCAGTGGGTTACCCATATTTAGAACATTGACTTGAACCCCGGATCGGATAACCTATTGCATTATCTTGAATTACGAGCCAGGATTCGAACACTGAAATTCCAGCCAATCACGTTTCAGTTACACCATTACGACAGCCAATCACCAGCGAGAGTACAGTAATGTTTACACGATTGTGACAGCAACTATGACTCGACAAGTTTTTACGGAGGAAAAATCTCTCCTTACACATCAAAATTTACTTTTATAACTATAATTACAATCAAATTTTAATGATTTATGGTACTGTGTTACAACGTGGCTGTGTTTTTATAACAAGTAATTCATGGAGGAAGAACAATTACAAACAAATTGTAGATATAATTCGGGACAGGTGTCAATATTCATAACCAAACCAAGATGACTCAATGCGAGGCTTAGGAACCTTGCTAGGTTCAGTTAGGTTAGGTTTCTGTTCTATTAACCCCACATTTCCCCTGATTAGTAATGTTAAGAAAGACTTTCCTTTATTAATACATTTAAATCAAAATGCACTTAGCATTGATTAAATTATATTGAAAATTCATCAAAACAGTTTTCCTTAAGAAAAACACTTAAAATAAAGAAGCATCAGCGTTCTTAACATTAACTTGCTTGATCTTCATGGACCCTCAACACAAAATTGTTGTAACACATTACCATAACTCATTCAGTAACCAGAATCTTTCTTACCTGGAAACTAGTCGTTGCAAAGAATCTCAAAGCAATCATCAGCTGATGAATGGAAGGTAGAGGTGAACCATAGCCAACAGGTCTGTCAAGTATATGCTCCATATCACGGAAAATATCAAGGAAATCTCCCTTGCTGAACCTATACCGATGTTTAAATTGTGTGTCATCATAAAAATTGATAAGATTCTGCCTATCTTCCATCAGTCTTCTCTCTACAAAATTTCCAATTTGATGATAACGCCAAAAACTGCGCTGTCAAAATTCATGTTGACTTGCTTAAAGTACCCACCGATAAACCTGCCCCCAGGCTGGATTAACACGACGATCGACAATTCCGATCTCAAACCCGGTTTGAATCTTTGTGTTGGCTCATGCCAGTGTTTTCAATACCAACAATATTCAATCTTTGCTCGATCCTTGGTTTAAACCTTCATGCGGTTTCAAATCACTGTTCTGAATTTGGGCCTTAATCAGTACAGGTATAATGCTATGCATCGGTTTTCCTGCTTTAAATATCATAAATAATAACACTTGTTAGCTACAAGTACATTGGTTTTTAATGTTTTTTTTCATGTTAGTTATACATAGATGATGTGATATTTATGGCTGATTGATGAAATGAGGAAAAAATTTACATATTTGGTGTACAATACAGTATTTAGAAAAGTGATGAACTTGCAATTGGTACTGTATGTTGATAATTTAATTATTGATTATACAGATAATTAATGAAATTAAGTAATTTCTGTAATGGGTGACAGACAGTAGATAAGGAAGAATGTAATTTTTATCTTATTTATATAAAGGGGTAAAGAAATTTATATTTTAAATTTTAATATGGCTCTATTTCTTCTAAACAGGTTGATGTACGACACAGCCTTGGTTTTGTGAAGTGTCCTAAGCGTTTTAATGTGACAGTGACAAGAGCACAGGCACTTCTGGTGGTAGTAGGAAATCCTTTGTTACTCAGCCTCGATAATTGTTGGAGAGAACTAATTAAGTTCTGCCTCCAGAAAGGTGCTTATCGTGGTCCAGAACTACATGTTCTTGTCAATGAAGATAAGGAATAGAGGATTACTCTTAATTTCACAAATGTTGAAACATTTTACTATTTTTAGTTGGTATTGCATTGGTTTAATGATAGGATACTTCCAAAAATATCTTACCACAACTGGATATCTCTAATTATCATGCCTGCAGCATTGGTACACATTGTATAAAAAAACAAAAACAAAACAAAAAACAGGTTTATTATTATTGGGCCATAAATTGTGGTTTATAATTGCAGTATTCTGATGTTTAACATTCAAGACTGTGGATTTATTAATTGTATATTGTGAGTATGAATGTTCCAGATTTGTTATGTGAATTATTAAGGCAGGTATATTGTAATTGAACAATATTCATTTTGTGGTGATGCCCTCTAATATTTGAATTTTTGTTTGACCATTAGTTTAGCAATGTATCTCCACACCCTTACTCAGTTGAAGTGAAAGTAAAAAGTATACACTCAGCTGAGTCTTAAGTGATGCAGTCAGTCAGTCACTTTATTGTGTGAATTGTATCTATACCTTTCATTTTATATACAGCTACTTCTTTTAATTTTACAGTTTACTAAGAAAGTAGTAGTTTGAAAAGTGAGATGATAAGTTATTTGCCGATAAGTATGTCATTGTGGAGTTGGGTATATGGATGAAAACTTATTTAAATAGTAAAATATTATTTAGCTTTGGCTGAGATTGTTCACAAGAAACATTAAGTTTTATGAGTCAACCTTGCAGTGTGAAGGTTGTGGCAATACTGTCTTATATCTTGCACTGGACCACACTGCCATGTTGTCTTGGTCATCTGCTTGAACATTTCCTTTTCTTCTTTCTTCTATTACTTGTTCCTTTAACCATTAACCCAGCAATATTTTTAAGTTACTGTTTTCTTGTGGGTTAAGTATTTGAACTTTTCTTAGAGGTAAGATGGTAACTTGTATGTCATGTTCATTCTAAATTCAATGTGCCATTCTTATACACAGCAGGCTGATTCATGTATAATATTTAAAAGATATTATGATACAGGTATATTATTTACCTGGTAATTTAATCTGTTCTCAGCGTATGTTTGAACAATTAAAATATGTAAATTTGTGAAATGCTAAAACTCTGTACAGTACATTGTTGCATACGAATACATAAAATCAGTAAAATATTGTATTACATTTATCTAGTTGTTAAAATACTTACACTGATGTATACCAAAAGTATAAGATTTCTTTATTTGTATCATTTGTTCACAGGAGGTCTGAGCAAATTTTCCTCTTCCTGTTGCATCTGAAACATAAAAAACATACTTTCCAAGTTGTTTTTAAATTTACAGTCATTTAATTTGCTCAAATTAATCATAGTTATTAACTGATTACTTTAGGCTGTGATAATGTAGTTATTGATTATTATTATTACGATTAATTCAGTATTTTTTCATATACTGTACTGTACATTACATAGTAAGTAATATTGGTCATATAATTTGTAAATACAGGGGGTCCCCCAAATTTGGGGGGTTACCCTAGGTTCTCAAATTGGCCGTGAATTGCCAAATATCCGTGAATAACCTTTGCGGACCGAGGGGGTAAATTTTCATTTTTACTTGTGTACAAAGAAATGTATATTCCCTTTTGTGTTTGCCCATAAGGAAAATTATTTATTTTACTTGTAATATTGTATATGTGTGTGTGTGTAGACACACACACATACAAACAAATAATAATTGGAAAATCCTCTCACAAATAACCAGAAACAAATTAATTAAAAATATGACAGTCTACCCTCAAGTCTGTTCTCTATTACAGTATTTTATTAATAGAGCATGGACTTTAGGGTAGACTCACATTTTTAATACCCTGTAAATTTGTTTCTGATTGTTTGTGAGAGGATTTTCCAATTATTATTTATTCGCATGTTTTTGTGTGTGTACACACACACGCACACACACATATACAATACAGGTAAAGGAAATTACTGTCTCTAGAACGAATGGCTCCCTGTCCCAGCTGCAAAAATGTTGGCAACTTTAAAACTACCCACAGACATTCTTGGGTACATCCAGGGTGTCATCTGCAAATAACTGAAAACCGTGAAGTAAAAATCCGCGAGCTTGGGGGGCCCCCCCTGTATATTGTAATCACACGTTAGGAGTTGAACTGATGATTTTTATGAAAGCTTTCTACCACATGGCAGTTAAGGCATTTGCAGCTGTAATAAACATAAATGTTCATCAAAAGAGATCTCAGTTTTGAATAACAAAATATCTCATTCACTTTCACTTTATTTTGATTCCCTCTCTCTGTAACAAAAGGTTTTTTTAAGAAAACATCAGGAAAATACCAAACACTATTTTGATGCATAAGTCTTCCTCAGTAATGGTTTCCAATTCTTGCAGTAAAGTATTATAAAATGTACAGAATTCCTCTGCCACACTTTCAATTCTTACAGTTTCTAGGTGGTGGCGGCGAGTTATTGCAATACATGGTGTAAATTTCTCTCATTATAGGTCTTAAATGTAAGTAGGATAAGTACATTTATCATCATCATCAATGTTTTAGGGCCATTTTTCACACTTCTCTGAGATAGCCACAATTACCTGGTAGCAGCTCTCCATGCTGTGCAGTGTCTAGCAGCCTTTCAAATCAGGTTCTTCTATTGTCATTTCATACAACCTCTACCTATATCAATCATGGCCTACCTGTAACTCTCCTCCCCTCCACATTTATACTCATGCACCTTTTGACCCAGTTGGTCTCCTCCATTCTTATCACATGCCCAAACCATCTCTGCCAAATTGTGTTAGTTGCTTTTTTGTTTGTGCATCTTAATGGCCTTACAATCCATCATTTTCTTTTTATAAATGTATTGGCAGGACTATGAAGCTTTAGACCCAGTTTCTCTGGGGAATTATCATAAACCTCATTTATTTTCATTGCAACATTCACCTTCACTTTATATGATCATCGTATTTAGGTATATTAAGCAGAGCAACAGCAAGCCTACTTAAAGTACAGAATTATTATTATATAAACCATGCTTTAACCCTCAGTTTTTTCATCTTATATCCACTTCAGTTCCTGTTCATTACTCCCTTTCATTCCTCTGGTTACATCTTTCAAAATCAGTATTTTATTGTCAGGAGCTGGTGAAACAGCCATTGATATTTCTATAGTACTACCATGTGTTAATTATTAACAATACAAACTATAACATATGAATTTATTGGAGTAAGTGTATATATGTACTTACTTTATTTACAGTACCGTAAGTACAAACCAAATCAACAGTTAATTACCTGTGTCATTTTCATGAGGAAATATTGATCCAAAAATGGCATCAACATTGCCTGTACAGATGGAAGACAATAAACAGAGCAGTACTATATTTTCAAGCTTCCACTGCATAAACTTTAGAAAAAAAGAATGGATCAAAACGAGAGAGAGAGAGAGAGGCCTTGCCTGTTTACATAGCAATTAACCCAGTCCACTGCTGTAACAGATTGAGGAGTCTAGCCTTTTTTCTGGAAAAATTATCAGGTATTACTAGTATATAATCTCGGCTGAGTTTGTCTTTTCTCATTGTCATTAATGCTAAATCTGACGACCAATCTACCCTCATAGTACTGCACAACTACATCTTCATGAATTAGACAATGACCTCTCTGACATTGCAGTAGAGTAATTACAGGCTGGATAGCCAAAACCTGCAACAGTTGATTTATAACTGGAAAGTAGATGCTGTACATGCCCAGTACTTGCTTCCCAAAAGTGCATAATGGAGAACTGAACAACCACCCAACCAGCTTGTGTTTTTTTTTAATTTATTTATGCCCAAAGGAAGGAAATTGCCGAAGACACAATCGAGCATAACTTAAGGGTGCAAACAAGAGAACTTCATATTTTATAACTTACAATTTTTTCCACAAACAATACCCAAAGGAGGCCAACTCAGTAGAAGACTTGCTATCAGATTCAATTTAGGACAGGAAGACAATTTCAATTTGCACCAGGTTCAGGTAGCATACCTAAGTACAGTACAGAACACTTAAATCATTGGGTACAAGTAAGTGGTGACAATGTAATTAGTGATGCTCCCTGTGGCAAAAGGTCCATGACAGCGAAACATCAAGACATAAGTGCTTTGAGATTCTTTGCAACGAATAGTTTCCAGGTAAGAAAGATTCTGGTTACTGAATGAGTTATGGTAATGTGTTACAACACTTTTGTGTTGAGGGTCCATGAAGATCAAGCAAGTTAATGTAAAGAACGCTCATGCTTCTTTATTTTGTGTTCTTAGGGAAAACTATTTTGGTATATTTTTAATATAAATGAGTCGATGCTGAGTGCATTTTGATTTTAATGTATTAATAAAGGAAAGTGTTAAACATTACTAATCAGGAGAAATGTGGGGCTAAAAGAACAAACTGAACCTAGCAAGGTTCCTAAGCCTCGCATTGAGTCATCTTGGTTTGGTTGTGAATATTGACACCTGTCCCGAATTATATCTACAATTTGTTTGTAATTGTTCTTCCTCCATGAATTACTTGTTATAAAAACACAGCCACGTTGTAACACAGTACCACAAATCATTAAAATTTGATTGTAATTATAGCAATAAAAGTAACGATGTACAATTAAAGACAAAAGTCGTGTCGCGGTTTTGTCTGAAGATTAAATATAACTCGTGAAACATTTGGAAACCCCTACCACAAGACACTACCCCTGCGGCATGTGTTGTCACCGAACTTTACGACACGACTTTTGTCCTTCATTGTAAATATTACTCTCGATGGTGATTGGCTGTCGTAATGGTGTAACTGCAACGTGATTGGCTGGAATTTCAGTGTTGGAATCCTTGCTCGTAATTGAAGTTAATGCAACAGATTAACCGATGTTCTCAATATGGGTAATTCACTGCAGGGAATCTCGGATCAAGGAATGTTGATTCGCAGGTCTGAGCCGAGCTTAAATCCCAGGCTCACATCACCGTTTTGAATTCGGGCCTAAAGATTATGAGAGACAGAATCCTATGCTCTTGGAACCTTCGTGTTACTGCATTCCCATAAAGTGAAATCATCAACAACTATACCATAGGAAAGTGTTAACAAACTTACTTAAACATATTACTGTATAAAGGTTAAATAATGTTTTTAGATTCACCTCTCATTCACAAGTGACCACTCCCCAAATTGTTTTTGTATCATATGACGTCAAGCAACTTCTGCCGAACGATTCTCTTTTTTATCACAACAAAACTATTTCAATAACTTAATTATATTTTATAATTTATTATACTCATTCAGGCTTATTTTCGAACTCTAAATTTTACAATTTAGTATTGTGATTATACTTCATAATCATCTTGAGAATACGTCAGCCTTAACCAGCATCCGGGAGCTTTACACTAATACCAACAGTAAATAATGGCCAGAGGAAACAACAGCCCAATATGGATATATTTTTTAATATTATTGTTTGTTGTTTGATTACTTTATTTTATCGTTCAATTACACAATGAATCGTGTATTTCTATAACATACACACATTTAATAACATGTAAGACCTTGCAAAAAATAAGCTGAATATTATGTAATATTTGAGTAGTTGTCAAATAAAATATATATAAATGTCATCTCATTTACGATAGTTTATAATAATACATATATTTATAAATGAGATAAATGTTCTAATTTCCCCCATATTTATGATACTTATAAAACAAAACCTATATTATGGAAGGGAGTTATGTGTGTGTGTGGCTGGCCTGTGGTGGTGTGTCAGCTGTGTTTGTAAATACTGTGTAGGAGGGAACCTGGCAACCATTACCCCTCCAATATTTGGCCCTCTAGCTTTATCCTCATAGAGTTGTACAATTCCAACACATATTTAAATGTAAGTATGCATTCAACTAAATAAATTAGAAGCAACGTAAGGTTTAGTAAAGGTGACTAAAATAAAGAATAAGAATAAGTCTGTTTTTAGTGAAGTTGATAACGCGGCAAGAGAAATTCCCATCAATTATCAAGTCCAGGAGGATCAAGTCGACCAGGAATATTGTACAGTATTTCTCTTTAGTGTATTCTTTGTTTTCATTTGTAATTAAAGAGATAAAGTTAACATTAAGTTAGATGCAATACATTTATAGTGGGAGTATTTTATGACCCACCCAAAGAATTAATTTACAGCTTATTGAGTATATAATATTCCTGTATATATATACTTCAATAGTACCTGGGTCAGAAGCATAGTTTTAGATAATTGCAGTGGCTTGTATTATTGAAGAAGCATAGTCACCACTGCCTATCCTATAAAATGATAATGAAATATATTTTCTGATTTTATGCATAGATATTTATTTTTTTTAATTAAATTTGGTGAAATTTCAGTCATGCACTGGTCTTTCTCTCGCTGTTATTAATATGTTTTTCATAATGTTTAGACAATTCTAAGACCTTTTTCTTCTATGATATTTCCGCCGGAAATGGAGGATAACCGAGGTATTAATTTTTCAGTATTATTAGATTTGGTCAGTCACAAGTGTCGCCATTTGTTGTTTACATCTCACAGAGAACCACCCATCACACGGTGCTCCTTACCTCCGTGTTGGCTCCTTAGGCTTCTACAGCGCATGTGCGTGGGTACAATGCGTGGGTGCTTCGGGAGCAGAGATTTTATTTTTCAGTACCAGAATAACCAGATATGGCTTAACAGGTGGAAAGAGCTGTGCCGACGTTGTGATAGAGATTATTTTACGTCAATTGCAGAGTTTCAGCAGTAAAATAGTGTTAGGTTAGGTTAGGTCAGGTTAGGTTTGGTTTTGTTAGTTGGTTGGTACTGTAGTATTTTATTTTTGTGTTTTAATAAAATAATAAAAATTTTTATTAAGATTGATGGGAAGGCTTGGGGGAGGGGTATCTAAAAAACTATTGATTTCCGGCTGAAATGAATATTAAGTTTGTTCGAAACTCATCAAATAACATCGGAAAAATATATTTTTCATATCCAAACATAGACCGGTGCATAAGTGAAATTTGACCATCAATGTATTTATTTTTGTAATAAAGAAAAACCTACCCCTATTATTGTAATTTAAGTGAATCAAGTACAGAACACACTTTAAGAGGAATTTTTATGGCCAAGCACTTGAACTGTCACTTATGTAGTGGTATGGTGTGAGTTCATATCCTGATTTCCTCAGCCCTACACTTGTACAGTATAGGACAACATATGCCGGCAGGCCAAAATTTTCAGTGGAATATTTATGGTAAAAATTAAATTTAGTCATGTACAAAAAGACTTGATTTAAGTGTCATATAATAATTTTTTTGCCATGTTTTTACCTCACAGTTTCCCTCATCCTTCATGTCCTGCCAAATACAGGTGTTTTATGTGGAAAATATGAACAAAATATATGAACACGTTCAGGTGCTGTCTCCTACACCTTTACCGTGATTTGTATCATAACACGTCTACAGGCAGGTTCTGCTAATTCAGGGCCACAATGATCTAGTTACAGATATACAGCTGTTAATATGCTTATGGCTTCACATCTGAATAGCCTGACTGTCTATGTAGCTGTCCTGGCTGCATAAACTACCAGGTCACTGCTTATTATATACTGTATGCATGAATTTCAATCCAAGCAGAACATACTCTGCCTAAAAGCAGCATAAAGTTTACTGAGGTAACAGTAATTAGAATTTATCTGGTTGTACAGTTTCAGGTCATGTAAATATTAAGAGTGTATACTTTGGTTGAATGCCAGACTGAGGACAGACACTATTATCCATCAATATTATTTGCTGCTCATTGATGGAACTGAACTCAGCAGCTGCATACAGTATTTTGCATGAAAAAGCAAAAGAAACCTTGAAGACTGTCTGTGAAGTTATTGAGTATTGTACAGTACAGTACTGTATGTACTATGAATTAAAATTTGCTCTTGTGGGTATGTATGTGCTCCCCCCTGAACCCCTTCACGAGTGAGCACAGGGTGGAATGACCAGTTTATAAATAATATAATGAAGTGTATCTTGCCATATCTACACCAAATCTGACCAAAGGGCATGGATGAAACATATTGGGTCGGCCCCTATTGTAACTACAGTACTAAACTTTTTGGGGAAGTTGAGGTTATGGTTATAAAAAAATAAAAAATCACATTTCTCACAATAACTTTAGAATGAAGCAACTTAGAAGGATAGTATTTATTGCATCAAAATTGTCATTGACAATTTTCTCTATGATGTCATGTTACTCTAGATTATTATGTCAAAGATGTAATACAAAATACAAAACTGCCTTTTATTTGTAAAAATTATTTCCTATTTATAATAATTCTTCTTCTCAGTTATTCATCATGGCAGATGGAGGTTTTGATCCATGTGAGTGCATCTGGAGCCATGAAATGGCCATGAGGCGGCTCCTGTCCCTGGTAAGTTTACATAGATTTTACAAAATTCCACATGGGCTACAGCAGTCTGGTAGAGCTTACTGATACAGTATGAGCACCTGTTAAATTAAAAGTAAATAATGTCTCAGTGTGTGTTATATTGATGTATAGTGTACAGCATTTTGTGTGTTGTAATGCTCATACTGTACTGTATGTCTTAGCAAATACTGGTACTATACTGTATACTGTGTTAATTTTGAAGTACAGTACTGTATTGTACAGTATGGTAAATTTGTTGCTCCCAAAGACAGTTTACAAAAGCTTTAATGTCTTATCAACCACCTGGCTAGTCCTCATTATTATCAGTGTTCTGTAATGTGCCATCTGGCTGTTTCCATCATTTTAATTTTTCTAACTGATAAGATCAGCATTTAAGTGAGGCAACCAGATACATGTACTGACCATGTAAGATCTATTTCATTGATATACTGTATTAAGAATAAAGGCTGAAGTTAGAAAACTCCCTTGAGTGAAAGTACAGGTTACTGTAATTATATAATTTAATCACTGGTACAGTCCAGTATCTTCATAGATAAAGGATGATTAAAGAGGAATTGGTTAGTTTTTAGACCTAGCAGTTCTTGCAACTCTGTAATTTCACAACATTAAGTGAGAAAAGACTGAAAGAGTCAAAATATATATACTGAACACAGATGCATATGTACTTGTTTCCTGTATAATATACCTTTATTCTGTATGGAGAGAGAATGTGTGGATGTGTTAAAGTAATTTTTATATAGTACAGTACCTGTACTGTAGTAATCAAGGTTGAATAATACACTACAGTACTTAACACTATATAATCAAGAATCATTTGTTAAAGCATCTTGCATACAGCATCTGATATCCATCATATGACCATCTCTTTGTATTTTGTTATCAAGTTGCAAGGGTGTTCACTTTTCCAGCACCTTCGTTCAATTTCTCTTGACTCTTTCTCACCTGTCCACTGAGAAGAGGTCTGCTAGATCTATCACTGCACCTAAAAAATTGGGTATAAAGCATTATAAAGGTAATATGGTCTTGAATATACGTACTGTTTGGAAAAATAAAAGGACTCCCCTGTACTGAGATGTATAACATTTCCTGGAAGATAGATATATGTGAGCAGTTACAGTTTTTGAATAGCCCAGCTAAAGTACAGTTACAGTCAAAAGTAATCATCCATCTCTCCTATTACCATACCCCCGAGCTTGAGGCCTTTCTACACGACGAGTCACAATAGGGTAAGAGAAGTATTGATGGGGAAGAGCTATGGGTGGCAGACCTGGATAGGGTAGGAGGGTGCAAGTCAAGGGCCACATACATAGTGAGAGTGTATGTTGTCTTAGAAATATCCTTAACACCTAAAGAAGGTGTTGAGGTTGGTGGATGTTGCTTGACCATTGATGGCCTTAATGACCCTGGCAGTTGATAGGCCTAAAGCCCAAACAACCAACCAACCAACCAGGTGGGCAGGTGTCTGGGAAGGTGTCATATGGACATAACTTTCTGTAAGTTATCTATGCCTTTACTTGAGATTATGCGGGAGGAATGCCGGGAGCTTTTGGCAGGTAATATGTCATTAGGCATCTGACTTCGGTGAGGAAAAGCCCCTGATATGACAACATAAGAGAGGAAGGGGCATGGCTGTTACTTGATCACTTCCACTTCTTGCCACTATCATTCTGAAAATAAAATCTATTAATTGATAAAAGAAAATTATGGATGAATTGTTGGAAAGAATGTGACTTGTCGACCCTGTAATATGTTTATTAGAGTACAGTAGTGAAAATCAATGCGAGGTGAGTAGGTGGTAGGGGCAATGGTGTTTGGCTACTGCTCCACTGGCTGGCTACAGTGTGTCAGAACTTGCAAGGGAAGTTGGGGCTGACTGTGAGATGCTGGTTAACCCGCTGGGTTAACTTGGGAAACTGGTTGCAGTGAGTATTTTTGATGGCTTGCTGGCATTTGACATACAGTATGAAAATGACTAATTTTGGGTGTGTAATGTAAACAAAACATATTTGAACCTCTTAATTCATATAAATGATATAGTTTTAGGCTGGGGAGGCCATAATTGACAGGTGAGCAGAACGTTGGACAGGCTGTTGAGATTCTGTATTACCTGTGTTGGTAAATATTAAAAATAAATGTAAATTCCACCCCGTATTCAATGGAGTATTTCTCGTCTTATCAATATTATTAGAAATACTGTATCTAATTACCGTTAGCACAGTCTGAGAAAATGAGAAATAAGGAAATGGTTGACACATTATAATAATCATAAAATAAGGGTCTTCATCTATTACTCTTTCAAGCATGTAAATCTAAGATAATATAGCAAATAAAAACTTCTATCCATCCTTCCCTTCTTATTTTCATGAATTTCACAGCTTTCTTCAATCCCCTCCCTTTCTGATGAGCAAATGCATCACATACCACCCTTCCACACCCCTCCCCCATCCCCCAACAAACAGCCCTCCCCCAAGTCGACCATTCCCCCCCTCTTCATCTGACTTACCGTGCAGAAAGGACCCAACTAAGCGCAGGGTTTAGGGGGTGGAGTGGATGATTACTTCTGACTGCAACTATACCTGTACAGGATATTACTAATTTTACAAAGGTTTCTGCCACAAGATCCAAGTCTTAGAGAATTTGTGAAAGTGGAATTTGTAATGTGGAAATGATAAAGCTCAATGGCTCTACAATATTTGAAGTTGCCTGTAGCTCATGCATATTGTGATCTAAAATATATAGAAATGGGTTACAGTTATTCTATAGCTGATTTATTTTCTTAATATTTGTTTAAGTTGATTTTGAATTAGAAATCCTTGTACAGTGTCTTTTATATTGTAAAGGCTGAATAGTATACTAGAGGAGCATCCTGTGGTGGTGTATCAGTGTTAGGACTCCGAAGATAACAGGGGACAGCCGCACTCATTAATAAGATACCACATGATAATTGGGGTTCTAGTTAGTCGTGATACACATTCGCTTTACAGCTTGTACATGTGGACAGGTTTGTGTGAGAAAGAGAGATAATTGTGGGGAGATAAGGAGAGTAATAGGAGGGAGGGAAAGAAAGGATAGATAATGAAAAAGAGATGAGAAAATGTCTGTGTAAGAGAAAGAATGAGTGCGTGTGGCATCATAATATATAATATATTTATTTATTTTGCAGTTGCGACAATCACAGAGCTACTGTACAGATACTGAATGTTACAATGAGTGTGAGTATGTAATTGGTTTCCATTAGGTAAGCAAAGAAGCCTGGAATTTGGAGAAAGTTTTTAGGGTTTTCTGTCAGTTACTCATACTGTATTGTATAGTTTTGGGAGTTGGGAATAGATATTTAGAAATACTTTATGCATCTCCAGCTATGACAGGAAGACACTCCTCTCATTAATTTTCTTGATATTGGTCTTTTTTAATAAAGTTCAAGTTCTAATTCATATTCGCATAAGATCATAACAGAGGTTCACAGTTGGGATGATTCACTCTCTTTATCTTTCTTTATACTGTATCTACTAATCCTTATTGATGAAGATTATTATCTTTAGTTCCGAGACCAACCCCTACCCAAGATGTAAGCTCTGACGGCATGATGTTTATGGCCATGATGTGGGCACTGCTTGCTGTAGCCCTCTTCTTCATGCGTCCTTCATCGTTACGTTCTAATCCTGATGCCAAGCCTGCCAACAGCAACCAGGTATATACAATACGTACTGTACAAAAATAAAATGAAGTTGTAATTAGGATTAAATTATTTTTTTTTCAGTGTATGTTTTTTGCCTTTTAAACCCTTTAGCTGAATAAAATCGTCTGGCATTATCTAGAATAAAATACCTAAGGGATACCTTGCCCTCCAATCTAAAATCTGTAGCATCTTTTAAATGTGTTGCCAGAAATGGTTTTTGTGTAATGCTGTCAAGTCTTACTTAGTCAGAATATCAAGTAGAAGTAGAATAAAAATTTTTTGAACAACATTTGATTTTAAACATGTGTAAAATTAAAAAAAATGGAATGGTGTGAGGCATCTTTTAGTCAAATTTCATCTTTAGCTTACATATTGGTTAAAATATAACTGAACTGTTAGTCAAAATACCTGTACAGGTACTTGTGAATTATTATGTGGTGTTTTACCTCTTGATTCTGTAATTCAAATGTAAACCAATATCCCAGGAAAAGTAAAACATAAAGGTTTATAGATATTTTAGATTATGTACAAGAACACTAAGTTTTAGGAGAGCTGGTCTAGAAATAAATGAATAGCCTGTAATTGTTGGAATACAAGAGTCTCCAAAAATATTTCTTACACCACAGCAAGAAGCCTTAAAATGTTGTGACAGGTTTTCAGAATGAAATTTTGTGAATGTGCAAAGGGGTAAATTTTGAAAAGGTCTTAGAGTAAAAAAGATATTTCTTTTTTTCAATAAATCATTTCATGAACTTAAAAGTAAGTTAATATGTGAAGAACTTTCTCCTTATTTAATGATCACTATTGAAGGTTCTCATTCCTTGGCCCTATTTGAATATTTGTTCTGTTGTATTCCACCTAAAGTCATTAATGTAACTTGGATATTGAAACCACCAAGGATGCAGATTAATCAGGATATATTACCATTGTTCATGTAGTCTTAAACACATGAAGGCATAAAAGTGCTTGGTAACAAATGTACATAAAGGACTTCATTCATATTAATCACTACTGCCTGGCCCCAGTCATTAATATACATGTACGGTACTGTATATGTTACTTTAGTATTATGATGCCCCATGTAATTTATTGCATTTATTTATTCTCAGGATGGTGGTTCTCCCCCTGCACCCCCAACAGCCAATTAACAATTTGTAAAGTCACCTGGCCAGCCTCAATGATACCCTCATCCTTAAGTGACCTTTTCCTTGGTTCCCACACTTGTTGAATAAAACAGCAAGAATCCTACTTCATGTTGTAATCAGGTCTTGGTAATTGCAGGCTATGATAACAAGTAGTCAGTGACCATGGGAAATTATAAAATCAAACCAGTGCTGCCTGTGTTTTTGGTGCATAATACTGGTATTTAGTTGTTATGATAGATCTATGTTGTAATGCAGTATAGCTGTGCAAAACTAGATCTTTATGCAGAGTGAATATCTTAGATTAAAAAATCCTTATAAAGGAAAAATATACTGTTTAGCTTTATTGGAGGATTCATATAAATTTTTTATGGAGTTTTTGTATTACAGTAACTAAATATCTTGTTATATTTCAACATTGTAGCATACCTAGTTATATGAGGTAATCCTGGTGTAAATGTAGGATCAACTTGTGTATTTTTTACAATTGGAAAAAAAAAATCTCAGTTTTGTTATAGATCATCTGTATAAAGAATGTCACTGGCAAGAGCTTTCTTATAGCTGTTCAAAGGTTTCAAGTATCTGAATAAAAATTTAGTTTCAAATATGTACATGCTATAACATCTAATGGCCAGGGTTGTAATTTAGATTGATGAGGTTTATAAAGGAAGTTGATATGTAATATTTGAAATACTGATTATTGTTCTTATTATCATTTAAAGTTTTGAAACATTGTGGATGGGATGGTGGGTCATTATATTTTAATGTTTCTTAGTTTTTTCTTATGACAACACTCACTATCTTATATTTATAAAAGATCTTTGAAATCTAAAAAGATGATTATTTTGTATTTAATATTTGGAGAGATGTATATATATATATATATATATATATATATATATATATATATATATATATATATATATATATATATATATATATATATATATATATATATATACATACATACATACATACATACATACATACATACATACATACATACATACATACATACATACATACATACATACATACATACATACATACATACATACATACATATATACATACATACATACATACATACATACATACATACATACATACATACATACATACATACATACATACATACATACATACATACATACATACATACATACATACATACATACATACATACATACATACATACATACATACATATACATATATATATATATATATATATATATATATATATATATATATATATATATATATATATATATATATATATATATATATATATATATATATATATATATATATATATTTTCGAGTCCCAAAGTCAGTACTGAGACAAAATTTTCGTTTGTAATTCACTTTAAAATGGCTGGCAAGCTTAAAAGTGAGTGTTTTGTGGTGCTGAGAAGAAAAAGAGACACCCATTTTAGATTTTCTATGTATTATTTAAGCATTTCCGACTTACGACCATTTCGACTTATGACCTGGATTTGGGTCCCTAACCCCGTCGTAAGTCGGGGAGGAGCTGTATATTGAATGTGATTGAATGCTATGATAGGAAGATCTGTACCAGGGACTTAGCTCATTTATCAAGGCATCTCTCCAATTGTAGAAGTCCAAATGATTTTTGTGACTTGTGCTGACTACAGTACTAAAACAACATTAAAGTAAAGCTTGTACTGTACTTAATAGTAAATAACCTTTAATGAAGTGTTCTTTTAAATATACTGTATACAATATTATTTTTTTTAACTAATATTAAAGTAATTTACTAAACCAAAACATTTACAGCTTTTTGGAGATTTTCTATACTGGATTAATAATGTACAGGTAAAACAAGATGTACAGGTATTTGTAAAGAAAGAAACTTTTGCATGGTGTGTTAGTTCACTGCAATAACAGTACAAGTGAGTGAATGCAAGTGGATTTTTAAGTTCAGTAATTCCTGTGATATACCAGCCTAGAGAAAGGTGTCATTAGTAGGATCACAAGATAAACATTTGCAGAATTTTCTAATAGAATCGTGCTATTTAATGCCACCATTGGTGAGTATTTATAATTTGAACCATGCAACTAATACAGAAAAATACTTTTGATATGAATGGAGCTATGAATCGATTAACAGTAGCATGTTTATGGCAAATCATTAAAAAATGTCCAATAATCAGATAAAGAATCCGTGGTACTCAAGTTGAAATGTATCATGGTGTATAATATACTGTAATAGAAGACTACAGTCTATTAAATGATATCAATACTTATATATAAATGATGGAAGGTGCCTAAGGTAGTTCAGTTCATTTTATTTAGCTTTTGATAGTTCTTTGATTTAGTTTATTACCAGTGACACCTTAATATCACCAGAATCACTTAACAGCTTGTAATTACTGTAATTTGTAAACTAATTTGTGGAGGAAGAATCTTTGTTCACAAGAAAATACATCAAGATGGGTTATTAATCTAATGTAAGTAATAAGATCTACACTGATATATAAGAAGAAATTAATTATTTGGTAGGGATTGTCAAAAACAGAATATCAATTTGTCACTGAAACACAAAACTTTCTTTAAAAAGCACAACTCTTATGATGTAACCTATTATCTGTAACATTGTCCTTATATTATGTAAGAGAGCTAAGAACCATCAGTTAGAAATTTGAAGAGAATATTGTGTTGCATATCCAGAAAAATTCTTATAGATTACAGTATACAGTACTGTCTAGGCTCTAGGGTATTGAAAATTTAGTCCAAGCATGAATGCTAATGGAACAAGGATTCGTGTACACGACAATTTCCTTTCGAAAGTTATTGTGTTGTTTGTGTGCAGGAAATGGGAATAGAGCATTCCATTATTACTGAATGTCAGGTTGTGAGACTTTGTACAGTACCCCTCTCGTATAGTTTGATTATTTAGAGGACAGTTTTCTTGGTAACCATCATCCTAGAGTTATCCTATCCCATCACATGACAAGTTGCTTTAGTTCATCATCACTGAAGTTTGTTTGTGCAATGGCTGTCTTCATGGTTGTATCATACCAAAGCTACTATTTTTTCTCCCTTGAATTGTTGGAGAACATCTTAGATATTATATAAAATAAAGATCTTTGTAATATGATATAGCAATTTTTTCTTTATTAAATGTACACAGTACAGAATAATAACATTGCACAACAATACTTGGGGATCATATATTTGGATGAGAGTTTATTTAGATATAGATGAATATATGTTTACAATTAGTTCAAGAGTAAATAAACTTTGGTATAGGTCTACATTCTATCCCTATATACTGTAATATTCAGTAAATCCTTTAAGTTCTTGATTTTATGTGTACAGTATTAGACACTGTACAAAATTTACTTTGTATTGGTAAAAAGAAAAATTAAACAGTTTGTCAAGTCTGTACATGACAGGACAGAAACTTTTATTTCAGTATGTATATTGTATTGTTAGTAAAACACTACCCGTTACCCAAAGGCTTGAATAAGGGCTAACACTTTAATAAGTTGGCAGATTGTGGATTTTCCTCAGTGGGTTCTTCCTTCATGCTTTTTGATTATACTGTATGTCATATTTATTATTTTGACTGTGGATAGGAGACATCTTTGACAGACTACCAGTTCTCAGATTTATAAACTTTGTAACATTATTTGGATTTATATGATTGTTAAAGTGTTAAGTATTTTGTAAGTCTTCATGGAAAGATCACTAATTATTTCTTGAAAATACCACAATACTGTATATCCTACTGCATTGTAATGCTTTAATATTAACCCCCCACCCCCTAAAAAAAAAAAACTGCTTTTCAAACCTAAACAAATGTAACATGAATTATTATGAATCTTATCAGAAAAACAACAATTCATATTTATAAGTGAAGGAGAATGTTCACTTATGTGGTAACCATATTATGATACAGAATCTTTGAGTAAAAATGTTGAATATCTGAAGTTTTCAACACTTGAAGGTTTGACAACTATTTCCTGTCAAATTGCTGGGAATAAATGTGTGCTGAGATTGGGAAAAAGTCATTATGATATATTTAAACTAGGTATAACAAAATATATTTTTTATTAATTCATATAATAAAAATTTCTCCTTGTATGACTTTGGCATTTCAATGCTAGAATTATTCTTTTTTTTTTATGAAGATGCCACTGAGGAAGGGCCTTTGCTGTTATATTTCTTATATCTTTATGTGTGCAGGAAGTATTATACAGTACAGTAGTTGACTTTAACTTTAAAAGCCTATTTCAGTTTGCTATAAGCAAAGTATATGTAGTGTGATTATTGTTTTAAATTATATAATAATCTTTTAGTAGTGGTATAAGGGCAAGGAAAATAATGGACGGAATACAATGACTTTAATATACAGTACTGTACTTTATATGATACAGTACTGTACTTTATATGATACAGTATACTGTACTTGAAATGATACTGAATTGCAATACATGTGATGTTTTTTCTTTTCCTGAACAGATCATAATTTTTCTCCAGATACAGTACAGGTACTAGGAAATTATATAATAAAACAATTATAGGAGCTGCATCCAGAATTTTTTAAATCACACTGTTAAATGAAGGTCTCAGTAGTAAGTAACTTGTTAAAAGTAGAAGTGAAATTACCGTCAGACTACATTTTGGGTTACATTGATATCAATACAAATTCTTTATAACCACATCATAAATGCATGAGTCGCACTTTGTTACTATTATTCTAAACTTGTCCCATTCTACCACTTTCATACTTTATTATCCATATACAGTATAATATTTATGTTATTTGTAAAGGGAAGGTTTATTATTTTTTGATGTCTATTCAGTTTAGCACAAATAAATTTAAAAAATGTAAATTGTGTTGCTTTACTGTGAAGTTTAAAGTATCCCAAGGGGCCCTCCTAGAGGAAGTAGTGCCCCCCAGGGGCCCTGCCAGGAGTGGTGGCATCCCCAGGGCGGTGGCGCCCTCAAGCGATCCTCCCAAGGACAGTGACGCCTCCAGGGACCCTGCCTTGGGCGGTGGCACAAACGGGCGTTGGCACCCCCAGAGGCCCTGACAAGGGCAGTGGCACCTCCAGGGGCCCTATCAGGGGCAGTGACAGCCCCAGGGGCCCTACTAAGGACAGTGGTACCCCCAGGGGCCTTCTCAGGTGATGGCACCTGCAAGGTTGCTCTCAGGTGGTGGCGCCCCCAGCAGCCCTCTCAAGGACAGTGGTGCCCTCAGGGGCCCGCCTAGGTGCAATAGTGGCCCCAGGGACAGCAGCGTTCCCAGGGTCCCATCCAGTTGTAGCGGCATTCCTAGAGGCCCTGCCAGAAACGGTGGTGCCCCCAGAGGACGTCTCAGGTGAGGTGGCACCCCCAGGGGTAGTGGCACAATCAGGGGCCTTTCCAGGGAAGGTGACATCCCCAATGACTGCCAGGGGCCCTCCCAATGACGGTGGCATCCCCAGGGGCTTGCCCAGGTGCAATGACTCTCCCAGGGATGCTGCTTAGGGGCAGCAAGTCCCCCAGGGCCCTGCCAGAGGCAGTGGCACCCCAGGGGTCCTGCCAGGGGTGGTGGTGCCCCCAAGGTCCCTACCAAGGGCAGTGGTGCCTCCAGGGGCCTTCCCAGAGACAGCAGCGCCCTCTCAAAGGAGGTAGCGCCCCGAGGATCCCTTGCAGGGGCAGTGGCACTCTCAGGGGCCCTGCCAGGTGATGGTGGGGGTGGTGGTTGGAGGGTGAAGGGGGCTGAATGGTGGGGGTGGTGGTATAAGGGCGGGGTTTGTTCTTTTCTATTTGTTTTTCTTTCCTTTTCTTACCCTTATATTCTTATTTCATACTTTCTTTTTTTTATTTCCACTTGTTCTATCTAATTATTTCATAACCTCTGACCTTTGGTAGCATGGCAAGGGTTAGGGAACATGGGTTCTGTAAATCTGGTATCAAGCTATTGGACA